GAATAACCAACTTGGCGAAATTTTGCAGTGAAATGGCCTTTGAGATGCTCCTATGAGTTTCTTGAGTTTCTCTTATGAAGTGATGAGTGTGAACAAAGATTTCCATTCCCTTTAATTACCTCCCTCTTTGACCATTCAAATGAATAAGTTTGAACCGTGGAAAAAAATATCATGTAAATGAAATTAACAATGTTTTAAGGAAATTAGCACCATTGTTCAAACGTACGCAAAAAGGTGAATCACCGAGAAAAATGAACAGGACTTTTTCAGGGAGTTATATCTGTCAAATCTGACACTAGTGGTTTCGTATTTCTACATCTATTCAATAATAAACTCAGGTGTTGTTACAAAACATCTAGAACTGAATGTATGTATGAGACAAGAAGCAATAATACCTGATCTCCTTCGAAAAATAATTAGAAATATGATACAGATCTACACAAATAGGCAACAGAATTATAGTATTTGACAAGGATACATGGAAAGAGGCATGCTTTTTACCTGAAATTTTACAGATAAACGAATAATGTGTGTCTACATATAAAATACTGTTTCGCTCCTAAAGGACCTTTATAATTAACTTTCTTACCTTTAACAAGACAATTACCATGAAGCCACTTTTATCAAACATACATTAACAATAGTCCAGTAGTATCCTGTAGTATCCAGTAATATCCCTTTTTCCGAAAGCTTGTTGTTGAATGGCACTATTCTAGCTAACACAGAAAGCAAAGCAAAGGTCTCTCTCTACTCAAGATTTGTGATTTGTGGCTCAGTATTTGCTTTTATCTTACATTAACTCCTTCCTTGCAATTTTGGCGTATTAAGTGAACAGAAACCATTCTGTTCTATAAATTAGAGGGCATTAATAAAGGACTTGTATCAACATTACAATATAGAGATCTTAGAAATACAATTCATTTCTTACAAATTAAAAGCAGATATAGTAGCATCACAACCTTTTTTATAATATTTTTTCTAAATATCCCCAAAGTTCATATTTCATTCCAGAAAAACTAACGATTTTTACATTTATGTGTACAATTTTCCACATTATGTGAATTCCAATGCAAATTCCTTTAAATGTATAATCTGGTGAGAACACAGTTTGTTCTGTGGTGATATATTCTTAACTTGCATTTTTCAAAAACAAGAGTATAATAATTAAGGTTTAAAAATACCAGTCAGCTAAGGGGCCCAGAACAAAAAAGGATTTTGGATGAGATAAACATCATAAATAAATCATTAATAATTTTTTAATCAGATTAACATTACAATTTCAAAGTTCTAACAAAATAGTGTATAATCGTGACGAAAATGCATTTTGAACTTGTACTCCCAAAAAAGCATATAAAATTTGAAAGAATTATCTGCCTTATGGTATTTGAGTTATTGTCTGAATGAATGAATGAATGAATGAATGGATAGATGGGGGGGGGGGTAGATAGATGGAAGGGTGGGGTGGATAGATTGATGGATGGATGGATGGATGGATGGATGGATAGATGGATGGATGGATAGACGTACGCATGCATGCATTCAATGGCATAATTAATACCTTTGTGGGTTTACATCAGTGCCTTGACCTTGTCCCTTAATCTTTGTGAAACTCTTCAGAATACAGTAAAAAATAAGTAAAAGTATATAAAATAGCCCACAGTGATTATATTTCATTGCACAGATTTAACAGGGAATAAAGTACAAAGGCCTGTTTTTATGTGTAGTTTCCAAAAATGTTGTCATTCCATTCATTTTGCCAGTTGGTCAGAAACTCTAATATAATGAAACCCCTGGAGAATAACAGAAAATCACAAAATTTGGAAATTTTGGGCTGAATTTTTAAGTAGGTCCAAAATTAAAAAATAATACCAAGTAATATCAGTTTGTTATATCTAAATTGCCTAGTTTATATGTGGAGGAGCAGATTTTTGGCCCCAATTTTTTTGGGGCCTTACATGTACCTTAGCCTTAAAGGGGAAAAGAGAGGGGCCCAGGACCATGTCAGTCACTGCACTATGTTACCCCATTGGAAACTCCAATCTATGGAAGCCAGATGCACTTGGCCTGTGGTCTGCATGTTTGATACTTGAGAAACACTTTAAGATGACATGTTGAATCATCCTATCTCTTACTAGATAGAGTATTTCTAACAGATTCATATTTAGCCAGTACAGAAGTTCTACAGCTCTCATATCAGCATATGTGCTATTTCAAGGCAATTAATGAGGACGTAAAAATTGAATTGAAACGTGTACAAGGAGGTAATTTTATTCATCTTGCTCTATCAAACTCCTGATGTATCATAAATAGAATGTAGTGATTGAGCATGGTCCTGATAAGAGTAATTTGCAAAATCAACAGACTTTGATAGTTCTTTCCTGAAAATACCAAGGGTTGAACAAATTTGTCTATCTAGTAAGCGGCATGGCATAAGTCGCTGAAGTATAAATGGTGCATGCACCTTTTATAATTTCAAGGCATCTTATTATGAGCAAATCAGTTTAGAAACAGGTACTGAGTCCCTATAATGTTCATATAAAACTAGAGTGTTTTGTTTAAATTGATTGAGATGCCTTAATAAAGGTACTGATAATTTTTGAGAATGGTATGTTTTTTAGACAGTAAATTAATTGTTATTTGAGAATTGATCTTGACAAGAAGTATTTACAGATAATAGCCACCACATGTAAACAGGCCATTTAGATAGCTGTTATCTTGCAAGATTGGGAAGGGTATGACTTATTACATTGGAACAAATAGTGGAACTAAAACATAAAAACAAAAAATAAAAGATATAAAATCTCATCTAAACACATACTGCATATATTGAATATCAGGACTTGAAGTCTAATTCCAAATATGTGAAGAAAACATTACATCACAATCAGTGTGGGTCGTATCCACTTTACAATAGCCCCAGGTGGACATATTTTTCTAAAGTTGAAAGTAAAATTGAAGTGCCGCTTAAATTTTCAGAATTTTTTTATGACTGGTTTAAGAGAAACCTGTGTTCAAAAAAGTCACCATATCGATACTCATCCTTTCATTGAACCACTACATATATCTAGTGAGTTCAGATTTAGACCAATTAATTTAGGTTATTACTAATTACTATGGTGTTGATTTAATTGTTTCTGCCTATGCAAACTACATAATGTAAATGAAATTGAGTATTTCCTCATAACAAATACAAGGAAGCTGGTTGTTAGTGTGTCATATAACAAAGTTATGTCTCTAAAAAGAAAGTAGGGCTGTAGGGTCTATAAATAAGTGTTTTGATGCTGAATTAATGACTCCAAAAGAGGCTGTATATTGAGTTTGAATATAAAGCAAAAGCCAGATTGTAACCATAAAGGCACAAATATATTCTGCAACTGTATTTATAATTGGATAATGCTAATTCAAAGGGTTGTCTCTTATCCAGTAGATGAGGCTCTCTTAATGATATCAAACTGTTGAATACCCTGCGTGCAGAGTCTAGTTAAACTACGAAGACGAAGCTCTCTTTTAAGAAGTGAAGTCAAACGAATGCAAAGGGTAACTGTTGAATGGAATATTCACTTGATATTTTGAAATGAATCAAGTTGTAGATCAGGCTGCTTTACAGGCCTGACATCTTTTATGCTCAACAACAGGTAAAAATGGACTGCAGTAGACAATCATAGGGCTCCCTAGAGGTTGATAAGTAGATATTATATCCCGAGATGTATATCTGCAAGAATTGTATAGTAAATAAGTCAACAAGTCAGGTTCAGTAAATGCATCCCAAATTCGAAATCTCAAAAGTGCATATTATCTTGACACAATCTCATTTTATCAAGGTCATAAGCTGGGTATTTATTTTTCCCCATTTGAATCACTGAAAGGTCAATTTACAACTTTAAATTGATACATCGATTAATTACATCAACATTTTCTACAATTTAAGCTATTAAAATGGAGAAAAATGTTAACCAATTATATATTTTTAGAAATATTTTTTCAGAAAAGCTGGCTGGTTTAATTTATCCCTATTGATGATAAACAAACTAACAACATTTTGTTAGATAGAAGCTCTGGAGTTGTTTCCCCATCCAAATATTCCAAGAGCGGTTTAAACTGATATTCCACGAATGTATCAAAATATGTGAACTTTACGTCACCCCATATTGATCACTATTTTTTTTTTTTTGGGGGGGGGGGGCTAAATCTTGAGTAGTGTTATACTACACTATAGCAGGCTATGCATGTCAATAGTAAAAGAAACATTGACCACTTTTTGATGAACTAAAAAACAAACTCCCCGGGGATAACCAAGCAGTAATATTGTTTTCTTTGAGTAAAATGCATACCCATGGCATGACAGGACAGCATTTCAGAAATCTCTTCTTAACTTAAATTAACCAAAACATCCACCTTAAAACCTGCCACATTCAAAAAATAATCAACTCTAGAATTAAACACCAAAAAACATCACTAAAATTCTCTAACAAATCAATCAAGCAATAAGCCCTCAAATGTGCAGATAAGAAAAAGAGAGACTTCCTTATCAATTTACCATGGAATTTTAAAATAAAATTTGTAAACTGATAATTCTTCAAATCTCACCAACAGAATCTTGAGTTATCTAGTACACCAAGTACATATACTCATGTACTGTTATTTATGCTTGAAGTATATGGCCTTAGCACTGATGTCTACTCATCAGACACCATGAAAATCCTAAGGCTATAGATGTGCATAAAGATTAAGAATTACTTCCACATTTTATGTGTGAACATAACAAGGGAACAACACTTTAATTAAACAAAGCAATATAAAGGGTGTTACACAGCACAGGGTATGTGTATAATGGTCTGATGAGGAACATATGAAGGAGTCGCTGTAACCTATCCAGCTTCATAAACATCCCTCAAAGTAAGTTTAGATTTAAATTTTATTACATTAATTACTTATTAATACAAATTCTTTAATAGAACTATTTCATTACATCACATCAATGAACAGGCATTTAGCCCTTAGAAATTTCTTCCCTGGCACTGGTTAAGGATCCAATTAGGAGGGGTATGCATTTCTAGTTTTTGCAAGAGTCTAGTAAACTGCCAAAGCACACAACTGCATCTCCAGCAGTTTGCCAGTTTCTGGTACAATACCAGATCCAAGAATAACACTGACTCAAGAACTGCATTATAATGTACCAAGAGCATTAATGTGGGAAGAGCATGGGGATTTCATGGAGACGTTTTCTATGATGAATGATCTATGGATATGGACATATATTCATAGGTAAGTGAAAAGTGAAGAATACTTCACAGCCTCTCCAAGATGCACAGAGTACAGAGGACATTTTTGATTGCATGGTTTATATTTGTTTTGTAGTTTTTTTTATTCTATCCAGTGATAAAGAGTACTCATATAATATCCAAATTTCATATAAAGGATAGAATACATTAAATCTCTCCAGTACAATCCATCCTTAGGCATACAAAGTATGGACTACTGGTACATAAAGCTGTATACAGAAGTGATAAAGACAGTGAATGACTAGTATCAGTCCTGGTATCGGTGTATTTCAATGCCTAATCAAGAAAGGTTTGATAAGTTTAAATCTTTGTTATAAATGATAAGTCTACTCTTACTGTACCAATATTAACTAGAATATTAATTATTTACTAAAATTTATCATTAAGTTCAAAGCAAGATCAAACAAGAACACAAATGTGGACAAAATGTCCCCACCAATGGGTGATCTCACCAAATGGTTATCCTGAAAATGAGTAGACTTTAGACTTTACCAACACAATTTGAGGACGGAAAATCCAAAATGGCCACCTTTAAATTTACCCAGAATGCCAAAAATTTAGTCAATTCTAGATTTTCATACTAAGAAGCACCCCTGAAAATTTGAAATTGATCCGTCACAGTTAACCAGAAAACATGTAAACAAGACTTTACAGACAAGATTTTAGGATGGAAAATCCAAAATGGCTGCCTTGACATTTATCCAAAATGTCAAAAAACTAATCTGTTTCTAGATTTTCATACTAAGAATCATCCCTGAAAATATGAAATTGATCTACCGAACGGTTCACCTGAAAATTTGTAGACAAGACTTTACAGACAAGATTTTAGGACAGAAAATCTAAAATGGCTGCCTTGACATTTACACAGAATGCAAGAAAACTAATCAGATGTAAATTTTCATACAAAGAATCATCCCTGAAAATTTGAAATTGATCTACCAAACGGTTAACCTTAAAACGCGTATACAACACTTAACAGGCAAGATTTTAAGATGGAAAATCCAAAATGGCTGCCTTGACATTTATCCAGAATGCCAAAAAACTAATCAGATCTAGATTTTCATACTAAGAATCATCCTTTAAAATTTGAATATTGATCTACAGAAGGGTTCACCTGGAAATGTGTAGACAAGACTTTACAGACAAGATATTAAAACAGAAAATCCAAAATGGCTGCCTTGACATTTACCCAGAATGCAAAAAAACTAATCAGTTCTAGATTTTCATATTAAGAATCATCCCTGAAAATTTGAAATTGATCTACCAAAACAGTTCACCTGAAAACACGTAGACAAGACTTTAGAGACAAGATTTTGGATGGAAAATCCAAAATGGCTGCCTCGGCATTTATCCAGAATGCCAAAAAACTAATCAGATCTAGATTTTTATACTAAGAATCATCCCTGAAAATTTGAAATTGATCCACCAAACAGTTCACCTGAAAACATGCAGACAAGACTTCACAGACAAGATTTTAGAACAGAAAAATCCAAAATGGCCGACAATAAAAAAGTGAATATGAGTTTTTGCTGATTTCTTTTTACAAAATTATCACATATAACTACTGTTAACAATAACATATATAATAGACTTTTACAAGAAAGTACATCTGAAATTATTTATGAAGCTACTAAATAGTCAAAGTATGAAAACTCAAAAACACCATTCAATATGATACAAAGTATTATCGCGCGCTAACTTTTCTTATGACATTCCAAATGGCTGCCATGACTGAGCTAACAGGTTCAAAACCTAATCAGATCTAGAATGAAGTGAGCTGAACAAGATGTTAAAGTTTTAAAAGCAACTGTGAAGCCGTTTTTCTTAAAGTTTGCAGACAAGGATTTTAGCATTTGACTTCAAAATGGCCGACGGGAAGTAGGTTTCGAGTTAAAATTTTTTCATCCACATCTGTATGCACTCATAAGTTTTCCCTGAAAATTTGAGATGATATCTGTAGGTGTTTTGGAGAAGACTGCCGGACGTACGGACGGACGGACGGATGGACAGACGGATGGACACGCCTAGGCCGACAATATGGCCCCACACTATGTGGTGGGGACATAATAATAAAAACACTGCATACAAAGAATCTGCATTAGAAACACAACTTTTGTATATAAATTTGGTTGAGTAAACCTTAGAGATGTCACGGATACAATGGGGATACCACAGATATCATGCCCCCCTTTGGGTGGGCCCAGAAAAAGGCCTTTTTTGGGCCTTTTAAGGCCAAATTGGCAAAAAAAAGGCCTCAAATTTTCAAAATTTAGGCTCATATTTTGGATTTAGTGGCCTGGAAATCTTTTCCCAGATTTGTTGTTAGCTTCTGGATCTGCCAGTGATGATGGAGCATTAGCCTTGCCCAAGTCGGTCTCTTTTATTATCTTGATTTCTATTATGACCGCCTTGTACCAAAGAGAAAGCCACATGCTTTACCGACTCAATGTTTATGTCGGTAAAATTTGACCAATCAACGACGGCCCTGCAGCGTTAGCTCATTATTATGCACGGTCAAAAACAAGTACACTTTACTTTTCGCCGGGACTTTTCACGAACAAATCTTGCATTCATGAATTCATCATGGAAATACAAATATTTTATCAGATAAATATCAATCAGAGTTTAGTGGATGCCGGAGCATCGATCGGTAACCGGAGGTGAGAAGATTTCAACAATAAACGTTGAAACGATCGCTGAATTCAAATGAACATGTAGGCTGAGATTCAATCACTGATCAACTACATGACCCGCTACATTGGACTCGGTCTTGCATTTTCATCGCGAAATCAGTTTTAAATCTATTGCATCATTTAATTTATATTAATGACTCTTACATTCCCTTTAAAGGGAATGCGAAGTTTCATGTTCTAATTTACACGCTGGCTACTTATAACCATCATCTATCACTTCAGCTCACTCATGGGACATATCGTGTTTGAACTAACATATAATTCAAGTTCAAAGTACCCATATCTGGATCGCTGCGGATGCCGCCATTGTTATGTATCAATGACGTCATTGATGCCTTAAAATTGATGCCTGGAAAATGTCGCTATATAATCACGTCATACTCGGATCGCAGAAATAGAACACATTTCACTGATATTTCACATCATTATTAACCTTAAGGTTTACGTTGGCAAATAGGCATACTGCCGCAATTGCTTTCTTACCTAATCATAAGTGATAGATTTCTTCAATCTGTAGTATTCTATTCAAATATGAATAGGTGCATATTGGAGAATGAAAGAAATAAAACAAAAAGTAGTAGTCCAATGAAACAGTAACTCCCTAAAGTGTTTAGCCATTTAAATTCTGATGAAAAACGCAAACAAAAAAACGAAAAATCGATGTCGTCTAAATGATACGTATGTAAATGTCAATCTCCTAAATACTAAGATTGGCAATAGCTTTACAAGGACATGCCACTGTCATATTTTCAAAGAATAATACGTAATGTTTAATTTTTCTAAGTTGTTAAAGGACCATTTTCAATCATCATATCACCGACGTAGCGACATTCGATATGACAAAAAAGCTTTTCAAAATTCAATGGTATTTCACCTTGGATCATGACAAGAGAAGGCTCATAACATTCAGTGATGCGGGGAGACGATGGGGTCGATTGTAGTATGATATTTCATTTCAACGACGATAAGGCAATTGCCGTATTGATAGTACGCCAATAGTTTAATATTTATTTTATTATATATTTATCATTTTTGCTAAAAACAATTCCTGATTTCGAGCTCGAATTTAATTATATAACACCCGTGGTAAGTACAGTTCTACAGTATTTTCGAAATAATGATTTTCAATTTAATGGCATACAACCTTTTGTTTTTCTATATCGGAAAATAAGTGGAACTTTAAAAGCTTCAGTCACATTTGTTCAATGCGACCACACGTCGATCGTATTTCCCTGAAATCAGTAAATTTCTGCGGCAAACATAGGAAAACTACAGTCGACTTATCAGTTTTTATCAGGCGTAGAGTCGGAGTTATAACTTTTTCTTTCCTGTGGTCACTATAGATATCAACAAGCAGCAGTCAAACCGTAGGTCTCACGACGGCCGTACGTCGGGTTCACGGTCGACTTGCGGCTGCGCTTGGATTTCATAGGTTACAATTGACCTTTCCGAACCATAGAACCCCTTGTGGATGCCTTCAAGAAAAACAATGCACGTCGTAGGGCCGCCCTACGCTGATCGTGCGTCATCATTTATCAGCTGTACGGGAATCGTAGTTTTTCCTCATAATCAAGATACGCCGTACGGCTATCTTAGCAAATGTGACTGCTAAATTATCTGACTGCAGAAACATCCTGCTTACCACAGAAATGATAGACCGTACGGTCCCCGTAAAAATGTGACGTGAGGCTAAGAATCAACGATAGTAATTGGATTCGGTTTTAAAATTTAATTTTAAAATTTTAATTTCTTTGAATACCCGTGTTAAAGATAAACATGAATGCAATGAATATTAAAGTACGAATACGTACTTTTGTAATGAGACTAGCAAATTTAAACCATTGCATTCTTGGAAATTCAAGATGGGTTGGTTGAATTAATTTTATTATGTTTTATTCAAATAGTTTGCATTCGCCTGATAGAATTAGCATTCTCTGTTCGCATTTAGCGCTAGACCTAATAAAAACGAATCCCAGATTGTTTCAAGTGTAAATAAAGAATAAATCTAACCCGCATTCCATGTCTAGATAGGTAAAAAGCAATTCCGAAAATGCCAGCGTTATTCTATTGAAATCGTTCTTTATTATGGGTGGTATATACGTATTCTTTTAGTTCCTTTGAAATGATTTCTTTGGTCTTGGAATGGCAACAACTCGGCATTCATTTTTTGATTCAAAAATGGCGCCACAAAACTTTTGGAATGCCAAGGCATCAATCTGGCATCAATGACGTCATAACAATGTCGTAAAGAACCACTTTACGGTTGAAATGGCAGCTCCGTGGTCCAGTTCATATGCAAAACCCGGGGCTCAATAACAATTAAAAGGATAATGATAGAACAATAAAACTAAGTTGGATTGAAAGATATATCTTTATTCTAACTTATTATCAAGTTTAAGGGACAAAACTTTCCCTTTAACGTACATTTAATTACATTATATATTGTAACTCTAAAGAAACGATCGATCATATCATTGAATTTCAAATCGGGAAGATTGCTTTGCTTATGCAGGTCAACCTGATAACGTTTTGATTGGTCAATCAGCCTGAAGTCACACGTCGTGTCCACGCGTATATCTCTTATCAATAAGGTTTCGCGATACCCCTGATAGCGTAGGTATTATGGAAATCTCGAAACCGTTGAATAACTCTGCATAATATCAGCGCAGGTGTATTGGATTGTACAAGGCGGTAATAATTCAAGATCAGATAAGTAAAAAATACCGACTTAGGCAAGGCTAATGGAGCATCCAAATGCGAGAAAAGGTACAGTTGTTATCAAAACCACAAGCAATCCCAAATAAACAAAAAATAAATAAGTGTTTGATAAATGTACCAAGATTATTTTGAAAATGTATAAAAAGTCATTCAAATTAAGAAAAAATATATTGTTCAGAGTGAACAGAACATAAAAACACGACATTGTGTTTATGAGGACCAATGTAGTTGAACTATAACTCAACCAATTGTGAATGGAATCAATGTCTTTATAAGAGTATAATACTATAAAAGAGTGAGCATTGAGGATTGTGAATGAAAGCTTTTACAAAAAAAATGCTAAAACTATTCAGTTAAAAAGTTCACGACTAGAGACAAGCTACATTTTTCATGTAAACAGTAAACAGTAATACTTAGTTCTCAAATTATCAATAATAAAACAGAATCTAAAGTGGCGGTAAATAAAACAGACTACACAGGGGCGTAGCAAGCTTTCAGTCAGGGGGGTTGCGATCGCCAAAGAAATTTTGGTTTCCAATCAGGGGGTGTGATTGTGGCACAAGCAACCAAAAAAGATTAATATTTGTTTTGAATTTTACAAAAATTGATGTAACTTCCTTCAAAATTGAGCTAGAAGCCTCAAATAAAAAGCATTTAAAGCTCTTTTCTTCCTCTATCTAATGTTTAGATTTTCATTGATTTTGGGTGGGGTGCGATCCAACCACCCTCCTGGAAAGGCCTATGCTACAGGAAGTAAAATGTTGGAAAACAATCTTACATTTATTAGCTATTCTATATCAATATGAAATGTAGGATCATATCCTTAAATACATGATGAATTAAAAACTACTGCAAGAAGGGGAAGACCAAATACAAAAATCCAAGGAACATTTCAGACTACAACTGTGACAAAGTCAAGTCTTGCTACTTCATTATTCAACATGGTAACTATAATTATATATAATTTCAATAAAAAGTCAAATTTAAAAGCTACTTCCAGTAAAAATTATTTTTCCTACAACATGATGAGGTTCTGATTTGCGCATTTGACGATGTTATATATCTAATGCCTAAAATTTTACATTAATTAGATTGATACTTTTTATTAAATAAGAATTAAAGTTCATGGATCATAAAAACCACTGCTATTATAGTCCATTGCAATAACTCAGTTGCGAGTGGGTAGTTACCAGTTTCACCACCAGGTGGCTGATTCGGGGGAAATAACATGGCAGGGTATTACAAAATTCCCTTTAACTTAAATATTTATATGTTTTAGTGGTTTAATTTTCATATCACACTTATGTATCTAATAATTATGCAAATCAAAATATGTCCAGTAAAAAATATTATTGGTCCAATACAAGAAAAGATATTTCACTTTTTTTGATTTTATATAACACGGGGTCTATGGGGAATCTCCCTCAACTAGGAAGTCACATTTTCAAAAAAATTAAATCTTCAAGGTTGATAAACAATTTTCAAAACCATATTGCTAGACTTGCTTTTACATATAGATTTCAAATATGACATCACTTTGACAAAATTTTGAATGTTTAATGACGTAAATCAAGATTATTTCTACTCGCATCTAGACTATTGGGTTGGGACGTCAATAAAACCCCAAAAAATTTATTCATAATTTATTTTTTAGGTTTTATTAACATCACAACTGAATTGAAATGGACCATACACTTAAACACACCCAGAATTGAATAGATTTAAGTAAAATCTGGCTGTTCTAAAATATGCAATAAGGGAAGTTTACCTAAAAATGTAACCTGTAGTTCTCAAAAGTTCATAAATTAATTACTTAAGATTCAACCATTTACTGTGTTCATGTATGTTGTGTATTAGTTCCATTTGATCATTTCATCAGAATATTAAAATATAGTAATAGACTAGATGCGAGTAGAAAAAATCTTGATTTACGTCATTAAATATTCAAAATTCAGTCAAAGTGATCTCATATTTGAAATCTGCATGTAAAAGTACATCTAGAAATATGGTTTCGAAAATTGTCTATCAACTTTGAAAATTTAATTATTTTTGAAAATGTGAATTCTTGTTCGGGTTGATTCCCCATAGACCCCATATTACAAAATCACAAAAAGTGAATTATCTTCTCTTGTATTGGACAGATTACATTTTCTTTTACTGGACATATTTTAATTTGCATAACTATTAGATACATAAGGGTTATATGAAAATTGAACCACGCAAATAGATGTAATTTAAGTTAAAGGGAACGAGCCACCTGGTGGTGAATCTGGTAACTACCTACTCGCATCTGCGTTATTGGCCACTTGATTCAATTCTTGATATTAGTGTTTTTTCTGAAAAGTTACTAATTCACAATGAAGCAACGATGTATCTTTTAGAATCAATATTTTATAATGAAGTGTATATTTTTAAAATTTAAATCTTAAATAAAATAAGATAAGTGTCAGAATGAAACAGATTACAAATAACAATTTAATAAATGAGAAATGTAAGAACGATATCACCCAAATTAAAAAAATGTCCCAATTCAAGTTTGAAAAATCAGATTTTTCAGGAACATTCTGTTTCAATTTTGCTAGTTATACTATACTGTACATGCACATTTAAAAACTAAATAGGTGGATTTTAAATTAAATAATTGATTTCAACCATGTTTAGCAAAACTAAGCCTTAACTTAACATGTTATGATCACCAGATTAGAAAATTAAATGAAGTTTGTCATGAATGGCAAAGGATTATTATCAATACCAGGATGCATCATTTGTTTTAAACTTTGGCTTTTGAAGTCCATTCATCATATATTATGCATCTTTTTATATTTCATACGTATATGTTTTCATCATCATAAAGTTTAGGAGAATTGGAGGCTTTATGTTCTATCAGTCACATTAAAAATCACATTAAAAACTATTATAACTTAGCTCTTAGATTATACAAGCATGTACAAACTATACTGTTAATATAATTAAAAATTCATGAATCAGATTAATATCTGTGATTTAAACTCATGGGTTATGGGTTGATTCTTCCTCCATTGTTGAAATAATCATGAATTTTGCCTATTTTTCAGATGAAGTTTAGTGCAGCTACAACAAGAAAGATGAAGATGTTAATGAGGCTTGCAAAGAGGTCATTAATCTGGATCTCCCTTATTGGACTGGCATTCTTCATATCAACAATCATTCACCAACTTTCTGGAGCAAACAAACTTCCAAGTACATCATCCATAACGTTAAAGCAACCAGACAGAGCTAGTATACACCAGGATACACCCAAAAAAAGTTTAGATTTGCCAGTAATCATTAAGCCGAAGATATCAAAGGAGGATTATCAAGCCGCTGAAGATGATATGAAATATCGTAAAAGTCATGTAGAAGACACTTGTAAAAGACTGGGCAAGACAGGAGGTCAGCTTTCAGCAGTCACGCTTAAGCATATTGTTGTTGATGACAAATATAAGTATTTGTACTGTTACATACCCAAGGTTGCTTCAGGTAGTTGGTTACGGCTACTTCTACCATTGACCTACCCCAATATAAGTATTGCGCAGAGTGACATACAACATAGGGAGCAGGTTCGGAAGCTCAGTGATTATTCGCCAGAGGAAAGACTTTTCCGACTATATAATTATCTCAAATTTACTTTTGTCAGGAATCCATATGAGCGATTTCAGTCAGCATTTGCGAATAAGTTCACAGAACCCAAGATAGAATCCATACGCAAATCAATTGGTCCAACTATTCTCCGACGATACAGGAAGAATCCTACTGAAGAATCATTGAAGACTGGAGAATGGGTCCAATTTCACGAGTTTGTCCAATATCTTATAGACCCAAGAACTAAATCCTTTAATGAACACTGGGACAGATTTACTTCGTTATGTGATCCATGCAATGTAAACTATGACATCATTGGTAAATATGAGACTATAGTCAGAGATGGAAATTATATGCTATCAAGGATAAATGCAAGTGCCACATTCACTTATAAGCCATATAAATCTGCCCAGACAACATTTAAAGTTAAGAAAGCCTATGGGAAAGTTTCACCAGCTGATTTCCGTAGTCTTGGAGACACTTTCCAGGATGACTTTGACATATTTGAATATGACAAAACAAGATTAACAAACACACTGTAACATCAGAACTTGAACAAAAAATAGCAAAATGTTATATAAAACATTTCTAGGTAGTCTTCATTCCTGATTTATTGTTATAAAAATTTAAAAACACATATCGGTGATTTCCCCAGCACTGAACCAACTGCAACCTGATGACATTTCAAAAATTATGAGCCACCCTGTTTGTATCCTGTTAACAGGTTAAAAAGATGAAATACATGTATTAAGATAATTTGACCAACCTGTGTAAAATATAGGATTTAGGACTTGAACCCACAGACATTCGATCTATTTTAAATCTCAGCATTCATTAAAATACTCATGAAAATATATCATAAATCAAGTCACTAAAGAAATAGAAATACATGTACATTTGTAAATAGAGATTATCCTGGGGTCATTAACAGAAACTTCGTAAAGTTACAAATTTGTAAATCAATTGTTGTAACCATGGATACAAGGAAATCACAGTAAGAGAACAATGGATTTTTTAAATTTTTTAACTTAACAAATTATCTGTTAAAGGGATCCAACACCTTACAAAACTTCTTAACGGAGAGGAATAAGGGAAAATGCTTGCCGGATTCTGAATCTGTGTATTTTTTAATGATTTTTCACCGTCTTAGAATTTCAATTTTTTTCCTTTGAAAAAATGAGATTTGCATTGTTTTCCAATTAGACAAATGAGTAAACATGAATAGCTCGAAATCTAACGGTGAGATTTTGTTTTAAAAAATCATTGTTATCAAGGCTAAATATAGCTATACAATAAACATAAAAAAGCAATGCTTAGACTCTTCATATTCACACAAAAAATTAATTAGTAAATGAGGTTTGATATTTGTGAGAATAAGTTGTACGAGTCGCAATGCTCTACAAACACCAGACTACAGGGTGGATTAGGATCAATGACACACATAAAAATTAATTTAAAAATATTTCATGATAATTATCTCAAACAAAAGCAGTTAGCGAAGGATACATTTCATTACACTCAATAAAAAGTTATCACTTTTGACTATATATACATATCTCATGGGAATGTATTTCCATCTGCTCAAGATATCATATTTTAGCTTCGAAAATCACAATCGTTGGATAATGCATTTGTCTCAGAATGATAGGCCACCCTGTAGCAATGTAGCTTTCACTTGAATTGTACCCTTGAGAATAATGAACTTACTAAATCAAATTGGTCTTGCTTTTGTGGTGTATGTGGCTTTTTAGCAAATCTGCCACGCTCATTTCTTTCCAGAACCATCTTGTTCACATGTAACACTAGGCTATACGCGCATGTATAGACAGATGACATAGATATACATATAAATTATATATTGCACCTGTATTTACTTACATGGGAATATTCCCTTTGGAAAAATGCAAATGCATGAACATATATTTTCATCTTATATATGACTTCAAGCTAACATATTATTTCATATTTATATTTTCATAGTTAGTCTAACATAAATAATAGATCCATGAGAACAATATTCTTTGTTTTCTTAAAAATCGATGGGTTTACTGTGAATTCAATAAATTACAATTTGCAATGGGTAAGTATAATGTATGACCTTAGTTGCAAAGTACTGTTTATATATGCAGCTCAATAGCATAAAATATGTTGAATGAAGCATATGGTATGGATTAGTCGTGTGACACACAAACTGACCAATATATGAGGGTATTAGCTACTTTTCACAGAAACCAAAGGAGGACAGTGCTTTTATTTCAACTGGGAGCTTACCTCCACACGACTGATCATGTGACCATGGTGTTGGGTCCCTTTAATGGCCCCCTGATGTGGTTCAGAATACTGGGATAGCATCGAGGGATAATCCCAATATTCTTTCTCATTTATTTCATAATTTGTTCATTTTGAGGTTAATGTGTATTTTTGAAAGGACATGTATATGTACCTATTTATGGAACATAGAAATATGTCATACTGAATTATTGAAGGCAAATAAAAATAACAAGGAATACTCCTTATCGAATTTCTTAATTTGGAAAGCTAGTTCTAGAAAAGCAGCCTTGAACTTCAAAATAGTCAAGTTTTTTAAACCAGTGAGCAACTTTGATATATATCATTAGTCTATCATACAATGTACCTAATAGACGCAATCACAGTGCATTTTCATATTGAAAATTCATTCATATTTCAGATCATATTGTTTGGATTATTCGTAGTTTGGGTAACAGATGTAAAGCCTCTTAATATTGTGATGTTTCTCTACTACTGTTGTTATTGAAAAAGATATTATAAGGCTGAAACTCCTATATTATGTGAGGGTAGAAAGTTTACTATACAAAAAAGTATTTATCTGATATAAACAAAGGTTTTGCATGTGAAATATGAAACAAAATAATGGCATGGTAATCAATCTGTGTTTATTTATAAATATTCTCTTCAGGTAATCAACGGGAGCCATCTACAAACGATCTGAAATGATTTTTTCTAGTTATATTTTTCACATTGGGAATAGCGTTAAGTCGACATAAATTGGTATTCAAAAACTACATCACAACTCATTGAGCACCTGAGAGAAAAATATAATACTGGATTCTTTTGGTGCTGCCATCTTTATATCGGCCCAGAACCTATGTTTAAAATGGTACCCAATGCAAACTTTCAGTTGCCAAACTAATTGAGGGGAGTGTTTGTCATATATATTCAACATACCTTGCTTGATCTGATCTTCAAGTCTCCACTTGGTGATATACTGTATATTTTCTCCAACATTTTGTTGTTCTGGTGGTTGTTGTTTACTCTTACAAGAACACTCCAGCATTGGATAATGATGATCATATTCAATAGGCTTGGACATGTTGTGAGGTTGTTGTAGATGTTCAACAACCTATAAAAATAGGTGAAATAAATGAAAACAGCAGCAACAACTGTATATGTATTCACCCAATGCAGACTGAGTGGATCTGGGGGAATATGAATTTCACGTTTGAATCTGATGCTAATGACAGCAGACAAGAATTTTATTCATGAAAGAATAAATATATTTCTCATGAATCTAGGTTTCTAATAAACCCAGAGATATGACTAAAACATAAATGCTATCGCCATATTTTGACATTTAAAAAAAGTTTAAAACAAAACATACTCTGTGTTAATAAGCAGACCCAATCTCATCTGTTTAGGCACTCATTTTTTATCCCAGATTCTTGAGGAAGCCCCTGATAGAAGTCAAAACTCCAATAGTCCAACTAATCGGGGAGTCCTGTTTAGATTGTGATCTGTTTTGAGTGAAATTATCCAGATTATGCTTATTGGTAAGAAAGAAAGGTAAGAAAGGAGGATGGAAAGTATCGCAACAGATTTCGGACAGTCATGTGTTTGATTTTGGCTATTTTCTGAGGATTTACTGTAAACAGGTGCATATGTTAGGCAGGGGTGGAAGGGGTTGAAAATCAGGACAACATTTCAGAAAAACATGTGGGTGGGTTGTTTGCATCTTCCCTGTCTCAAAGTCAAAATTATTTTAGTATCTCTATGAGTGCTTTTCCTGGAGGTAATGCATTGGTCTAACATATGCACCTGTTTAATCATCAGAAAATAGTCAAAATCCAACATATGACCGTCCAAAATCTGTTGCGATACTTTCCGACCCGTCCTCCTTTGAATGAGGCCCAGCCAACTGGTACCAAAACGTCCTCCTTTGAATGAGGCCCAACTAACTGGTACCAAAACGTCCTCCTTTGAATGAGGCCCAACTAACTGGTACCAAAACGTCCTCCTTTGAATGAGGCCCAACTAACTGGTACCAAAACGTCCTCCTTTGAATGAGGCCCAACTAACTGGTACCAAAACTTTCTATTATCTGCAAGATTTTGATAGCAATTGATAAATAAACATGATAATTATTTATTTATCTATTATTATCATTGCCAAGATTTTGTCAGAACTACAGTTTTGATAAATTATTTGAATTAGATTCTTCTACAAACAAGATCTGATCATTATTAATTTTTCCACAGTAAATACACTTTTTCATCAAAAACTGAGGTTTATTTTGAAGAGAAACCATGTACATGTAGCCATGCAGCTGTCCAAGGAGGATTGACTCCCAGAATGCAACATCATCTACCAGTGTCAAAATATATTTTAGTTTGGATATTTCATCGAGACTAACATATATTTTCATTATCTACAAAGAATCCCCTGGATGAACATTATTTGAGCTGATATTCCTCTTGAAACGTGGTGGATCTTAAAAATCTATAAGTGGGACTCCCTTTATAGAACCTTTGAACTGAATGTACACTTCTTAATGCTGAAATTGATAGTTTATGCATACATTTTAAGAAAATAGGTACATATGTCAAAGATGGTGTTAAGCCAAATATTGACCTGATAGATCAGAAAAAATAAAAATTTTCGAATTTTCTCTCTACAGTCCTTGTTGCCCCTTTAAAAATCAAATATCCCTGATTGAGAGTATTTCAGAAGCTCAATGGAAAATAAGCATGACATTAAATGCATCCATAGGTTTAAAAATCTTGGGTATATAATATAATATGTATAAACAAGGCATTAACATGACAAAATGTCACCACCTAGTTGCTCACAATATTATGAGTTCAAACTTAAGTCAGATTTGAATTTCTGAGAACTTGTAAAGTCAAATTTGAACTTCTGAAAAGATGTAGATGTAGATGATTTTGAAAAAAAAATTTGGTCAATTTGAAGCAAGTTGAAAACAGACCTTTTTGACCTTTTTTGACCTTGAGAAGGTCATTGAAGGTCAAATGTCAAATCTTAAGTCAGATTTGAATTTCTGAGAACACGTAGATGATTTTGAAAAAAAAATTTAGTCAATTTGAAGCAAGTTGAAAACAGACCTTTTTGACCTTTTTTGACCTTGAGAAGGTCATTGAAGGTCAAATGTCAAATCTAAAGTCAGATTTGAATTTCTGAGAACATGTAGATGATTTTGAAAAAAAATTTAGTCAATTTGAAGCAAGTTGAAAAAAGACCTTTTTGACCTTTTTTGACTTTGAGAAGGTCATTGAAGGTCAAATGTCAAATCTTAAGTCAAATCTTAAGTCAGATTTGAATTTCTGAGAACACGTAGATGATTTTGAAAAAAAAATTTAGTCAATTTGAAGCAAGTTGAAAACAGACCTTTTTTGACCTTGAGAAGGTCATTGAAGGTCAAATGTCAAATCTAAAGTCAGATTTGAAGGTCAAATGTCAAATCTAAAGTCAGATTTGAATTTCTGAGAACATGTAGATGATTTTGAAAAAAAATTTAGTCAATGTGAAGCAAGTTGAAAAAAGACCTTTTTTACCTTGAGAAGGTCATTGAAGGTCAAATGTCAAATCTAAAGTCAGATTTGAACTTCTGAGAACATGTAGATGATTTAGAAAAAAATTGAAGTCAGTCTAAACAGTATTTGTTAAGTTATAGGAAGTTGTAAGAAATTGTTACAGACGCCGGACGCCAACCGCCGGACGCCAACCACCAACCACCGGACGCCAACCACCAACCACCGTCGCAAAAAACGGAGACCATAACAATATGTCACCACTTTTGGTGGTGACATAATAGTAAAAGACTATGTGCACATCTGCCAACAAGACAAGTAACTCAAGTGACATTTGTCTTGCAGTTTAGCTATCATATCGGTGGGCTCTTATATTTTGATACTTCTCTGCCAAGTTATTTTCGAAAATATTAACATGGCTGAAACCCCCCAAATTACAAAAGGCTACAGCTTTGCCGCACATTATACATAACTTTTGAAATATACAAAAGTTAGGACTTGTGCATATGTTTTTGTTTTTTATATACTGTTGCGATATAGTCATTAATTCAAAGTACTTCCAAACATTAAAAATATTACTGTACAGTCGGAGACATTAATAAACCTCAACCATCAAAAGTTGTCACAATTAGCTAAATTCTAAGTTTCATGTCTCAAACTCTCTCAAGCGATAGAAAAATAATTCCCGTTCACTCTAAGTAGCACAATAGATGAATCCAAAGCTTCATACCTGCAAATGATAGATAAATTCCTACCAAATAGAACGAGTGTTTTCATGGATCGCCATGTTTGTGATCCAAGCAGGATTGACTCCCAGAATGCAACATCGTTAACCTTATTTACTCGTGACAGGTTTCAAAATGGCGGAATAGCATTTTGAAAGCTGTCATGTTGCATTCTGGGAGCCAATCCTCCTTGTGGCGTAATCGGGCACCAAAATCACCTCAACACTTGGAGAGTCAGCATAACCTGTGAATATCACTTCAAATTTTAGGTGTAAATATTTTCGAAACAAATGCGTGATATATACACATATTTTGTACCAAATACGTGACATAAACGGCAATCGCGTGCAAAGACCGAACGGAATGCGTTTGCTTTTTTTCGCCGTTCGTTTTTTTACCGTGTCGGCATTTCACAAAAAACGATTTTTAAAAATATCAACAAAATGCGTGATTTGCGTGATATTTGATCATACACGCTAAATTGATGCGTGATTTCTATTTTTACAGCAAATGTGTGACAATCACGCCTAATGCGTGAGGGTTGACAGGGCAGCATCAAGCATGACAATGAAGATGATAAAACCATGGTTATGGGAAGTCCTCCATATATTACTTATATTATATTTCTCAGGTTACGCATCTTCCATCCAAAATAAAAAATATGTATTTTTAAAATAAATTATTTGTCTAGTTTTCGTTAAACAAATATCCTGAGACACATAGGGCCTGTAGAAAACACTAAACAGAAAAAAAAAAAAATATTCATACCTCCAAATCTGCTTTATTGGTCAGATAATGCACCAAATCATAATGGTTGTTCAAAATAAAAATTTAAGGGGACGCTCCGCCTTATCTCGCAAGAATAAAGCAAATCACGCAAAGGCGCGTGATTTTTTCGACCAATCAAATAGCTTGAAATTTACCATTCCATTTCGTCCAGTGTTTCACACATGCGCAGTAGAAATTGTCAATTTACTGAGCGGACCCTTCAATGGCCTGGAGAAATTCTACTCACGATAATTGATGATTACTGAACACATATAGGCATAAGAGGTGAGCGACCCAATTATTTTTGCGTATAAATGATTCAAGAATAGCATGATATCAAACAATCTGTACATTATGCTACAATTCATTCAAAAATTGAATCTAGAGTACAGGTGACGATATTTTTTTCATATTTTTTTAATTTTCACTAACATTACCTGGTGTATATATACCTCCTAGATGGAGGACTTCCCACTATCTGTGGATAAAACATAAAAAAAGAAAATATGAACCTTGGTAAACTAATATTGCAGCAACTCAATTAAAAGTACAACAGTCTTAGTGTAAGAAATATATGATTACATAATGTTAAACATATACCTGAATTTAAACCTGTGAACAATGGATCTTGAAAGACAAATATCCAAAATGTGCACTTTTCATTTTCAAAACCATCACTTCCGGTTGCAGAACACATTCTATTTTCACGCATTATTACTTCTAAAATTGACATATTCATAAACTATTCAAAATTGCTAACTAGATGAATAAAAAACGAAATACTTTGATGCTCTATGATAAGTAAAGGTTTACATTCTATGTCACTACATAAAATTGAACATTTTGATGTTTGTGGAATGTGTAAATAAAATGGCGATGTGAAGCTGACCCAATTTCGGTGAGTTTCTTTGTTATTTTCCTCAAATATCTTTGCAAATATTAGCAATGTCATGTAGTTTTTAGATGCATCTGATTGAGGACACCCTCTTGTATTTTTCTTCCTCGCATTTTGCACCGATGCATTAAATGAAACCGTCTAAAATCATTTCATACATCATTTTCTAGATTCTTCAAAACCCACGCCAAACAAAAGTTCATCATTAGCCTGAGATAAAGAAGCTACTAAGATGGCATCGGTGCAGCTAAAGCCGATAGATGGTGGAGATGCCGTCACTATACCAGCAGGGGATACAACTATAGGTCGAGGTCCATTTCTAAAGGTATTACAAGTTGTTTTTATGTCAATTTAAAAGTTTCACTCTTTGTCATGGTTGGTGGTGTATCACAGTCCAAGGATTCACCTATTGATATTCTCAGGTAATATTCATCATTCTAAACTCTGCTCCAAAACATTTTACAGTCTGAAGCCCACCTTCTGCTTTTATGCATACTTTTATAACAAAGTATTACGAAGCTGTCCTAAATCCGCCATTATCATATCAGTTTATTGATATAAGGCTTATACAATAAAGCACCAAACTCGTCCGGCCCATTTATCTTTACTCGAGTCTCTAGCCAATACTTGGCTAGAGGGGATTCATCTGGAATACTGTGAACTCTATTTGAAAAAAGCTGCCGGGGTGTCATAAATTTATTGGATATTTTAAAAATCGCCAGATAAATAAATCATTAATCAAACCGGACCCAGCTCGGCTCCTTGATGAGATATGACATGATTTCATCAGGATTTCGTCTAAAATTAAAACAAAATGGCTCCAAGAAAAATGGCGATGTTCGAAAACTGGACGAAATGTCGTTACGTCTGACATTAGTAACTGGCTGTAAATTCTAAGTTAGCGATCCAGAAGATGTGAACTAATACACTGATCACTTTGTGTGTGTTTTGGAATTTTTGGTGAGGTAATAAGACCAAAATTCGCAATTCAAATTGTGATGTGGAAAAATGGCGGACATATGATTTCAAATTTTATGATTACGACATGACCAGTTGTTCATGCAGGAATATATCTGTACTGGAAGGCCACGATACAGTGGCCTTAGAAGAAGGTAAATTTATCTACTCCCAGATTGTGAAATGTTGTAGATACTGGGCCAGACGATACCCAATAGAAAAATGGATGGATTTACTCCAGAGAAAACACACTGCTTTTTCAGTGTACAATATGCACTGATATCTGAATAAACTTTGTAAAATATACTTAGGCCATAAGAAGTAGATTCTTTGTTTTGCGTCCTGGCAAAATTAAAATCATGCAAGGGTACAAGGAAAACAAACACAAACTCAAGAAAAAACCACAAATTTGTTTGCTGAGAAATGAATACATTTCAAGGGCATAAAAAGGGATGACATACCAATTTGTAGTGATTACAAACACATATCTATACATTTTATACAATATATTTAAACATATAGCTATTATTCAAGGGTAAAAAATAAGAAAATAAACAATGTATGCCAAAATAATCAATAACACTGTCAATTTTGAGGCACATCAAATTATCCCCCATTACATCTGATTCTGATTGAACAATATGCGATGGTACTTTCAGACCCTTGTGATTGCTATTTGGATAGGTTTGTTTTTTCTGATTTACTCAAAATCGTGCAAGCAAGGGGGCGCAAAACAAAGAATCTACTTCTTATGGCCTTACATGTTTGTTCCTAGTGTTATGTTTTGTATTTCTAGTAGGTTTCCATCATTGGATGGCTTCTAATTAATAAGAAATAAATGATTGATTATGTAGCAAAATGAAAGAAATCTTCTGCAATCTGTGCGTGATCTCATAGAATATTGAGAAGTCTCGGCTAATTATTTCATTCAGTACATCATTAATTTAACAAAAAATTGAAAAATCGTATGTACTGCCCAACATATTTCTAACTATGACATAGATATGTCAGTTTTATAAATTAAGCGATGTAATGATGACAAATCTTCTGAACAAATCATAATATTTGGAATGTAGTGCTCTCCCCAGAATTTTTTTGTAGGGAGGATTTTGTAAAAAAAATTGCAACATTTTGGGATTTTGTTATTCTGAAAGTGCAACATTTTAATATTTTTTACTCCTAAAGTGCAACATTTTATTTGTGTTTGGGGGCCTGGGGGCCACCCCCCCTTGGGTGGGCCCAGAAAAAAAATTGGGCCCAAAAAATTGTTGGGCCTAAAAAGGCCTTAGGCCTTTTTGAGCATTACTGGGCCTTTTTAATTTTGAGCCAAATTTTGAAACAAATGGGCCTTAAATTTTCAAAACTTGGGCCCACTTTTTGGTTTTAGGGGCCCAACATATTTTAAAAGTTTGGGCCCCCCCCTTGTTGGTTCCAAGATCCGCCCCTGTATACGTACTGATTTTACATTTTTGGTAATAAACTTTTAAAATTTAAATTTGCCGCTTCGTCCATCATTTCCATTCAGCAAAAAAGCATATTTTTTGTTGAAATTCAACAGGGCCATTTTAAGTTAATCGGGCAACCAGATTCACTTAAAAAGTACTTACACTCAATTGTGTTGTGCCAGACAACTTGCCAGCGGTGTGCTTCTGACATTCTTCTGATAAAATCAAGTAAATATATCGAAATAAGGGGAAAGTTATTTTAAGTCTAGGAGAAAAATAGTGGAGTGATTACGAACGGCACAAATTTGTGTTCGGTCGTTTGAAATACTATGAACGACGTGAATTTACGATCGGTCAACTAAAGTAGCGAACGTTCGCTTTTCTTCCATGTAAATCTGTAATTGAAGCAAAGGAATATGCGTTCGATAAAACACTGCATAAGTGAAAATTTAAAAACAAACAAAAGATTTTGTTATTTTAAATCTTTTGAGGCGGAGAAACAACGTGTAGGGTTTGTCAGTGGCGCAAGGAATAACCCTGAGGCGCATTTCTTTGATTGCAATTGTTTGGAGGCGCAGCGCCTCAGTAAGTTCAATGTAGGGAGAGCACAGGAATGTATTGATTACCATGAAATTTTCTTCGTTCCATGAAAGATTAAAAATGTTTGTCACACTTGTAGTACGTCACATCACGTGACATTATTAGGCGAGACGAAAATTGACAAAATGTTCTGCACATTTCAACATCAATATCACACCCTTGGTATACGCAGCTAACGAAAATTGACCGGTACGGGTCAAAAGCTGGACCGGTATGGGTTAACGGTTTTATTTGAATTTAAAACAGCCATAACTTGCTCAATATTTCATCCTGCTTGCAGCGAGAAGACGGACCGGTTCGGGGCAATAGCTGATGAAATTCTTTGTCACAAAGTTTGGCATTTTTTATAAAATTAAACGCGCGTCATTGAAACTCACAAGATGTAAATAGCATGTCATTTACATCATACCTTGATGGGGAAAAATAGATCTTATATGTTAGAAGTACTAAATAAAAGTTATCGTGAAAATGAGACAGTCGTTCTCGAGAGAAAAGAGCATAAATGCGCATTTAGAGAGTTTTGGTCCGTTTAAAAATCTGTAAAAAATTGTGGTACTTAAAAGTATCGGGAGGCATCGTATATTTCAAATTAGACACGAGGAAGTCAATATTGAACAAGTTATGGCTGTTTAAAACCGTTAACCCGTACCGGTCCAGCTTTTGACCCGTACCGGTCAATTTTCGTTAGGAGGAGATCTAAAGAGGAGGCTGTTGCAAATAGCTCAAGGTTGGTTGAAAGTGGCAGGTAGTGCTGCAAGTGGCATCAGATTTCAATACCGGTATCACATTCACCCGATTTCTTACCTATTGGTAATACCGCGAAAACTAAAAAAAATCCAAAAAAAGTTTCGTAATGTTCACATTTGAAATCCCAATGAAAACTCATATCTTTACGTTTTATTCTAGTTCTGACACTCTTTTGACTCCTTTATGTGCCTCAAGTTCTACCTATCATACTTAAAGAGACTCTGAATGAGACACGTTTAAGTTTGTTAGAAAAAACAATAGCGATCTTTACATTTTTGGGCCTCAATTTTGAAGAGCAAAGCAAAATTTAGCAAAATTTCCTGCCAATTCACAAAAGAATAATGCTAAATCTGAGTGTAGCTATAGATCATTGGAGAAGAGGTATTGGTGGGGCATTTTCTCATTATGCTATTGTCATCACGGCACAGCATCGAGCATCTGATTTCAACACCGGCAATAAAGCCGAGCGCTACTTTCACAGTACTTCCGGTAATACCATGATGTACTAGTGGCAGGTCATTGCACATATCATTGATAAAGGCAAGGAAGCAAAGTGATCCAAGCATGGTTCCTCGAGGAAATCCCCATTGTATGCATGTATTTCACAATTGTTTTAGTTTTCTTTAAAAATAGTATATTTTGATATTTTTAGATTGAGGATAAGAGAGTTTCAAGAAAGCATGGGATACTAAAAGTTAGTGATGGCAAACTTGTCTTGAAGCCGGTAAGATATGAATTGCTTTTTATGTTGCTACCACAAGAAATGACATATTATTATGGTCTTAAACTTTTTGTGTTAGTGTCCAGTGTTGAACTTTTTGTTAAAAAAACATGAATTTATTTGAAACTAACTTTTAGAGGTCACAGGTATCTTTAAGTAAGCCACGATTCATACCAATTCATAGGATTCATCCTCGCATGTTTTTTGCCGAAAAAATTAAGAAAATCGGTTCATAAATAAGTGAGAATTGAACTTATCAGTTCATGAAAATGGTTCAGAGAAAACATGCTAAAACATTGAAGTGGCCCATTGAATATGGCATTATATTATTGAAATAGTGTGTCCTTTGTTCAGTCTTTGCATTGGTGTTAAAAAGATTATCTATGGGGACTATAAATTTTTTTGGCTCATATTTCAGATCCACACAAACCCTTGCTTCTACAGAGAGGGTGGAGATGGGACTCAAACCACTCTTCAGAAAGACAAAGATCAACCACTGAAGAATGGTGATGTATTTGGCTTACTCCCTGATAAACTCTTTTACAAAGTTGTCTATGGTTCTCTCAATAATGGATTAGATGATGAGGATGATGGCGAAAAGTCAGAATCTGAAGCTGAATCTCCTAAAAAGGTAAAGTGTTGTGATGATGTGTTAAGATATTTCAGTAATATAAAAGTATAGTAATTTAAAACACTGGATTTCATCCCTGTGTTAAGAATCTGGAAAGAACCATGTAAAACATAGCTTTTTGTTAATTGCCCGTTTATATTAATGGATCTCATAGAGCATTTTTCCAAATGTGATAGATTGCTACCGATTGATCAGATGCTTTGTTTTTGTTTGGATGATGTGAGGTTATTTTTTTCAGATAAAAATAAAGATAACTTTTAGTCTAGTTTCTTTTCTTTCCGATTTCTCCTTTAATTGATCAACAACATTGCAAGATGTTATTTGATTTAATTTTTTTTGTATATTGCAGTCAACAAAGGCTGAAGTAGAGTCCCCAGGAAAGAAGCGCAAGTTGCCAGGATGGATGGCTGGGGCTGCTAATAAAGAGAGAGAGGAATCCAGCCCTGAGAAGTCTCCACCTAAACCTAAGCCTAAAGCTGCCCCTAAAGCTAAACCTGGTCAGTGTTCAACTTTACAATAAAACATCTACAGAGTGAACATCTCTTAAAAACTCTTGCCTAAAGCAAACCCTGGTCAATGTTTAGCTATCCACCCTTCTCTCAAGTAGGTTTGCATCTACAGTATATTCAAAAGTGGAAGCAGCTCCACTTGCTTCAAGGCTGGGGAGATTCCTGCTATGATTTCACTGGTTGACCTAAAAGAAGGGATAAGCTGTTTTAAGTTTTTTACTCAGAATTGGTTGGTTGGTTGGTTGCACATATCCTAGAACAATCATGGGGGCTTGGTGATAAATGAATGCTATCCATCAACTATTTACTTGCTCTATGTGTTTTAGCAGCAAAGCCTACGCCCAAGAAGATGCCAAAATACATTGACTATGTGCCTGGTCATTCAAATGATGAAGAAGAGCAGGAATCTGAAGAAGAGGAATCAGAAGAGGAAGTCATTAAAAAATCGAAAAGTCGTAAAGCTGCAGGGCGTGGTAGAAGGCGTAAGGATAGCGATGACGACGGTGTTGATAGACCATCCAGGGCAGCTGCACAGCGAAAGCTGAAAACATGTAAGTGACTTGTCAACACAATGGTGGTATTATCATTGTCTGAGTGGTCCTAATTTATTGGGTTCCAAAAAAACTCATTGGATAGAGTATAAATCTGTACAGATGTTTGAGCTGATTCATTTTGGGTCATCTTGCATTCTTTAGGCTATTGTGAATATATTTAGATTGAAGATTTTTCTTTCTGATGCCAGAAAAAACATTCATTGCATTTACTTCAAATTTAGATTTTGCTAGCCTGGTACAATATCTGTAAATGATAAATTTTTGGTGACTACTCAGATAATGGCACTTCGTGTTGCCATTATACTTCTTGGTATTGATATTTAATTAAACTTTCAAAAAATAAGTTCAAATAAATAAGGCCCTTAAAATATATATCTCATCTTAGATCTTTTGAAAACTTGTAGAAAAGCTGCAATTTACATTGTGTATGACCTGATGACTAATATGTATGACTATACTTCAGATGTCGATGACTTAGATTATGACTATGGAAGTAGTGAGGACTGGCTTAGAGACTCAGACCTTAGTTCTAAAGAGGAGACAAAGAAGCGTAGAAGATCAACCAAGCAATCAGATAGTGACTTTGTGGTAGAATCAGAGTCAGAATCAGACTGGGAGATGGAATATAGAAAGGGAGTAAGTCTTAGATGCATTTTGGATTTTGATCAGAAAACTTTTCATTGTATAAGTGGTAATTTTTCTCAGCTGAAAAAAACTTATTTGCCCAAGATTCAATGTAAAAAGGATGAAAAGGATGAAAAGTTGCTGATTGTGAATTCCAATTATGAACAAGCTAATTTTTTCAGAATTGATAAATCAATGCCTGTGAAAACTGATGATATAGATAAGTTTGTGGTTTGAGTATTTGTTTAAGATACAAATCGATATCATCTCATCTCATTCCAAGTCAGGCCTGTTTTCTAAAAATGAAAAAAGTTAATAGCTTATATTAAGAAACATAGAGACATCCATTTCTGCTATCAACATTGTTATTTGGGAATAACCGAAATGGCTTGGGAATTTTCAATTTATTTTATTTGATGGTTATCTTTTTTTCTGTTCATCAAAAATATGACTACAAACCTAGCTTGATAAATAGCCTTAACCCATGTTCTAAAATTGCTTTCCAAGGTTTAACTATGTCATTTCATTTAATTCCAGTCAAAAAGAAGTAGCACCAAACCAACCAGACGGTCTCAAAGAGGAAGTGCCAGAAAGCGTAGACGTTATGCAGACTCGGATGATGATTTCTCTGAATCAGAAGATGATTATGTACCACGTCCTAGTAGACGTCGCGCTGCTGCAAAATCAAAACGCAGACGAAGACGCGATTCATCAAGTGAGGAATCGGAAGAATCAGAGGAGTCACCCCCTAGGAGGAAAGGTCGTGGGAAGAGAAAATCACGACGACACTCCAGTGAAGATTCTGAGGATTATACTCCAAAGAAAAAAAGAAACAATCGAGGCAAGAGGAAATCCAGGAGAGATTCAAGTGAGGACTCTGAGGAAGATTATACCCCTAGAAAAAAGAGGGGTGGTAGATCTAAGAAAGACATGAGTGAATCTGAAGATGAGCCTCCAAGGAGAAAGAGGGGAGGAAGAAAACATAAAAAGGATAGCAGTGAAGAGGAGTCATCAGAGGAAGAGACTCCTAGAAAGAAGAGAGGACGTAAATCCAAAAAAGACTTAAGTGATGAATCGGAGGAGGAAACTCCAAGGAAAAAGAGAGGAGGCAAATCTAAAGACATTAGTGATGAATTGGAGGAGGAAACTCCAAGAAAAAAGAGAGGAGGCAAATCTAAAGACATTAGTGACGAATCAGAAGAAGAAACTCCAAAGAAAAAGAGGGGAGGTAAATCTAAAGACATTAGTGATGAATCGGAGGAGGAAACTCCAAGGAAAAAGAGAGGAGCCAAATCTAAAGACATCAGTGATGAATCGGAGGAGGAAACTCCTGAGAAAAAGAGGGGAGGTAAATCTAAAGACATTAGTGATGAATTGGAGGAGGAAACTCCAAGGAAAAAGAGAGGAGCCAAATCTAAAGACATCAGTGATGAATCGGAGGAGGAAACTCCTAAGAAAAAGAGGGGAGGTAAATCTAAAGACATCAGTGATGAATCGGAGGAGGAAACTCCTAAGAAAAAGAGAGATGAATTGAATGATGATACAAAAAAGAACACAAATGGAGAAAAATCCAAGGAAAATGATAATAAAGGAGATGAAGAATCTCCTAAGAAAAAGAAAACTGATGTAAATGAGGAATCTGGAGAAGATTCTTCAAAAACTAAAAATGGAAAATCCAAAAAAGACATAAGTGATGAGGAAGAATCAGACGATGATAAAACAAATAAAAAAACTAATAAAACAGACAAATCTAAAAATAAGAAATCTAAAAATAGTGAAAGTGAAGATGAAGATGATGAAGAAGAAGAGGAAACTCTGAAGAAGAGAAAGCCAAAAAAGCGAAAACCTTGTCAGTTTGGTAAAAAATGCTACAGGTATATATCAAAATTCTAAATTTTTCTTGTCTGAAATACAAAATAATATTAAATGTGATTCAATTGTTTTTTGCACAATCATGTGTGTTATTGAAGACATTAAGTGCATTTGAGGTAATATAAAATTTGGTGGAAACATCATTCTGAACAAGCATGTCATCTCCTATCTTGTTGAGTCAGAAGAACCATTGTTATTTAGTATCTAGAGTCATAATTTCTTAAAAGAATGTAATCTTTGAAAATTAAATACCAGTTGACGAACTTGCTGATGCCTTATAGACATAGAAATCTGCTCAAGAAGGAATTTTCAAAATGACTGTTGAATTCAAAATGGCCACTTTATTTTTTGATAACTCAAATGTCAATTGTTGGCAGCTCACAACAGGGGTGTAGATTTTGCCAAAAGAAGACACTATTGCTCTAATTCTTCCTGGTTATTTCTATCATTCAATGTCTAAACTAAAATGACTAGTGATTTAATAAAAGATGTTTTGTTCGGTGAGATTTGCTACTCCGCACAGTTACTGTATTCTAGTTGGCCTTGGTGCATCCATTAGAGTAGATTTGAAATTAAATATAACCTGTTGAAGAAAATTGCTATTTTCCCTGTTCAAAATTGATGTTTTATTGTTATTTCAGAAAAAATCCTGACCATTTTAAACAGTTTAGTCATCCGGAAGATTCGGATTATCCGGACAGTGAGGAAGGGGGTGAAGAATCCGAGGAAGAAGAATCAGATGGATATCGACCATCTAAGGCAGCTAAACGGTCTAGGGCCCCAGCAAGAAAACCTAAAAGTAAGTATGATATTCAATAATCAGTTAGAGAAGAATACATCAGCAAGTTTGTCAGTTTCGTTGCCCCTGATCCTAAGTCTGTGTTAAAAAAATCATGTCAACATATTTGAATTTAGTGAATTAAGGCACGATTTGCACTCACTCTGTGATAACAGAAAGCCATGCTGAAAATACATTGCTGATTATCATATAAGTGAAACTATACTCATGATAATATTTGACAGGATAATATTTCACATTTTGTAATTTTGAAATTTGATGAAAATAAGTAGTATGCAAATATAAAATATATAAAAATATACAATCAAACCTGCTACAGGTCCCATCTGTGAAACTTTATTTTCTTCTTGCTCTTGCCTTCTATTCCTCTTGCAGCTTGCAGCACATTTCACTGAGTTTGTTGATTCACTATATGCCTAGAATAACCCGTGTAAGGCATTTGGCTTCCTAGTCAACTCATACCCATGACAACTCGTAACCAAGACAACTTGTCCCTAAGACAATCCCAAATATTATCTTCAGTATATTTGAATTACATATATTTTTGGAAGACCAACTACCATCTCTGAATGAATTTATAAGAACTGTAAAAGTATAGTGGGAATGTAATCAATAGGTGGCAGTATGTATGGCTTGTGTTTTACAGGGCGTGCAAGAAAAAGATATTCTGATAGTGAATCTGAGGATTCTGAGGATTTGGAAGATATCAATGAACTGAAGCGAGAAGCACGTCGATTTGTCCACAGTAGACGTTGATCAATTCAACTATGTCTCTCACTGTCAGTTGTTGTGAATATTGCATCAAAGCAACACATATTCGTGTGAATATCGTTAAAATGGAACCCAGCAGTAGAAATTCTGCAGCCTAGATTCAGATTAGATATACAGACTCGTGGATTTATGACTTGGTGCATGAAATGCATTGATGTTGTAGAACAGTGGGTCTAATCATGAAGTGATGAAGTCAGTAGTGAGAGTGGTGTCACCTGGTGGTGCCCCTTCATGGTGCCATGTACATGAAAAGCATTGAGGAGCTATCCCAGTGGGTTATCTCTCAACAACCATATATACAAACCATTATAAATCTTTTTTCTTTTTGTAGAAATTTAATAAAAAAGAAACAGTCAGCAATTGTCAGCATGGCAACATTAAAAATGGTGTAACATGTTCAATGCGACACCTTTTGTCTTTAGATACTGCCGGTGTGTTCATGTTTAAGGGATGGGTCAGACATCAGATATCAGTATGTCCGTTTTATGAAACTTATCCTGGATTCATGGCATAAAGCCTGGTTAAGTACAAGTATTAAACACTGAAAGGGCTTGATATTGAAACTTGGATGTTCAATATGGTTGAACAAACCATGACAGAAGGGATGACCTTAAGCTGAATAAACCACTTGAAAAAATTATGTTTGACCCAATCCTTTAACCATTGTCTAAGTGGCCTCTAATGGTAGAAAAGGATAGATATTGACGCCAATGAAATACATGTACTATGTACATTTGAACAACCAGTTTGGTGGTTCTAAATATGGCTTCATGAAATGGAAACAAGGGATGCAACTAAAGTTGTAACAGATGTGTAGTTGAAGTCACATGGTTGTTTCATTGTTTTTGAGCAAACAATCACTGGACATTTAAAAGATGCTATTGAACTCTGTGCTCCTCAGCTCTCAAATAAATGGGAAGTGTAGTCTAAGTCATGACCTTTTGTAATTTTGAATACTCATTGGTCATTCTACCCACTTAGCAAGACAGAAAGCTCCAGCAATTGATTCTAATGCGACATATTGTTGATTGCTTATTTCAGTGAAAACATTGAACTCTATAATGACTTCTACTATACATTTGAAAATAAACAATAGTGAGATGTAAAGTAAGACTTATGAAATAGAAAGTAATTTTTGTAACATATATAATATATGGTAGCAACTGTGTTCAGTATAATATATTTAAAGTTAGATATTGTATCTTCATAGATATAGGAGCAGATGAGTTTTATTGTTTAACAGTGTGCTTCCAGCTTACTGCTGTGTTTAGTTGTATTAATGTGTTTTTGTATGCTATGTGTCCATGTTCAGTCAAAATATATTTAAGTTTACGAGACACATCATATTTAATTCCACCAATTTTGAATCACTGAAATTGCAGAGTGCAATATGAGACCAGAAGTAATTTATACCGAATTTTAAAAGCCTTAATTCAAGTTCTTAAAGCCAAGAATAAAGTAACTAAGTGTGACATAGGTTTTTGTATTGCGAGGTTCAAACGCAATGTCACCATCATAGGCCTAGGAACATGTATGAAAAAATCAAGTCAAGTCCCCTAAGAAAAAGCTCTTCTGCTTAGGACTCCAATTAGACTAATTTTGCACAAATCATCCATGTTCTTGGGCCTATGGTGAAAGTGTTGTCATTTGGGATGATTTTGATTCAGTTCTGTTCTCCCACTGTGCTGCCAATTCCCTCTTACATACCTTTACTCACCCCCCCCCCCCCCTTTCACAGTAGATCTCAGTGTCATATAGTGTGCCAATGCTACCTTAGTGCCAGGCCTATGCTAAAGCTAGTTTGCTTCCACCATGAAATGAATTTTATTATCAACATTACTGAAATGTGTAGGAAGCAGAAATTATGAGTTAGATGAGATACTATGGTTATCAAGGAATATGGAATATGATGTAATAAATAGCAATAAAGGCTTTATAAGTGCACATTTAGTTGTATCAAGTGCTTGTACAACCTCGCCTACCCACCTGCCCAGATAGCCTACTCGATAGAGGAATATGTATAATTATTTAGTGGTAATTTCTCCTCAAATTTCATCTCATGTTCTGTTTATTAGTTGATTGTAAAAACTCTTCTAACACACATGATATACATAGTAACATCTGTCATAATAATGAATTTTATGTTTTCTATCTCTTAATAAATATTTTATGTATCTCTATATTAAAAGTTTTATCGTACATTCAGACAACTTGCAATTAAATATTAATTTCAAAGAGATGCACTTTCTTTTGCAATATTTTCACACCTAAATATTCCATTCAGCCTTGAAGTAAACATAAACTCTGAAACAGAATATGCAGGATATTAAAGGAGCACTGTTTTTATTACTTCATTCAAAATAATGTTTGAGCCCTTTTAAGAGGTAATTGCTGAAATTGCTGAGTGCACTAATAAGATAAAAAACACTAAATTGACAAAACATTTCTAGCATCTTTCTTAGTCTCTGGATACCTATAATGATAATTACTACAACAGAACCATACAAGTTTGAGGAAATCCAATTTGAAGAGCAATGTTAGTTTAATTTTGTCAACTTGTCAATTCAGTGAGCTGATCAAGCAGAGCTGTTTCTTTTTCACAGAGGCTCTCATTAGACTTAGAGACTTACATCAAGAAATTTGTTTATTGAAATTATCTGTCTAAAAAGGTCCTATTTCTCATAATTCACCCCTCGTGTACGCTTTTTATTACAGACCTGATTTGTTTTTTGGGCATTGCAGGTAAATTACAAATCTTATGATCACATATCCAGGCAAACTGATTACAACAGTAATGCCCAAATGTAAAGGGATTCATGGGAGGGATTCATTTCATATTTTAAAAGAGGGCTTTTTGGTACTAAAACATTATTGGTGCCAGAGCCTGTTTGGTGCTTTGCTATTTAAGTGTAAGTTGATATACTCACTATTAATCTATGCCTTTTATATTGTCAAGGTTTGATTTTGATTCATTTATTTATTATGTTGTTAGTTGATGGCTCTGTACTAAAGGGTACATCTGATGATGATGGGGAGCCTAACACATATGATTATGATGACAGCTTCATCAATGATGACAGTCTTTCTCTTAAACAATCCACGCAGGAGTCAATAGAATAGTCAACATGGACATTACTCTGATGGGGGAATTTTGAATTAAATGCAAGGGAAAGTACAGCTATTCTTTTGAGCAAAAGGGAATTGAAATTTTAGTTCACTTAAAATGCCAAAGTACATTTTAGAAGTTGCCCTAGCTTGAAAGGATTGCTACAGTTTTGGTTAATTTATTTACTTAATAGTCAGCCCCATTATCTAAGATAACCATATAGAAATATTTTATAGCAAGTACATAGAAACAGCATTGTATGGAAATGCTACTGATATAAGCAAGTCAAGCATAAGTATTTCATTTTATTTTTACCAAGTTATGTTCAACTCCTAGACAGCATTATGAGATTATGTCCCTTGCCTAAAACTCTCAACGTAATATTGGAAAAGGAAAAAAACTGTAAACTGGAATGGTTTCATTTGTGTGAAGGTTTGTCTTCTCCATGAGGTATGAAGTGTATATCAACCATATATGTATCCCAGGAAGTGATGTAACCTCTCAATATACAGATTTACATGTGGTTTCAATTGATGATTTAACCTTATATTTGAAACTAAAAACAACCTTGTCTGTCACTCATCTTAAAAAAGTCAAAGAAAGACCTTGATTTAATATATGGAGCAAGGTTGGTTGCTAATCTGATCCTTTAACAAAAATGTCAATTATGAGAGATTGCTGATTTAGTTGAGTATTGCTTTAGTTAGTGATGCTATATGAAATAAAACTAGTATCTACATACTGCATGAATTTTACTTTGTTTTTTATTTTGTGAGTTGTTCAGTACCATTGAAATGTTTGTTGTATAATTATTTTGGAAAGGAGTGATATCACAAGAATTAGAGCGTGCAATTGAGTGCTGCATTCGCTGAAAAAATTGAAATTATAATTGCCACCCTGTTAAAAATCTGCACTCTGTCAAAGATTCAGTACATTGTAATGTTGAAAGAAAAATTAGTGAGATAAGTGCATGGCACTTTCAAATCATAATTTTTAGTAATCAGAAATCATAATTTTTATGCTCAATGATAGTTTTATAATCAGGGATGCATTCCACAAAAAATATCATGATTTACATTGATACAGTTGATTAGTAATATATATTTTGGGAAATGCACCCCTGGTTTATGAATTAAACCCATATGTCTACTGGCAGCTTTGGACTGAATCATTGTATGCATAAATTGGTTTAATTCATCAGAAATTATCACTGGACTTAAAACATTTGGTAATTCTGAAATGATTATCATGCCATCTGTATTGAATTATTCAATGGATAGAAACACAAATGTGGCATCACAGATATCAAGAATACATATTATATACAATTACTAGACTATAGTACAAATTGTTTTGATTGAGATATGTTATCACTTATTTTCTCATGAATATGCATGATTCATTTATTTTGTTATCTATAGTGAGATAATCAAGTATATAGAGAAGGTCAATGCGTGCAGATTTAAGATCAAGAAATTATCTATAAAATCTGTACTATTATTAAACAGTATTAATGGTTTATACGTCATAATTCATTCAATGCAGAAAAATGATTTTAAATTCTTGGCAGTTAAAATGAATGGAAAAGCCTATAAATCTGTTATTCATGTTTCATGGAAATTGATGAAAATTAAGTGATTATTAATAGGCTTCTGAAATTCTGAAAGTAGATTGATACGATGATTAATTCAGCATAACAAAAATATAATTGCAATATGATTATATTATAAGTCACAACTGTGTATAATTACTACTAAATATAATGTTTGCATGCATGTATGTGGAATATATTGTTCTATTATAACAGTGTCAGAAGCTGTAGAATTATTGTATGGTAAATTACAAATAAATATCATTTTGTAAATAAATGTATGGATTGTTTTCTATATGAGAGAAAGAATGAAGGGAATGAACATACTATACTGTTTGATAAATTGAAACAATATAAAAAGTAATATAAAAATTAGGCCTTGCATCAATCATTTATTTCCTTTCTTGTATAAAATAAATCAGAAAATGTTGTCTAACATTATCTTTTACTGCATATTCTTGCAACAGTTTCATCCTCAATTTCTCCAATTTGATCTGTATATGGTACACTCCAGTAGCCATTCATGCTGTCTGAAGCATATTCCCTGAGTAATTTCTCAGCATTTCTAGTAGTATTGGCCAAGTGAACCACTAGTATGTTGACACCATCTGCCTTAAGTTTATCTGCCCAAGATTTAGCCTCATCATTACCTATTGACGTCCCATCAGAAATCAGAATAACGGTATCCTGTAAATCAAACAAAAGCTTTTAACAAGTTGAAATATCATTATATACCTCTGAATAAATCTTATATTCAAAACGTCTGTTAACATGAGTGCTTTACACAATATTCACACATAGCTAGGCAAGGTGTGTCCGTTTCCAGCCAATCCGAACACAGTATTTCTGATTGACAGCAGTTTGTAAAATAATCAATAACGCTTTTGTTTTGAATAGTTGCTAGGTGAGGAGATGAAATTGATGTTTTTCCAATACTTGACCCTTAATTGCAAAAAGTTTCATGAGAAGTATGTTCTTTTAGTGATTTTGTATCGTTTAGATGATTTTGTTGAAAATATTTTGCAATGTGTGAAAAGAATTTAAGCCCAAGACTCAATGCATTGTGGCTGCTTCATTCCACTCAGGCGTTGTTTCCTAAACTTTGCATCCTCGCGTTGTATTTGGAAACAACATCTTGATCTTCGATGGAATGGTTCAGCCCACAATGCATGCACCGAGTCCAAGGCTTAAATCCTTAATCCGTACGTATGCTTTATGAAACACATCAGATCTAATACTAGTATGTGCCTCACTTACACTTACCTCGTTATCTTCTCTATTGTTGTTGTCTTTAGCAAATAGCAAATTCTCGTATGCATACTTGAAGACTTTCCACAACCCAGTTCCACATTTTAAGGATGTATTTTCTGTGTTAAAGTTGTTGTCAAACAAAATCTTTGCCTAGAATCGATCGATCGTTTCAGTATATACTGTAGTTAATAAAGTGAGGTCTTTTGTGTGCGTACAATGGTACACATTTTGACGGACTTTCGAAAAAGGAACAGTTCTTCCGATTGAAAATTTATGCTCAAATTACAAGAGTGAATAACTTAAATTCAACAGAATTCGAATGTACCTACTGTGCGCTCGTCCTCCGCTGAACCGAAGCTTAACAGTTCGTCTAGATCGTCCTCATAGGACAAAATCGCTAGTTTTGTCGCACTGGGGCCAATTGAAAATGCACTGATGAGATTAAGAACGAATGTTTGAACTCTCTTCTTGTCAATGGAGCCAAGTGTACATGTATCAAGAAGTACTACTAAGTCCATCCTACAGATTGGGGAAGAAGCGCTCCCTAGGAGTATATTACAAACTAGTCTAATTTGAAAATACACAACATACTATAGTCATTTGAAAATACACAACATACTAGTCATTTGAAAATACACAACATACTAGTCATTTGAAAACATAATACAAGTTGATAAAGTTGGATTGTTCATTTTAATCTGCCTTCGCGTACATATATTATCGTCATCTTTTTATTGGATGGACACGCAAGCCTACTTCCAACTGATACATTAGTGTTTTTGACCAAATTGGATGTCAAAATAATATATGGCTGGACGTTGCAAGAAGATCCAAGCCATACATAAGACTAAAAATACCATCATTTTATACATTATAGATTTTACAGGTATGTGTCCTATATTAAAACTAATTATTTATAAATTCAACCAAGCACTGGTTATAATTATCGTTATCATGCAAAATGTACCGAAATCAAGAATAAAATATATTCAGATTGTTTTATTTGTTGACGTGTCGCAAAAAGGTGGCGCATTTGTTTTTTAAGGGTATCGCGTGAATGTAACTTTGATTCCCCGGATTATAAAATAGTATTCTAATTAAAGTTATATATAATTTTAAAGCTGTTTCGATGAAGTTTTTAGATCAACTACACTCAGTTCACAATTCTTGCGCGTTCTTTTTTAAAAAAGAGTTTTTTGCCAAAACATCTGGCAAATATCCTCTGTTGACACGTTACATTTTGAATTATTTTTCGTCTTTAAACGCTCGTAACTCAAACAATATTTGACTATTATACTTATTTTTCGTCTTGATAAAGGTAGATAGAAGTTTTTTTCAAATGATGAATTTTAGTAAGCGTCCCATATTGTGACGTCATAGAGTTTGAAAAATAGAATCTGTTGACAGCGACTTTTTTGCTCATTTTTTGTTACCTTCAACTTTTCAGGTGAACATTAAACAAAAATACGAGATCAATTTTTAATAAATCATACATGATTATTTTGCTCCTAAATTCTAGTTTATTAATAAATAGTTGGTTTTGTTCGCAAAAGTATGTGTTTTCTGTTGTATATGGAAAAGTGGAGGACGAAAGGTTTTCAAAATTCATTAAAATAGGGCTAATTTACGCCATTCGCCTATTTTCAAGCACAGCAACACGTATATTTATTTCACCTAAAATATCAATTGATTCGTGTTTTATGATGCTCCTAGCCAAGTAACAATATATATATGATATCAGAGTTATTCGTCTAAAATATTTTGAGATATAGAGGTAAATGTGGAGGACGAAAGGATTTTCATGTGTGTACATTTTTCTCAAAAACGTCACATTCTATCATGTTAAAAGCGAGGATCCTCTGGATTACGCCACAAAATGTGTAACAATGCGTGCGCGACCTTTTTGCGACACATCGTTGTAAGTCTTTAGAGTTTTAGACATAACTACACAAGGAGTATGTCCGAAATACATAGATAATGCAATTATACATTACATAATATTTAAAACTAAAAATGCAATTACATTATTATACATTTAAAAGTAATGGTATTGCACATAACTAAAAACAGAATCCCATATTTTATATATAGATTAAATATGAAATAGTCATTTTACAGAATTAATATAACTCTTCAAATATCTTTGCATAATTTGCTAACTTTGATTCCACATGTGATAGGGGTGTGGAAAATCAGGGCATAATATCGGTTTAATCTAACTTCTTATTTATGTGTATTATAAATGATCGAATTAAACCATAAAAAAGCAGTCCACTTAGGCCTAGTAAATTCTGTCGCTGTTTTGCGTCAGGTCTATCAAGCGTGTCAGTTAAATAGTACTCACGTAGTCCTTTTTCTGCTAGTGTCTGTTGACAAGCATTATTTCCTTGACAAGGAGGTGTTCTTCCTCCAATAGTTCCTCTTGATATTAATTTTGATGTCACACCTTGGCCATCGGGGCAAAATTTTAGACGATATTTCCAACGCCTCAAATTGGCAACAATCTCTGCCTTGCATTCATAATATGCACATTTGTAGACTTCACCCTGATACGTCACAGAAGAATACTTGCCGTGTCCAAAAATGCTTGGGTTACAACCTTTCAATAAATAACACATTTCTAAGGGCAATTCGGCCCAAGGTCCAATATTTCACTATATTGCTCGCAGAAATGACGTTATTAGTATTATTACCACTGTTAACGACCAGGACTGAAATAGCAAGAAAATCTTACGCACTGAACGATTTCTAATTTCCCGGGGAAAATCGCCGGTCCAGAATATATTCTAGACCGGTCCATATGGACCACCACTATGACGTCACACATTTCTCAGGTCGATATAGTAAAATTAATGCCTTCTAAACTAGCACTAAAACCCCTAGAACTGGCCCGGCAAGGTGGTAATAATTGGAATTATTTCAAAATCGTAGATCGTTAATAAAAAAACAGGGTTTTTATACAAATAAAAAACATAATCAACCAATCCATATGTACCCACCCAGCACTGACACCATTTAAGGAAAGAACATGTTACTTATTCAGTATAAGCGTGCAACCATGACGACTAAGGTACATGTACTAGGGCGGCAAATACTTTTATTCACATGGGCTGGTTTCCAGTTTTTTGGGAGGAGAGGGGTCGTAAATTACTCTATAGCTTACTTAAGAAAATTGTTTTCCTACCTTTGCGTTTAACATGATCAGGATAATCTCCGAATGTGCTAACTGGTCTACTGGATGCTGGAATAGAGAATTCAAAGTAGAACCATAGATGCAACTCTAACCCTGCAATCTATCTTGATACGGAAAATAGAAGGGATCACACAAAGAGAAAAGCATACGAAAAGCACAAGCTGCATGAATTATATTTTTGAGGTCGCATTTTTAGGTCAGTCAGACTTGACTGGTTCATCAAAATGGGTTGGTTTTATTCGGGGTAAAACCTAGAGAGCAATATTTTCAAAAAATCTTATTTGGTATATTTTGTCTCATATATTTTCTTGTCGAGTCCATTAACTAGAAATTCAAAAACTTAAAAGCTTATTTAAGGGAACACAGAGATTTTAACACTTTGCCTTCAAAATAATAAATAAGGAACGAATTACAAAATACCATTTACACATTAAATCTAATGCTAGAATCGGAGGTATTCGGCTTGACAACGCAATACTCACGAGGTTTTAACCTATCTAGCCTAACCAATGCCCAGCCTTTTAGTTTCTAAGAAATATCTGTTTAGATCCATGATATCTTATAAAATGGTGGATGTTTGTCATTGGTTATCAAGAACAACCCCAATGAAAGTGATATCATTTTGAGAATTTTCTAGGATTTTGAATGGCATCGCCTAATTTGATCAATTGGGTGGAGCAAGTCACTTTTAGAAGAAATTTCGAGTTTCGCACGACTTACTTTTAACTGAAAAGCTGCTTATTCGCAGACAGAATGAACCAGCACATGCAATGACAATGGCAATCGTGCTTCTGCACGAAATTCGTCGGAAAGTCTATTATGATCCAAGACGAAAAAGTCCTACACTCGAATGATCCCTTTTCCTTTATGGCTTTTTAAGATACTTTTAACGAAGGTTTCTAATAATTATCCTGGATAGTCTAAGCACTGGTACGGACATTTGTTTCTTCAAACCTCAGCCTCACACAGTACGCCTTCCTTTTATTTAATTTTTTAAGAATTAATAAGAAAATTTAACTTACAAAAATTTCGTCCAAACAGTATAGAACCAAACGATCCTGAAAGAGATGGAATAAATGTTCATCTACAAAATGTTGAGTGGGTCACAGCCTGTATTTAACAAACATAATTTTTTTAAATTTGGAATTATATGGACATGTTTACAAAGTGACTTACCTAAGGATCCATAGGCAGCGGAAACATGCCAGAAAAATGTTAAAATCCCAATGATCACTGCAAACGCATCCCATCTCATCCTCAATTCATGTTTGATCATTATGCACATGCATTATATTCAAATTAATACTTTGTAATACATGTACATGTATCGTGACTAAGATCTTTCATTCCATATGCATTGTTACTCTCAGAATCATTGATGTACAATTACAACATATAAAAATAAATATGCGGTTATGCTGATATACAGATTACTACGAGAGTTAATCAGAGATGCATCGACACTTTGCTCTTAAAAGTCTTTATCTATTAAATGCAGAATATGCATATGGTCAAATTAATGTTTATTGATGGCTACTTATGACTTGTATAATTGCATTGTTCGTATTCGTAGTTGACTAAGTTGTTTTTACATATTATAAAAAATGAATGAACGCCTAACAAGAAAGTCATTTAAAGGGAGATAGGAAAGCAATTTTCAATATTTTTTGCTCTTAGCATTCTATGCCATGCATACAGTATCCTTTCAAAAAGTTCAATAGTTATGAATCTTATGAATTTGGACATTTATGCATCTGAAAATAAGATGTTGAGTTTATGCATTGTATCCATATATGGTCATGTAGTTTTGGAATGTGGAATTGATCATTTGAAGGTGGGGGTTTGTTGAGCGAATGTTTCTTTGTACTTGGACTATCTTTGTTCTATGATAGTGATATTGGGGTTTCGTTCTTATGGTTGGATATGCCCATTTGGTGCCTTTTCCCGTTGTGTTTTGTAAAACTTTCTTCTTCTGCTTGCATAGCAACACTACAGTGTGTCCCAAAAAAAAGGAAACCAGCAATAGATTGCTTATTTCTCAAATATGAATAATAATAGGAAAATTTCACAGCTACCAGCTGATAGGTTATGATGTCCTTTTTCTTATGATACCAAAGGTGTTTATTTTTCTTCACGGATGACTGAGTTCTAACAGATTTAAGTGACCATGTCAAAAATTGGTTTGTGCCACTTTTTTCTGTCATGAATGGCTGAACAACGAGGGATTGAAATGGCTATGCAAGACCATGTCCTATTCGAAATACACATTTCTGAACAAGCATTCAACATAGCAAGAGACGTTGATGATCTAAGGGCCAGGATTGTCGCAGCAGTGGAGGATCTAAGGGGACAGAGAGACATCAGTAATACAGCAGTACGTGCGATGAGATCAAGGGCAGACATTTGCATTGAAAGGAATGGAGGTCATGTTGAAGGACACTGGGGTTAAAACAACTTTAAATGGACATTGGGATTTAAAAGGGGTGTTAAATATGATATGTGTAATTTTAATTGGAATAAATGAGTAAAAGAGTGATATCCTGATGTTTGTTGTTACTTATCACTTTGTTATGATGATGAAATTGACTTGGCTGAAAGTGGAACAAACTCATTTCTGACATGGTCACTTAAATCCCTTATAACTCAGTCATCCGTGAAGGAAAATAGACAACTTTGGTATCATAAGAAGGAGGACATCATAATCTATCAGATGGTAGCTGTGAAATTTTCCTATCATTATTCATATTTGAGAAATAAGCAATCTATTGCTGGTTTCCTTTTTTTGGGACACCCTGTACAGTGTATATGGTTATGTAACACAAAATATACCATAGACGTATATAGACTGAGCATCAACATTTTATTCACAAGAAAACCATTATTAACCAACACGGAAAATGTTATTGTAGGCTGCAGATCTTTTCAACAACTTCGTTTTTAAAAGTCCCAATTTGACCTATATCTGGTACACTCCAGTAACCATTCAGGCTGTCCGAAGCATATTCTCGAAGTACTTTCTCTCCCTGTCTTGTTGTATTGGTCAAGTGAACTGCTAGTATGTTAACTCCATTTGACTTAAGTTTATCTGCCCAAAAGGTAGCCTCATCATTACCTATTGAGGTCTCATCCGAGATCAAAACAATGGTATCCTGTAAGTTAAACAACATTCTCAAGAGTTTTTAACAAGAAAAGATTAAATAATGTGAGATCAGAAGACAGTTACATGTTGGCGCTGTCGTTTGCTGTCCCCTCCAAAACGTCCAAGTAGTCATATTACATGCTTATAATATATAGGGTGTCTCAAAAAGTGTACTCAAAAGTATATCAACACCATAGACAAACCGATCAATGTTTTCAGACATTTTTTGCATGGGAAGATAGAAGATGAAAGTTTTTTCCCCTATACACAGTTTTTAATTCAGTTTTGCCTTTTTGATACTTTAACCCGTTACGTTTTACACCACATATTCAATGTAACCTCATATTTCGATGACAGTCTGCATCCTACTACTACATTGTTCATCACATTTGATATTTCTGGTGGAATGTTTTGATTTCTGTTCGGATGCTGGTCTGGTCTGTTCTAAGTCTATTAGCTTTGGCTTAGCATAAAAATGGTCCTTCAAATAGCCCCAGAGAAAAAAGTATGGGCCGTCAAATATGGTGAATAGGCCCTCGCAATGTCTTATCGCCCCCTTATACAGAGAGGTCAGAGGTTCAAGAAACTGCATTGGCTGGGATTCTAGTGTAGCTTTTGTTGAGTGTATCAATTTGAGACCACTGTGTTTTCATTTGGATATCATTTGGTCTCCAGCTTAGCCTGCCTTACTCTGAAAGGTAACTCCTGAATCATTTGCCGATAATTGACCTGATTATCTGTATTTGTTCTGCCATCGTGCGTTTTAATGCTCATTCCAAGCAAAAAGACCTAGAACAACTTAAGGGCAACAACATCCAAAGAGAAATCCAAAACATTCCAACTGAATTATTATCAAATGTGATGAACAATGTAGCAGTAAGGATACAGGCTGTCATCGAAATATGAGGTTACATCGATTATGTGGTGTAAAAGGGTTAAAGCATCAAAAAGACGAGACTGAAATAAAAATGGTGTATTGGGGAGAAACTTTCATGTTTTGGCTACACGACCATGCAAAAAATGTGTGAAAATATTGATTGGTTTATCTGTGCTCTTGATATACTTTTGGGTACATTTTTTGAGACACCCTGTATATAACTTCGCTAAAAGTTACCTCTATATCTTGTCTGTTGTAAATGTCTTCACCAAAGAACAAGTTCTCGTATGCATATTTCAGGACTTCCCACGACTCATTTCCACATTTCAGGGATGTATCTTCTATGTTGAAGCTGTTGTCAAATAAAATCTTTGCCTGAAAAGCCAATATCATCAACGCACATTCAATATTTTGTGTCCTTTATATCATACACGTAGATAGTGCACTTTTGAAATCAATACTCGTTTCAAAAATGATCAGTCTGGCAATAATCAGCTTCAGGGCACTTCAGGTACAGTTTAAAAGGATCTTGTACACCTGCCATTATGATCTCCCCATGAACAAAAATACATCTGATTTTTCAAAATAAATATACTGCTTTTATTATTACATTTGTATGTACACTAGTATCTTGTTGACCTATATTCAGCACTGTATTGATGAATGGGCCACTTTTTAGGGCAATATTCAATCATAAAGTGTACAGGGGTAGAGATGCCAAACCAGAAAGTCTTTTTGTGTCTGTCAAAATCCATTTGCATCCTACACATCCCTACATCTTATCAAAATATGTTATTAATTAATGAATCATAACAATATAATCTTTGGATTTACAAAGTTGTATGGGATTTCATAAGTGTAAAAGTTGCTTTTGAAGCATTTTTCTATAGCCATTTTGTAGGAAAAAAATGATGAAAAAATGAATAATCTTTTAATTTGAAGTATGACCTGAATCGATTGCAAACTTTATATTTGCACATCTGATCTGAAATACCATTTTTGTCATATTGTGAAATTATTTAATTTGCAATCGATTCAGGTCATAGTGTATTTAAGGTATTTTTGTGAAAATCAATAGAAACCAATGGCCTCCATTGGAATCTGATGGTATCCACATGTTAAGTCAATAGAACACATCCAATGTCAAGTCAATACACCCTTGCTGAACTTAATGACCCCAACCTCAGCCCATGTGGGGCCAAACGCTTAAATATTTTCCAAAGTATTATGTAACATTGTATTCTTTATATTACACCTAAAAATGATTCATTTTGTTCATGGGGAGATCATAATGGCAGGTGTACAAGATCCTTTGACCACTGAATGAATGAGTGAATAGAGTATAATTAATCTAGCTTTGGTGCGCTGCATGTGACAGTCAATCGTCTTTTGTGCCACACTGGTTTTGGATAGCTTGCCAAGTTTTCTTTAAAAACAATAGAAAAAGAATGCACTCTTCTTTGTTACAACTGTGTATTCTTTAAAAAACTACATTGCATTCTATTGTGTTGCTACATAAGTGGGATTTAATAGAAGTGAATGACTAAAATTCAACAGAATGTACCTACTGTGCGCTCGTCTTCCGCTGAACCGAAGCTCAACAGTTCGTCCAGATCGTACTCATAAGACACAATAGCTAGTTTTGACGCACTGGGGCCAATTGAAAATGCACTGATGAGATTAAGAACAAATGTTTGAACTTTCCTTTTCTCACTTGAGCCTAGTGTACATGTATCAAGGAGTAACACCAAGTCCACCCTACAGATTGGGGAAGAAGCGTTCCCTAAATGTATATTATAAACACGAATATCAATACAAATCAGAAAACGTAAGTTAGTAAGTAGAATTGTGAAGTGCATTCGTCATCAATTTTTGAACTATAAGACTAAAAGGCATAATTTTCAAAGTTTTAAAGGTGTGTGTTGCCTATGTAAAGCAAAGTATTTGAAAATTCAAACACTGGCTGTTATCATGTAACAAATATCGTCAAAATGACAAGAAATTAACCTCAAATATGCGTCAAAAGGTTAACCCTTTTCGCATTCCACTTGTTACAAAAGGTTTTCACCACTTTCCTTGCACCTCTATTTTCTAAATTCATGGCCATGAACATATTTAGTCATCTTATGGTCCCTTGACCTTTCTTATACCAGATTCTTAAAATCCTGCCAAATACGCCAAAGTGCCATGTTTCTAGGCATATGGTCACCTCGATTGAAACAATGTAAAAATTTGTGAGATTGATTGACATGTGTCAGATATATGCCAATCAACGTAACTTTGGAAGACCTTTCCAATGATATATCACACTTGGTACCAAATATCTTGGTTTTGGCTGTAGAGGGGGGGGGACGGGACTTATTTGACACCCTGTATATGACTTATACATGTGTATAAAACAAGTATACTATTTAAAACTAATGATACTGCACAGTCATTTGCCAGATCAATATCATTCTTCAAATTTTTTTTATAAAGTATCTAATCTATGTTGACTTTGATGATAAGATTAAAACAGAGGCAGTCCACCGAGTCCAGTTAACTTCCTGTCGCTGTTGTGTCAGGTCTATCAACATATCAAGCGTGTCTGCAAGAAGGTACTCACTAATTCCCTTTTCTGCTAGTGTCTTTTTGCAAGCATTATTCCTTTCACATGGAGGAGGTCTTCCTCCAATAGTTCCTTTTGATATTAATTCTGATGTCACACCTTGACCATCCGGGCAAAATTTTAGACGATATTTCCACTGGATCAAAGAGGCAACAATCTCAGCCTTGCATTCATAATATGCACATCTGTAGACTTCACCCTGATACGTCACAGAAGAATACTTCTCGTGCCCATATATGCTGGGGTTACAACCTTATTAACAAATGGGAACAATGCATGGTTATTAATTAATATTATTACAATTTCTTTGATTCAAGCATACTTATCTTATTGTGAATTATGTATTTCATTGATGCACAGCTGAAATTAATTATTCAAAAATGGTTTATTGTTAATTAATTTAAAAGAACAGGCTTATCATTGTATTTTTCAAAAACAGCAATAGTCGCAATTATCACACCACTCAGATAAACAATATAAGTCAAATAAACAGTTCATATAGATAAACCCATCCATACCCATCTAGCACTGAAGTCATTGACGGAGCATATTACTTATTTACTGTAGCGTGCAACCATGGTAACCACACAACTAAGGTACTTTACAGTAGGACGGCATATCATTTTATTCAGATGGACTTTCCATTGTCCATTTTTGAGTGTGGAGGGTCGCAAGTCACGCTATACTACTAAAGAAAAATGTTTTCCTACCACCGCGTCTACCAATATCATCACCGAATGTGCTGATCGGTTGTCTATTTCCGGATGCTGGAATAGATAATTCCAAATAAAGATCAAAGATTCGAATCTGACCCCACAATATATGTGTTGTTGGCTTTGTGTTAGCCTTGCCCAAGTCGGTCTCTTTTACTTATATTGAATTCTATTATGACCGCGGTAATAATTCAAGATCAGATTAGTAAAAAATACCGCCTTGGGCAAGGCTAGCTTTGTGTTAGGGAAAGAGAAACCCAATAAGGAAATCACAAACTGCTTAGTGTATATTTTGCCCTGCTAATAATGTCGAGTTAATATGTCAGGCCTCCTGCATTGTCTCGCTAAATTGTTTGCTTTATTTCTACCTTACTGCTGGGAAGAAAAATTATTATCTCAATGATGAATCACCCAATAAAGACATTGTTTTACGCACTGTGGCTATATTTTATTGACTACGTACATGCGATTCCAAGTCAATGTTAACAGAAAGTTACCAAGGTAAGTTAACAACTAGATGAAGGAAAATGCATTTTTTATTTTTCCACATCGAATATCTCTAACGATCCATGCTTTATTATGTAATGGGTTTGAAAAAGAAGAATTGACAAGTTTCTAGTTTGAAAAAATCTTCCAAAATGCACATTGGTTTGCAAAATATTATTTTTCTTAAATTTTGGACGAGATTTCCTTGAATGATCCATTTTGTGATTTTCAAAGATGTGCATGGCAAGGAATGATTTTAACTGAAAAGATACTGAATTGAAAAAGACTTCTGAACATATATTGAATATAGGAATCCGTCCGCAACATTATTTTTTTTGAAGATATCACATTTAGATTATTAAAGACCACAGAGATTGGAAAATATTGACGTTGCTTGCATTGGTTCACCATCTCTAATGTTAGCTTTAAATAATGTACCTGATTCACATTTTTCTAGAATATACAGGTACCTGATATCGTAAATACCTTCCAGAAGTAATTTATATATAAAACATAATTAAATATGCCCTACGAGACTTAGAAAACTGTTTCATTTCACACGCTTTGCAGTGAATTTTATGCATCAAATTCAGAAAAGTACTCAAATATTTGAATGAGACTTTTTCTCTTGTATTATAAGGCAACTTTCATACATTTGTGAGAAAATCAAAATTTCATTTACAATCTGAGTCTACTTCTATACAGTATAAGTAACAAATGTAATGTATGATCATATAAACTCACAATGCAATCGTCCAAACAGCATAGCCCCAAAGGATCCTGAAAGGGATGAAATAAAAATTCTCGAAAACATTTTTTTGTAATTGCATAATTTTGTTTACTTCGGAATGATTATTGACATGTTTGCAAATGGTGACTTACCTCCATAGACAGCATGAACCTGCAAGAGAAGTGTTAAAATTCCAGAGAACACTGCAAAAACCTCCATTCTCATCCTCAATTTACGTTTGAACAAACACATGTACTATTCTAAACCAATTCTTTGTACAGGTACATGTATCATGACTAAGATCTTACATGCCAACATTCCATACGGATCATTACTCTCAGAATCTTTAATGTACAAAATATAAAAATGAATATGCGGTTATGATGATATACTCTGATTGCTTCGAGAGTTACTGCGAGAAACTTATGGACAATTTGCAGTCTTACGTCCCTATCTATTGAAGGCTGAATAATGTATATGGTCAAATAAATGTTTATTTATGGTTACTAACGAGTGGTATGATTGCACTTTTTCATATTGTAGTTTCTCGCATTTCATAAGAAAACTTGATTGGACTTTTAACAAGAAAATCTTTAAGGGGGTTAAGGGAAAGACGTGAACTGAGTGCATTTGGAAAAATGTCACAATTTATAAATTTTGTTCTCAAAATTCCAAGCGATGACAACATTTCTGACTGTAATTCAGGATAATTCTTCATTTTGAAGTTCATCTAACAATAGTAACTTTAGTCTGATCTCTTTGATGGAGCAGGGATGAAAAATCTAAAAATTTTGAATGATCAAACTATATATTTAATATTTGCATGGGGCCTTTAACACCATATAGTTACCCTTATGGCACTCCAGTCCATTAAGAATTTCACGGCAGAAGGACCAATTTTGGTTTCAGTTGGTCTTTTTGATCACGGTTATGGCATTAATGGTCGAGAAAAAGAAATATCGATCGAAACCAGCCGGAGTCCTTCCCAATGACTGTTGTGAATCATTGTGTTTTATAGAGAAAGGCGCCCACTTTAAGATGAATGTTGACAAAACTCTGCTGCTAAATCAGATGAATCTGTCAAAGTGGGAATACAACTTTTGCAAAAATTTGGAGACACTTCAGCTTTGAACATAAGTAAAGGAAGTAGGAGATATACGCTTAGGACCGGAGGAACTACTACCCACAACAAACAGGAATTAGAGGTAAAACCAACAATCGAAAAGCCAACAATCCAAGGGTGGAAGAATAAAGTGAAAGAATGAATTCAGATTTTGGAAGAAACAATTGAAAGAGTTATTGTGATACACCGAGTCTCTTAAATTTTAGATGACACCACTCACATGACTTCTTTTTTTTATCTCTGATGAGCAGTATAGTTATATTTTTAGTTTTTATTTTATTTTTAGTTTAGTTTAAAATAGTTTATTATTGTGTCACTGATATTACAATATAGTTATATAATAGTTATATAGTTATATAATAGTGGAGTAATGTATACAAAAATATATATTTCAGTAAAACTTAAAATCAGTGTAATTCTACCTTTTTCGCTCAACAGAATAACCTTCAAACTAAAATAGTTGGGCTATAAAAAGAGACGAAAAGAGTATATTCATCATGTACTGTAATGACTTTAGTATTCAATGAAATGTCAAAATGGTCTTTGAGTTCTGTACAATATCGATTCCTGAATGATGGACAAGAACATAAGCATTTCTTTGTACGTAAGATCAGAGTGATATCAGTGATTTGTTTTCCTTTTGATTGATCGATGGCTTTTGCCCGTTTTCCTGCTAGGCTGCTCATTTTGTAATACTTATATTTTTGGTCTTTCCTGTCATGCTTACATATTACAATACTATATGGTAGTAATTTTAACAATGACGAGCCCTCAGATTTAGTTTCGTAATATAAGGCAAAATACACCAAACAACAATATAGTCCAAACATCAACATTTATTATTCACAAGAAAAAACACCACTGTCTGAATAATCAAAATATGATTTCAGATTATCCAACACGATAAATGTTATTGTTGGTTGCAGATCGTTTCAACAACTTCGTTTTTAATAGTCCCAATTTGATCTATGTCTGCTACACTCCAGTAGCCATTCATGCTGTCCGAAGCATATTCCCTGAGTACTTTCTCTGCATTGCTAGTGGTATTAGCCAAGTGAATCACCATAATGTTAACTCCATCTGCCTTAAGTTTATCTGCCCAAAATGTAGCCTCATCATTACCTATTGACGTCCCATCAGAAATCAGAATAACGGTATCCTGTAAGTCAAAAATATGACATTATAAAGATCCCCTAAAGGTTACACATTTCAAAACATTGACCAACCATTCCAAAGTCGTTGAGTGGAATTGATATAAACTAGAACCTCGATGTATAGAACTGAAAATCACAAATACCTCACACTCATACCATACCATGACATCGCATCTTCACGTAAGTTAATTACCATCAAGTTATCAAGTTATCAGGAAAGTGTTTTTGCTCACGCCAGATATCGCCACAATTACTAGAGCGAGGTATTCCTAAAACTTTAGAATCCAATTGAAAACTCAACCATTGATTCATAAAGAAAACGATTTGACCCCAGGACGACCCTAATCAACACTGGGAAGTTTTTCAAATTTTTATCTTTGTGATCTCTCAATGGCTGAATCTTCTTTCGGACGGAAGAAATCTATGAAAACGAATCATAGTTACATTTATATTTTCCCTATTGTTACTGCCATCACCAAAGAGTAAGTTCTCATACGCATATTTCAAAACTTTCCACGATTCAGTCCCACATTGTAGCGATGTATCTTCTGTGTTAAAATTGTTGCCAAGTGTAATCATTGCCTGAAAAGTAAATTTTAAATGCCTGAAATCAATTTCATTAAAGCACGCCCTTTGCAAACTTATATATGACACTAATATGACAAAATGTCATCGTGTGCTGCAAATAGTTACAAAAAGGTAACAACTGTTTCAGACTACCAAAAAACAGTGGCTGTAACAATGTTGCTACCTTTTGGTGGAGACATGAAAATAAATTATGGCAGAATGTACCTACTGTGCGTTGATCATCAGTTTTACCAAAGGTCAAAAGTTCAACTAGCTTATCATCATATGACACACCAGCTATTTTTGTGGCAAAATGACCAATTGGAAATGCCCTAATGAGATTCAGCACAAATGCTTGCACTTTCCCTTTGTCCTCTGTACTTAACGTGCAGACGTCAAGAAGGATCGCCATATCAGTCGCACAGATTGTGAGAGACACGTTTTCTACAAACAAGAAGGGTGCATGTTTTGGAACATTAATATCAAGAATATCTACGATGTGATTGCTATTGGCTTTTCTTTTGATTATGTACTGCGTTTTGACACGACACAAATACTAGAGAAGAAAATATTTAGAGGTTATGTCACTATGACGTGAAATATGCCTGAGTTCTCCCAATATAGGCCGACCTTGGGAGGCTCTATATTTGGGCAAGAACGAAGGCATATTTCACGTCATAGTGACATAACTGATGTATTACATGCCTTTGTTCCCATGGTTACTTTGTATCAATGACGTGACGTCATGATATTATCATGGTTATTAAAGAAATCTAATATCAAAACGAGGTAAGCGGGCTATATCGGGGTAATCGGGCAATATCGGTGGATATAGCTCGCTAACTTTCCCAGTGACTTCCATACAAATGCTTCGCTAGGTATGTAATACATTCAAATATAACTGAGGAGGTTTTTATCTGACAATACGATGAAAATCTAAAAATAACAAGTAGCAATTATCATGCGGATATTTATGCACTCACGAACTCCTTTCTCTGTGAGGGTCTCCTTACAGGCTCCATTTCCTTGACAAGGGGGTCTTATTCCTCCCATACGTCCTTTCTTTATCAACGTTGACACCACACCCATTCCCACAGGACAAAGTTTCATGTAATATTGCCCATCAGCCTGACATTCATAATAAGCACATTTGTGAACTTCACCCATAAACTTTACAGACGCATACCTATCGCTCCCAAAACGACTGCTTCTGCAACCTTAAATGGTTAAGATAACAAGTGACTTCACTAATGTCAAAATGGAATATTGAGGATGCGCTACATTTGTTATTCATATTTATGATTATTGTAATATGAAATGTATTACTACCCATCTCCCATTTAAACCAAGCTTGGAGCTGTTCTAGTTATACTGTCACGTGCTTTTCTTTCTTTTCTTTTTTAAGTTTCTACCATTTGAAAAAATTCCCAAAATTCTTGAAAAATATAGAATTGCATGTAGATTTTTCAATACTTTAGATAAATGAATTGTAACCAAAAATATTATCCAATGAGATTTATTCAAAAATTAAATAGTGCAGTGTCACTTAAAGTAACTTTTCCGAGGTTTATATTTAGTATTGGAATGGAAAACTCAATATGGAAATCTGATCAATTATAACAGAAACATCTAATAAATAGCAAACATATCGCCAAACAAAAAGCTGTAATCTTTGCCATTAAACTTTGAACCATGCGCAGAGGTTCATGAATCCCTCGATGCTTTTGCCGAAAGTATGTTGAGGTTTTAGACCGTGGATGACCTTCTTCGAAACCCCGATTCCATTGTATTCTTAGAATAATAATTTACTTACCATCATCTACACTTGAGACGTCCCCGTATGTACCCGAACCAGCTGCAAAAGTAGAGAATACTTTTAATAAAAGCAGATAAACATGTTCATTCTTTCCATGGGGTATACACCAATGTGGCAAGGTGGGATTTGATGGGACTCCATGGGGCTCGATCGGACTCTATGTGGCACGATGGGGCAAAGTCATCAAGGTCCCATGGGACTTCATGGGACTCGATGGGACAAGTGGGATTTTGTCCCATTGGTGTATACCGGGGCTTACTGGTTTATGCGCTGACACTATATAATGGAGCACGTAGGTTATCGCAAACAATTCCAAACAATTCTAACTTGAATTATAAATATTTTCTGATCATGAACACTGGTATATCTTTCGAACCCATTCATTATCTTCAAGAAAAATATATACAATGATAATTAAGTTAATCAGACCTGAGTGATATTAAAGGGGCAATGGACTACTAGATATAGTAATCAACATACCTTTTCAAAATTGTTGACCTAATTTTCACAAAAAATGAAACCTTTTATCATATTGTTGAATGCGTAATTAGAATGTGTTTTGAGACATGTTCTATTTCCTAAAAGGAAACGTGGATTCCTCGGGGTACTTCAAAGACACTGAATTTGGATGGTCAAAATGAGCTGAAACCAATGGATACCATGAGTTATTTCAATGAGGAAATAACATGGGGAACACTAATCTCAGAGGAATTCATTTTTTCTTCCAAGAACTATTTGAAACATCAAAATAAAGTATAGTATTTGCATTAAGTGCGCCGATGGGTTGATTGCTAGCTAAATATCTCCGAGTGTGAATAACTTTATTATTATTTTTCTTTGAGATAATGAATGGATCTAAAAGCCATACCTGTCTTCATGGTCAAACCGTCTTAAATTGTTTGCAATAAACGTGAACGTTAACATTTTTAAGTCGTGCCGCCCACTGCCCGGAAATTCATAATATTGTACTACAGGGTTTTTATAAAAACGCAGTCATGTTTCTAATGAGAAAACCACATAACTTTGTTATGCTGTACTAGACAGTATATTGGATGTCTGTATCACACCAAACACATTTATGAACACGATATCAAAATAACCATACCAAGCAGCAAGTAATTTCTATATATCTTAATATACTTACTCGGCGGTAGATATATACCAAAGCCTCCTGAAAAATACGAATATACGTGTATAATTTTTACAATCGGCTATATATAATTCGTTACCATCCCATGTATCATTTAAAAATCATGATATCTTATCAAATGGTGAAATGTGTAAATTTTCTCAAATAAAAATTATGTAAAGATCTTTGGTTTTCCCGAATAAATGAAATATGGACATTGGCTGATGTCTCTGAAAAACAATTTCACGTATCCTGTTGTTGTTGGGAGTGAAAATGTCACCACTTGGAAATCGTTACAAAAGTGTAGTGCATCGATTTCTGTCCACCCTGTAGAGCGTTGCGCTTTTTATTTCTTTTTGTTTTTGTCCCATTGTTTTTTTGTATTTATTCTAAATTGCGAAACACTCCAAAATTGTTTTTCTCTTCATAATTCTGTTGAGCCCAATCTGTAACACCAGATGTACTTTCGTACTTCATATTCATATTTAATTTTTCCTTTTAATTTAACTGCTTGTAGTCGTTTTAGGCTACCATACCTTGACAGGAAACAGGAAACAGCAATGACGTAATCACCATGGTGAGGGGTGTACACACCGCCATCTTCATATCTTCCAATTCCTACTTAAAATTGTATTGCTGTATTTTACGGTATAGAACAGTGTAAACTTGATTTTATAATTTGCTCAAATATAGACATTTAATGTTAGTAGAGACATATAATAACATGTCTATTTATCAAAACGGCACGCAATGGTTCACCACAATTGTAAGGCTTTTCGGGCATTTAGTACGAAATATGAAATACCATGATTGATCAACGGATGTATGATTTGACGGAATGGATGCCATCACTTTCAATCAATTACAAATAATAACATATTCAATTCAGACATTCATTTGACTGAGTCAGATTTAGACGATAAGCAAATAAAGATATATATGCATATGATATTCCGAAGAGATATTAATTAATTATTTATGGCTTCTTATCAACGTTTTATGTATGACTAAATGACTAATTTCTCTTTTGTAATTACTTATTACATCTGGCAATATAACCAGAATAACAAGTCAAACTGATGCCACTTGGAATTACAAATGAGGTATTGCATTTGCATATCAAGTTTTATCTATATGAAAATTTAATTCATTCAATTAATGTCATCATCTGTGTGAAACAATGCGGGATTCAGGTACGGAAATCTTATCCTCTATCTACACAAATTCGAGGATTAATATGAGATGCGAATAACTACTAACAACAACCATCGTATCACTAGTTAAACATGTCAGATAAGATCAGTTTGTGTTAACTTTTTTTTTGACTTGTACACATTTCATCTTCGGAAACTAAATCTGAAATGTATTTGTGTTCTCTCATCAGGCACGCTAGCTTAGATAATATATTGATTCAGATGATTTTGCTAGCTCATTAATAGTAGGCTATAAATTTCACTGATTGTTGGGATATCCATCAAAATTGAAAACGTAAATTGAGAGATGACAACCTTGACCTATTTTTCAAAAAGATGATCATCGAATTTTATATTCTGATTATCGGCAAAAATAAATATATGATTTATACAATGCTGTAGGCGCGTTGCGTTTGCGTTTTGCGTTTCGCACAATGCTGTCATATAGTGCATCAAACATTGCAATGTTGCACTGCGGAACAAAATTGCAATCACTGTTTTTCAGTAATGTTATTGATTTGTATTAATTCATTTCCTGTTAAAAACAACCTTTCATTTTCCATTTGATTCTCATAACTGTGTCCTTAGATGAAGATCAATTTTATATATTTTCTCATTAGCCACCAGAGATCATCTCGCCCTATAGCCATTTACCCAATCAAGACTAAATCGAATCCCAGAATTTATTAAATGTGTATTTTACGCTACACATTTAACTCTTAAAAGTTCAACATGACATTTATAAAATATGAAAATTACCTATATACTAGTAACACGACGAGTTAATGTAAGACTTACCTTTCAGCCAGTGATTCCCACTTGAGCCATTCACTGGGAAAGTACAATAGCGAGGCATAGTATCTGCAGTTTTCTTTGATAGCTTTTTTACTGTAGGTAAATATTTTATAGTCCAAGGAGAATGTCAGATAATCTCTCCAGTGATCTTTGCTGTAATAAATGAAGCCAAGTTATTAATATCAGTGCTCGTTTTTATGTATTGGCATTTAATATCTGGAAAGGCCCTTTAATAACGTAAATAAACGGTGATGAGCGATAATTTTACGTGACTATTGAGCATATCCAGATCAGTGTCTGTCCATTCAACATAGCCATTGGATCATTTTCCCATTAAAATCTAAGAGGTTTTTTTTATTCATAAAGTACACAAACATTATACAACATAATAAACGTTAGTACTACTTTTACCCGAGACATCTTTAACCCTAATGTGTACATGACCCCCTCATCCGGATTTTTCCCCGGTTCTTCTCTGCCAACAATTTTTTTATATCCCTAGTACCTATAGCTACAGAAAAGATCATTTTGGTGCAAAAATCGAGGTGATCGGGGGTAAGTGGCTGAGTTAAGATAGTGGGAACTTGGGATTTCTTTTTCTCTATGGTTTCAAAGAATCAAAATATAAGCTGGTTCTATTTGTTTTCCTTTGGATATATACCATATAGTATAGTGAACTTGAATACGCTTTCAAATAAGGCTACAAGGTAATCTGACATTTATTGACTGAGATACGAAGTTTTCAATATTATATTGTCCGCGACTCGCGTTTCGATCCAAATAATGTGTGTAAAAATAGATGTCTGCAAAACAATTAACCATATCTTTATTAGTTTTGTAGAAATAATTCTATTTTGTCTCCCATACAGATTTTTCCATTTCGCGGCAATTTTTTGTCATTTTCCATCTTACATGTCTTAATATGCATATAATTTACAAATTTGAGAATATACAGGGTGGGCCAAAAAACAATACCCAAGTTTAAAGATGAATGATTCACACGATATACGTCAAACCATGTCATGTATTATATATCATTTCAAAGATAATCATTTTCTAACAAAAGGACACCATCCAATTGAAAAAGCCGTGTTTCTCGTGAAGTTAGAGATTAAAATTGACACCAGGGGTGCCGTGAGTGATCAAAAAATCAAAAAATGAAATTTCCCAAATTTCCCTCTATATTGCAATCACAGCTGCACTCAATATGCTTGTCTGAATCATCATTTAAGAGTAATACAAAATTGATAATTGATTAAAATATATAAGTATTATTGCTGAATTTTGTACGATACATGTATAAATGTATATGTATATAAAGGTGCCAAAGTTTAAATTTCCCTCCATTTTCCACAATTTGAAAGTTCGCAGTGAATGAATTTTTGGTCGCTCATGACACCCCTGGTGTCAATTTTAGCCTCTAACTCTACAAGAAAACAACGATTTTTCAATCAGATGGAGTCATATCGTTAGGAAATGATTTACCTTTAAATTGATATTCAATACATGGTACGGTTTAAAATTATATTACATGAATTCATCCTTAAACTTGGGTTGTTTTTTGCCCATCCTGTATATGCATCAAAATATTACACAATTATTTGAAGTATGTAACAAACAAGTGGGTAAGAGTCAATTGTATTTGAAGTTATAGTCTGTGAGAAAAAAATTCTGTCATCTCGGGTGGCTTTATTTATTTAAACATATTTTTCATAAATCAGTTAATATAGAGCCAAATATGTGATCCTGTAATATTTCGATTGTGTACTAGTAGAAACATATGGCATCTATAATAAGAAGCAAAATATACCGTGAAAATATGTCAATGCTGCAACTTCTGGCTCAAATAAACGTATTTTCAACACGCGAGATTGCGCTTTCGCTAGCCGAGAGAGGTTATTTTTAAAATATTATTATCTATTCAGCATTTTAGGTCATGGGCTGTGATTCGTCTCCCATCCCCCCATTTTTCGATATTTCATTTCGTCAAAGTTTCGACTAAATTACCTATCTCTGGATCTAGAAAAGGTATACGTATTTACCCACGTTTTTTTGTCCTAAAAAGGTAGATACTATATACATCTATCACATTGGGTACACTTTTCTGGCTTAAAAAACATAATATGTTGTTTTTGACTAAAAAAAGTAAAAAACGCGAAAAAAGCTCACCCCTGTGTAACTTTGACCTACTTTTGACTCCGTTTGACCACTTTTTGAGATTTTAATACACCTCCCTCGAGAATTTTGAATGACCTACAATAATGCAATATGGTACCTTAAAGAAAAACCTGTCCATTACTGTTATGAAAAATACGTTGTACACATTAGGGTTAAAGACAACCTTTTCTTTATAACCTACTCAGTCGTAATCATTGCACAGCTGTAAACCATTGCATAGATTTATAAGCAATTTAAAAGTTTTATTGTTGAAGATAGCATTTCGTACTTATTGTAAAAACGAAAAGATAATGAACGAACATAAAGAACCACCTTTTGATGTCTAGAATGAAAAAATATCACATTGACTGTAAGTTTTATCGTAAAGTACGTTATTCTTGCTAGTTCATGGATCATTGAACATCCCACAACTTTGAAGTCTGATATTCTTCCCAAGACACCTAAAACTCTGATAATCGATGCAGGATCCCAGAACCAGCAATCGATACCCTTTGCATTCGTTTGACTTCACTTCTCAAAAGAGAGCTTCGTCTTAACTTTAAATTCGTAGTTTAACTAGACTCTGCACGCAGGGTAAGCAATCGATGTCATGATTTTCATATTTCAAAAGAAAGATAATAGGGGAAATGAAAAAGCAGTTGTTATCAAGATTTCAAGGTTAATGTAAGATATAAAATATGAATTATTTGGGGGACCATGTAAAAATGATTGATGAAAAACAATAACACCTCATTAACCATCGATTGTAGTTAATAAAATCTGTTGGTCAAAACAGAAGTGAAGGTTACCAAATGATAGATACATTGTATGGAGTATCGAGTAAGTATAGTTTTCTTTGGTATACGGCCGTATAACAAAACATGGTCATGAGTTAAAAAAAATTGTGAAAATTTCATAGTGTTTTTATAAAACCACGGACCTCCTAAAGTCCATGATAAAACATAGCATGCTCCCCCATGGACCGCTCTGTCAGATTCCGCCTGTTGGTCCCAAGGCTCAATAAATATTATATAAATATATATATTTAATTCTTTTTTTTCGGTGAACACCTGTGCATCTTTCACAATTTCATGAAGCACGAGATCTATGGGGGTGACAAAATTACGAACAACATGAACAATTCACCTACCAATCTATTCTTTACAATCTCAATTATACAATATCTCTAAAAAGATTCACGATGTGTTAAAAATTGATGAAGTTAAAATGGATTCGAAGTGCAAAAATGGGTGAAAATGTTTAAATTCTCCCAAAATAATAAGAATAGTAACCATTCTTATGGATAAATAATACACTGACTATTAGCAAAAGTAGGTACCTCAGGGGGCAAAACATGACCTGCTTTCATACAACTTTTTTAATATAACTTTTTTAATGGGCAATGAATAATGGTACATTTGGATTTGTAGTGATGTGTCGCAAAAAGGTCGCGCACGCATTGTTACATTTTGTGGCGTAATCCAGAGGATTCTCGCTTTTAACATGATAGAATGTGACGTTTTTGAGAAAAATGAAAATCCTTTCGTCCTCCACATTTACCTCTATATCTCAAAACGTTTTAGACGAATAACTGTGATATCATATATATATTGTTAATGGGCTAGGAGCATCATAAAACACGAATCAATTGATATTTTAGGTGAAATAAATATACGTGTTGCTGTGCTTGAAAATAGGCGAATGGCGTAAATCAGCCCTATTTTAATGAATTTTGAAAACCTTTCGTCCTCTTCTTTTCCACATACAACAGAAAACACATACTTTTGCGAACAAAATCAACTATTTATTAGTAAACTAGAGTTTAAGAGCAAAATAATCATGTATGATTTATTAAAAATTGATCTCGTTTTTTTTGTTTAATGTACACCTGAAAAGTTGAAGGTAACAAAAAATGAGCAAAAAAGGTCGCTGTCAACAGATTCTATTTTTCAAACTCTGTGACGTCACAATATGGGACCCTTACTAAAATTCATCCTTTGAAATAAAACTTCTATCTACCTTTATCAAGACGAAAAATAAGTTTAATCAGTAGTCATATATTGTTTGAGTTATGAGCGTTTAAAGACGAAAAATAATTCAAAATGTAACGTGTCAACAGGGGATATTTGCCAGATGTTTTGGTAAAAACTCTTTTTTAAAAAAGAACGCGCAAGAATTGTGAACGGAGTGTAGTTGATCTAAAAACTTCATTGAAACAGCTTTAAAATGATATATAACTTTTATTAGAATATTGTTTTATAATCCGGGGAATCAAAGTTACATTCACGCGATACCCTTAAAAAATAAATTCGCCACCTTTTTGCGACACGTCAGTACAGAACTACTATAAGATGTAAAACATATTTAAGCTTTATTTTTTAAAATTTGGGGATGTCTAGATAAAAATGCCAAAATCTTGAAACGACAAGGTCTCAAATGAATGAATTTCAGGTATACCCATACTGATGCACACCATTTTAAAGTTATGGACACCTGAAAGAATCAAAGTCACGATTCTTCTAACAAAAATTATATACTAATTTTTGGGTGATTGAAGATTGCAAAAAGTACGTGCGGTGTCAAAAAAAAACGTTCGCAATTTTACCGGAAAACAAAATGGATTTCGAGTGTCTGAAAAATCCAGGTGAGATCTTTAGAGCATTGTCTTATTACCGAACCACATACCACAATGCATGTAACTTAGTACTATAGGTTGTATACTATATATCCCTATGTTTCTATATTGGTATCATGGAGAAGATAATCTTCACGTAATCGCTCAATTCCAGTCAACTTCCGTTCATTTTTTCTTAGCCTTTTCCTTTCAACCTTTGAACTAACAAGATAATCCAGTGAAAAAATCACTGAAAAACTACAAAGACCCGAAGTTAGGTATAAGGGGCGGAAAAGATCATGGAGTGATAGTGAAATGTTGCTTTTAGTGGAATCTATTAAGGTGCTATGGAAGTTAACAGGAAATGACAAAACAGGAAGTGACAACATTTTTTTCATTTTTGACACTTTTTGAACAAAGATAACAGAGTTCTGTTTTGACCTCCAGTCAATTCAACTTGTTCCAAATACCATTTACAGGTCCAGGATCACAATGTTCATGGTCAGAATGACCCTAAACATGATGAAATAACATTTTCAGCCCTATGAAAATGTGACTGAAAAATAGCTAAAAGTAGGAGGTAGGAAAGGTCACTGAACAGAATCTTTTGAATTTTTCAGAAAATGTGCTTAATATATTGCTCTAAATGATACAATCTTTAAAAATTTAATATCATTTATAGAAAAGAAAAAAAATGAAAAAACTGATTTGAAAAGCAAACTTTTTTCCTTTTTATGACCGTCATTTTTGTTTCAGACAATTTTCTAAATTTTCAAAGATTGTATCATTTAGAGCATTATATTGGTCACATTTTCTGAAAAATTCAAAAGATTCTGTTCAGTGACCTTCCCTTTGCTCCTACTTTTAGCTTTTTTCAGTCATACTTTCAAAGGGCTGAAAAGGTTATTTCATCATGTTTAGGGTCATTCTGACCATGCACATTGTGATCCTGGTCATGTAAATGATATGTGGAAATAGTTAAATTGACTGGAGGTCAAACCAGAACTCTGTTATCTTTGTTCAAAAAATGTCTAAAAATGCAAAAAAAATTGTCACTTCCTGTTTTGTCATTTCCTGTTAACTTCCATAGCACCTTAAGTAAATGGTTATATTGTCACAGAAGTATGTAGCGCCACTTATACTATTTGGCTACTGGTATACTGTTCTGGATGGGGTAGGGTGACTTACAAGTAAGGAACTCTATTGTTATTTTTGTAAATGACTTTTTTACCAAGAACAATATAGATAGCGCTTCGTGCTCTTTTACGTTATGTTACATTTTGCAAGGAGTTTTAAATCAGATTTTCAAACTGTGAACACAATTTCTATATCTGTTTTTTTTTGTGTTTTGATGCAGTATTGCATTTACCAAGAAAAAGTTTAAATATACGAATAAACTCTAACAAACTTCATTATGTCACCATCTCTACACGGTGACATAAAACAATCATGTAACTTAAGCACATATTTCAGTATATTGTGGTGTCTTATAGCCCAAAAATATACAACAAATCTCAAAAAGTCCAATTAAATCCCTAGTGAATGACATCTGGACCCTGATTGAAACTCATTGGATCTTGTCGTGACATCATTTGAACGCTGTGGAAAGTTCTAATGTACATCATCCTTCTTGACCTTTGTTATTATTACCGTGCCCTGGAAATATGAGAAATAATCGCGTCATATGACGACTTAGTAGTTCCCTTGACAATATGCCATATAAGGTAATAAAGGCGGTCTTTAGGTCACGTGACCGATCCACTGGTTTATGTCCGGAATAAGGTACAAAGAACCGCACTTCGTGGGGGGTCTTTGTAAAAAATAAGCAAACATAACAACAAATAACAGTATACGGAGATCAGATTTATATGAATAATATACTGTTGCTTACTCACTTTGAGAGCCATGTTAGATTTTGAAACTTATGGCTCCCCAGACTCAGATCTGTCAAGTGTCCCGCAAATGGCGGGATTATCCCACGAATTTGATCAGATTAGGCTCATTCGCGTGTCCTGCGAAGTCCCGCAAATGTCAGCTTTGATCTCCGCGAATTTCCGAAATTGTTGCAATCCCCTGTATTGTGATTATCTTATAAGGAGCTAAGTTTTTGCACTTTTGAGGAGTAAAGTTAATATGTACACGTACCTAATTTTAAGAACCTAGCATGCTGTTGTTTGTATCAAAATAAAGAGGAAGGGTTCAACTTTCATTTTAATTAGGAAAATAGGAATGTAGGTCAAAAATAGTTCCAACGTTGGCCTTTTTATTACGTGTGTGGCCTTCATCTCAGAACTGAGCAAATGTTAGCAAATGCGACTTACTATAAATTGACACTTATATCTAGAAAAGTAACCCGACTCCCTATAATTTGATGTAAATTAATCTAACCCTTATATCATGCCTATATGAATAGGTACGTTTTAATATATAACACTATGGGGGTAAGCGTTTCATAGTTGGTCACGAACGCCATAAGTGCAAAGTATTGTTCAGAATTTTTGAATTTCGTGTTAGATTACGGTACTAACACCTGAAGCAAATTCAGAATGCTAAAATACCCAGGAATCTATTGAAGTAGGTATCTTAAGTGTAAGATGAGAAAATTCTCCCATGTTGTAATCGTACAGGCAAAAGATTGAGACGTTCTCAGGACTATAGTCCTGGCACAGGATAATGTGCAACAGCATGTAATAAATTCTTAAGCTCTATTTCCTCCGTCCTAGTAAGTCCAAATATAGTGGAATTTGTGACTGTGTCCATAATGACAAATAAAAACTTAAAAAGTTGAAGTGGATGTTCACACGTTAATGCCAACTCTTCAAATGTTGAGGTGATTTTGGAGCCCAGTTACGCAGCAATGAGGATTGGCTCCCAGAATGTAACATGGCTCACCTAAAAACTCCAGTTGTTTCAAAATCTAGCGTAAAACTCCCATTTTTCAGAACATAAGAAAAAATACTGTTTTCTCAAAAATCTACGGTAAAACCCCCGTTTTTTGAAAAATCTTCTGAAAAAACTCTCATTTTTTTGAAAATCTACCGTTAAAACTCCAGTTTCCTTTAGAACCTACCTCAAAAACTCCTGTTTTTTGAAAAATCTATCACAAAAACTACCTTTTTTTAATCTACTGTAATAACTCCCGTTTATTCAAAATCTACCGTAAAAACTCCTGTTTTTTTCAAAATCTACCGCATCTAAATCTACCTATGAGGCATCTTCATATTTTTGTCACGCATTTGCTGAAGAAATTGAAGTCACGCCAGTTTTTTTGCGTGAAAAAATATGTCATGCAAATACACAATTTTCTGATAATTGTCAAGCAAAAATATTTCTGGAGAAGAACATCAAAAAAACGAATGTCAAAAAAGGTTTGATAGACTTGTATATTTTGATATTTCTATATTCTGATATTTTATATTTTCAGTCTATAAATATGATGAACTGGACAGCTGAAGTACAAATCTCAAAAGCTCACCCACATTCTTAACACAATTAATCTGTAAAATGGATGATGGCAGTGAATATGATGGAGAGAAACAAAGAGGAAACAGAATCATTGGACATTGATGCTAAGTCAGAAGATAAGGAGTCAAAGAAATTCATCAGGATTCGGGTGAAGCTTGGGAATGATCATGAAATTGGTGACCTAAAGACTGTGCCAGATTCAATGCTACAACCTCGTTCTAAAGATGAAAAACAGGCATGTTTAAAAGAGACAAATGTAAAGAAGACAAACATATTAGAAAATTCAAAAATTCATAACTGTCCTCATTGTGATAAATCGTTCAGACATGGATCCAATCTAACTAGACACATTTTCATTCACACAGGTGAGAAGCGGTATGTATGTACAGATTGTGATGCCAGCTTTTCCCGGAATGATATATTTCAGGAACATCTAACAAGACATAAAGGAATAAAGCCACATCAGTGTGAGATTTGTTCAAAAAGACACACCAGTCGCAGAGCATATTTCTATTGTAAATCAAAGCATGCACAATTGAAAAATGAAAACCATTTATTTTGTACGAAATGCCACAAGGGATTTGAAACAAAGGAAGAGTTGGATTTGCATACTGGTTTGATGTTAGAAAATGGTGGTGTTTGTCGATCTGTTCGTTCAAAGGGTACAAGTATTTTAGAGTGTACAGAATGTAATAAGACATTCAAAGATCGAAGTTCCTGGAGATATCATTTAAATAAACATTCAGGAAAAAACTTACTTTACTGCAAAGTATGCGACAAGAGCTTTCCAAGAATGCATGGTCTTCTTGAGCATGAAAAAACCCATCTAGCTCGGGAATTTCAGACTTGGAAGTATAATTGTGATCAGTGTAATAAGGGATTTGACCGAAAATCTCACTTTAAAAATCATTTAAATTTACACACTGGAGAACTCCCGTATAAGTGTGAGCTTTGTTCTGCTGCATTCTCATCAAAACCAGGACTTAAAAGGCACATGGACAAACAGCATGACAAAAAACCAGCCATATGTGAAGTTTGTGGAATTACTCTATCAAATGCATTAAGTCTCAAGTCACACATGCGGAGTCATAAGAAATTATTAAATAATGGGACAGAATACAGGAACCTTGAAATGGATTGTTCGGTTTGTGCTACCACATTTTCAAATCTTAACAAATTAGAAAATCATATAAAGACTATGCATCCAGAATTCACAAACTTCACCTGTTTGTATTGCCCTAAGGCCTTCACCAGCATGCTTATACTAAGACGTCACATTCTTTATAAACACCGTAGCCAAGAAGCTAAAATAAAATGTGATGCATGCGACAAAGTGTTCTTTACAAAGTTTGCTTTAAAACAACATATTATTCGCTCACATATAGAGGGAAATTTTCAATGTGAAATGTGTGATAAATGCTACTTTAGTGAGAAAACATTAAAGCGCCATGAAATCACAATTCATACAAAGCCAGAAGACAAAATCCACAAGTGTCATGCATGTGGTGAAGCATTTGTAACAAACATGTCTTTGAAAATGCATATAGCTAGAGTTCATAAAATAGAAATTGAGGTACATGTAGACACATAATGACCTATACTACATTATCCATAATTCACGCTTTCTATAAACTCTGAATAAAGTCTATATTTCACTCTGTACTTATTTGTCGATACAATACCTGGTCTGTACTAAGTGTTTCGTTCAGTACACTGGCTCAGATCAGATATTATATTAAGCTTTCAAATACCTAACTCCTTCCAGTCGCTCAGGGTCCAGAAAATGATATAATGCATTACAGTCTAGAGTCTATATTTCTAAAGAAAATGGAGAATTACTAGAATGTTCTGAGAAATGGTGTTTAAGAGAGAATGTATTACTGTATTGCTCAAAAATATAAGTTATTACTTTGGTGATGAAATCAAAAATAGTTTATTGTTTTGTTCAGTTTCAATTCAAACAGACTGATAATATCAATATGTTTTTATGGTGCCAGGATATGATATACAACTGCATATAACATAGTCTTGCTTAAAAGACCCTGTACTCCCCCCCCCCTTTATCCTTCTCTCTGTATATTGCCAGGTAAAGAGAGTGAAGGTGACGGGGGGGGGGGGGGGGTGGATACAGTATTTGAGCAAGACTACATATAACAGTGAAGTAGATATTCAAATGATTGTCACTGTCAGGTTGAAAATTGAGGATTACAACTATTTATGAATTTAACATTTAACTTATCTTTGTAGCTGTAAGAACTCAACTGGGTGACTGTTTTTTAAAGAACAAGAAAAAGGTTTAAAGCCCTCATAAGTTTAAACCACTTTGGCTTATATTGTAGTCCTTGCCCGTAGCCAGCTTTTACCAGGGGGGGAGCTTTTTTCCAGGGGGGGAGCTTTTTCACAATTTTGGCTAAAAATCATGCGAAAAATTCTCAGAATGGTGAAAAACTGCATGATTTTGAAAGAATTTCTGGCCAGGGGGGGAGCGAAGCTCCCCCAGCTCCCCCTCTGGCTACGGGCCTGTAGTCGTACCCAATATTACCATAATGTAATATGTGAAACTTATTTTTAAATTTCAAAAGGTGTTTTTTGAAGGAATTTTTGCCCGAAAAATCATGAATTTATTTAAAACTACATTTTAGAGGTCGCATATCACACCAATGCATAGCATACATCCTAACATACTTTTTGGAAAAAATAAGAAAATTGATTGATAAATGAACAAAAAATGAATTCACCCATGCACAAAAGTGGTTCAGAGAAAATATATTTCAAAATTATCGTTCTCATAGTAGCCAATGGCACATGCACAGTATACCAGATCACTCTTTCGACTTCAATATCAACCATGGTTGTTCCTTCGCCCGATGATTTTGGCTTCCCGTTAAGCCTTTTCGTTAGAATGTTCATTAATACAGAAATCTCGTTCTCTCTTCTAATTTTTCTTTTTTAAAACTCGAAATGTCACGCATTTACCTATTATCACCCGGGCCAGCAATGGACGAAAATATTTTCAACATTGACATCCCTGGGGATTTCCTTAGAATTTCGTGACTATCAAATTTTGGGATTAGAACTGTAGGAATTTCGTGGCTATTATATTTCACAAATTTTCCAAAACTAGCGAAAAGCGTGAAATATAGAAGCGCGCAAAAATTACCAAGAGTACAGTATTCTTTTCAACCTCATTAGACTCAACTGGCAGGACATTTTAAAAACAAAGAGCTGACAACTTTTTTTTCTCTAAAAGTCATGACAAATAGTAAATCAATGATAAAAACATATTTTCAAACTTCACATGGGGCCTTTAGATACCCTGAAATGCCAAATGAGTATTGATACAGAGGTAAAAGACCTCATTGGATTTTAAAGTGTGCGCCAAAGTTTAAAACTGCGCAGGCGCACCGCTCTCGCTAAACTATATAAAGAGATAACCAGGTACACGATTCAGAGGTAAGCCAGGAAGGCGAACGATCTTCGTCTCGTGATGATTTCCCATATACTGTAAAACGGGTATTGTTAGCGAGGGGTAATTGTTAGCGATTGTTAGCGATCGCTATAGTTTCGCTAAAAATTCAATTCGCTAAACTAAACCAGGGTTAAAATAAACCGGGCGCTAAAATTTGCAAATTCCCGGGAAACTACATGAATACTAGTATTTAAGGACCTTTTCGTCCAGTGCTCGACTTCCCGTTTGTAATTTGAAAAAGGTAAATCAACGATTTTAAATGCAACCGTGATTTTGTGATTAGTCAGATGAGATTACAGTAGTTTGGACCAATACCATGTGCGTTAGAAGTCTTACATTTTGATAATTCCTATGTCATGTCCGTTATTCATTCTTCTGCCATAAATGATAAAATTTCTTATGCATTTCGCTAATTTGATTTTTAAAGATTAATCTTCATTTCGCTAAAATTTCCCGCGCTAAAACCCCCTAAAATTAAAAAATCGCTAAAATTTCCCGGTGTCAAAATTACCCGTTTTACAGTAATCGTAACCAGGGAAGTTTCACCATTGAAATTGAAAATCACTATTAGATATACTTTGTAGATGTTATTTATGAAGCTATTTAGTGTTTGCATCAATCAAATGGCTCATTTTGAACATATAAAAAGTATTTGTGTTTTGTTTCGCAGGGAATTGTATTGTATGTAGTACACACATAAATAGTGTACATTATACAGTACTTGAATAGCCTGGTTTACATAATATTGAAGGACATGCTGATTACATGCACACGAGTACATGGATGAAGGCCTAATATTGATATACGTAGCTTGCATACCTAAATAAAAAATAAACTCTTCTAATCCCCTAATGTAAACACGGCGGTATACGTAGCCCGATTTATCGGGGACTTTAATTACACCATCAGTCGATTAATAAAATGAAATTCAATAAAAATATTGCAGCACGATACACAATACAAATTTGTTTAACTTTACAGTTTGGAACCAAAATAATGACACATGGATTTGCTGAAGCGAAAATTTCCCATGTTAAAAATAAGAGAATTTTCAAGAGGTCATACATCAGTGGATGACAGTATACAAAATGTAAAATATACAAATTTTAAGGGATATGTATCTAAACAATATTTGAGACTATAGGGCTTTCAAAACATCATGGTTTGGATATGGGGATAGAAAATCCACCTGTCATTTATTTTGTTACAAACTGTAGAAATGTCACCTCTTCTGTCAAGTGCTGCATTGTTTTTTAACATAAAAAAGTTAAAAAGATGTCACCTCTAATAAAATTGCTATCAGGTGCTGCCTTCTTTCGATAAAATTGCCGGAAGCTGGGAAGTGACGTCATCAAAGATGGCCAGCAAAAAAACTAAAAGTGACCCATGGGTACGAGTTTTTGATGTTTCTGAGCCTCATACGCATGAAAAAGGATTCACAATATACAAAGTAACATACAGAGTAAGTAATCTTAGATATGCGTGATTTATTTTGCTCTATAGTGTTTTATTTTATTCAAAATAAGGCCAATGTAACTCAGCCCAGTGAAATTCAAATTGAAACTCGTCCGAATTTTTAGGGACAGCATTTTCCAATCAATCGAGGTTGAGCCATGCAGCCGAAGGTAAACCATACCACAGATCCGGATCCAGATCCAGCCCCTATTGGTAGGCTCAAAGGATAAATGGGAAGATGAGACACGAGCCAAAAAATGCTACATCGAAAAAATGACCACCCAAAAATATAACCCTCGTACTGACCTTTATTTTTCCATCTGTCAGACATTGATTGATCAAATTTACCCTGTAATCTTTTCTTTATGTATAAGTTTGAATGGTTGCATGATATCCATTATTGACGCTGTAATTCGACTTTCCCGGGACATTTATTTCAAATTTTCAGAGCGTAAAGATAATGGGAGTGCTTCGGTAATTTCCGGCAGTGTCCGATGTTGTTCATCTCTCAAATTACGTCACATCGCAACAAACAGCCAATGAAAGTAAAGGATCGCAAAGCCTAACAAAATGTTGTCATTGTTTTTACAGGAGTTAAAGAAACGTCATTGGACTTCTCAGTAATAATCTCTGATGTGACGTCATCCGGAGTGGCGTCACATTCTCAGAAAAGGCATGTGACTTTGGGAATAAACATTTGAACAATGGAGATAGCCGAAGCACTCCATTAAATATACGCTCGCTTATTTTATGCTTTTATCAATTGACGCTTTCTTGGATGTGTGGCTTTAGTGATTGGAGTTGAAGCTTACAACAGTATGCATCGTTTGAGGTATGACATGTGATATTTATTAAGCCATACAACCGAAATTTGAGGATTCAATCTGACGGAGAATGCCGAGCCTCTCTTTTTTACCAATTAGAGACGTCCTCTTCACATTCGTGGTACCCTCGGCCAACTTCGTTTGCAAAGAAAATCTTCGGCAATCTCCGGCTTTTCTTGAGGTATCTTCGGTTGCAAGCCAAAAGTCGACACCCATATTTTTATTTCAATAACACTAGTCTAGATCTCATTGACTAGTATTATCCAAAGGCTGCTTGGCTTGTCTCACTCTCATAGAACAGACTGATCTCACACTCATAGAACAGGCTGAAGTGAGAAATTCCCCTGTTAAAAAGAAGATAATTTTCAAGTGACCATACATCACTGGTCAGTATCAAGCGAAGGTAACAGCCGTAACCTTCGCATCAAAGATGGCAGATGGTTAGTGTCGATTTCGATATACAAAAGTAAGAGATGTGTATCTACTGTTTGGAACAAAATAAATAACAGGTGGATTTTCTATCACCATATCCAAACCATGATGTTTTGAAAGCCCTATGGTCTCAAATATTCTTTAGATATATGTCCCTTAAAATTTGTACATTTTAGATTTTGTATACTGTCATCCACTGATGTATGACCTCTTGAAAATTCTCTTATTTTTAACATGGGAAATTCTCACTTCAGCAAATCCATGTGTCATTATTTTCGTTCCAAACTGTAGACATTATTGGAATGTATGAAGTCTCAAATCACCATGGAATGGTGAAAGAAAATAGAGATGCCATTTATTTACGGTGATCACTGATGCTTACTTTTCATGCTATCAAACTACAGCAATCGAAGGACCACTGAGTCACAGTGCAATATTTTATCGAAAATCACATTCAGATTAATTTTTAGTGGAAAACATAGGCCAAGGAAAAAGTACTGTTTAGTTCAATATAGATGTCACCGTGACATCTATATTGAGCTTAATAGTACACATACTTTTCTCTTGGTCTATGATGAAAAATGTACATGTGTATTTTACATACTTGAGGTTTGGCTAATAAGATGGGTTGTGTCTCTCAGTTTCAGCTTTTATAGATCTACAGTCCATTTCAGTGTTTTACTGCATCAGTAAAACCTAAAAAATAAAAAATCTAAAGACCATTGTGCAAGGATGGTACTATATTCTGGCTTTGAACAATAAACCTTGTACCTCATACCCATGTATGTGGGTCGAGATGCAGTCTTTGAAGGGTTCAATTTTCAAAGTTTCAAAAAATTATTCAAACTGAGTTAATGCTAACTTTATGTACTTCATGGTATTAATGCACTCATAATTAATTACTTAAAATATGGTAAATTTTGTTTTCAGGTGTTCCCATTAGAGAATCCAGAAAATGTAACTGAGGTAAGAAGATTAAAAAAACTTAATCATTTATAGTTGTGGAAAAATCTAAACTGTGATGTTATGTATTCATAAGAGGGGGAATACCCCAGGGTTCAATTGAGACTCATATCTACAATGGAAAGTTACTTAGAGACGACCCATCATCTCTGATTGGTCAATTGACAAGAAGTGACATCGACAAATCTTTAAAATTCAAATTTTTTAAAAATGCTTCGAAAAATATTATGTTAATTCCGGGTGTGTTTAGCAATATCATAGCTGGTTATTTCATGTCAAGATAAAGAAAGACGTAAGGAATATGCTAACATTGATTAAAACATCATATTAACATGTGGTAATTAAAAACTAGATTGTGAAAATTGGGGCAAACAAAGGTGGAGTATTCATCTCTATGCTCTGGGTGTTTCCCTCCTCTTTTTATCTAGAAATACATACATGCTTTACCCTTGCACTTGTATTGCAATCTGTGTATATTGAATACAAATGCATTTATGAAGTAAATATTCATTGGTATGAATATGTTCATGGATTTCTGTGTAGAATGAAGTTCTATAAAATGAGTAGACTTTTGGGCTAACATAGTAGCTTACATGGTGAGCCTATATGGAATCACCAACTTGTTCATTAGAAACTAGAGTTTCAATTAAATATTAAGTTAACTCTTTTCACTCTGCCATTGATGATACTCACAATTTTCAAAAAGCATACAATTGCTGTAGCATTTTGTTGTTTGCCCATTTTAAGTTTCATTTGAAATATTTTATGTAAAATTTTAGACATGGTCTTATTTTTTCAGGTTATTCTATGGCGACGTTACAATGACTTCAAGAAACTCTATAGAACTCTGTTTACGCTGCACAAGAAGTTGCAACGAAGAGAGGAATTTCCTGCTTTTGCACCTGCTAAAATGTTTGGTAAGCAGTTCATTGCATTATCTATCTGTAGACATTATAATGAAATATCTTGGAAATACTCTTGCAGGCTTTTTACATTTTCAGGCTACATTTTACATTTCAACTATTGAAATCATCCATGCATATGTCTATCATATTTAGCTTAGCTATCATGTTTTTTGAGAGTCTATTTCTTGAATCATAAAGAAGCTGTTTAAATCTAAAATATATATGTAATATTTAAATGACTGATCTGTTATCTGCATAGGTCGTTTTGAGGGTCATGTGATAGAAGACCGGGTCAGAGCCATGATAGATCTGCTATACTTTGCTGGCAGACAACCACATCTGTTCAACTCTCAAGCCTTCAAAAAATTCTTTGAGGTACAGTTAATATGAATTTATTTATTCATTTAAACTTCCTTATATTGTAACTTGCAATTACAATCTTGGTAGATTTCCTTCAGATCAAATTACTTCCTTGCAAATAAGTGTTCAGTTTCATTTTCAGGGTCGTATATTGCAGTATTTTTTTTATACATAAATTTATTCCTTTAGTTAACAATACTAGTTTTATAAAAAACATTAGACAATATGAACAGGAATGCATTAGCATTTAAAAAATTAAATATCGCAGTATCTGAGTTAATTTTTATTAGTTCTGAAATTAAGGGTCTGAAGTACATATATATTTCTCCATGTTTGTCTTATATACCTGGAGGGATAAATATATGCCCTGAACAAAAACACATGTGTTGTCAGAGTGATCTATCTCAAATGATTCAATAATGTAAATTCTATATGAGGTTCAGGATATTGGGAGGCCAATATAATATATCTTCTCGAAGGCCATAGGTCCTGAGGGTAGATATACTATATTGGCCAAGGGATAATCCCAATATCCTGAACAGCAGATAGAATATAAAGGTTTTTACAAACCTGCTTTATGTACCTGATCAAGTCCAAGTATGGGATAAATAACTCTTTGACATGAATTGAAATTCAATGTGCTCCAGTGTTAGTTGATAGATAAGTTTCCACATGCATTTTATTATTACTTACACAGGGAGGTGAGAAAAGAAAGAGAAAGGAGACAGACACATTGAAAGATGGCATTCTGCAACCACAGTATATTCAGCCTGAGAGGGAATCAACCTCCACTGCTGATGACTCAGATTCTGAAATATCTTCAGTAATCTCTGAACCAATCGGTGGAGACCATATAAGTAAGATTTTGTATTTGACAAACATATTAGGAACAAGGTTATATCAGTGTATGACATCCACAAAAATTGTACACTTAAGCATAGTGGATAGTTTAATGACTGAAGTTCTAAGGCATAGGTCACCAACTGCTTTTACTATTGCTCATAGAAAACTTTCATTGTATCACATTTTACATTTTTATCGTACCTAACAAGAGGTACGATATTGTAGTCAGCTTGACGGGCGGCGGGCGGCAGGCGGCGTCTCACTTTTCAGCTTGTCTACAGGTTTCCAGCCAAACCATTTGAGGGATTCATCTGAAATTTTCAGGGATGTTTCTACATATCAAAGTCAAGAACTGATTAGTTTTTGGGCATTCTGGGTAAATTTTAAGGTGGCCATTTTGGATTTTCCGTCCTAAAATCTTCACTTTCAAGACTTGTCTACAGGTTTTCAGCCAAACCATTTGAGGGATTCATCTGAAATTTTCAGGGATGTTTCTACATATCAACGTCAAGAACTGCTTGGTTTTTGGGCATTCTGGGTAAATTTTAAGGTGGCCATTTTGGATTTTCCGTCCTAAAATCTTCACTTTCAAGACTTGTCTACAGGTTTCCAGCCAAACCATTTGAAGGATTCATCTGAAATTTTCAGGGATGTTTCTACATATCAACGTCAAGAACTGATTAGTTTTTGGGCATTCTGGTTAAATTTTAAGGTGGCCATTTTGGATTTTCTGTCCTAAAATCTTCACTTTCAAGACTTGTCTACAGATTTTCAGCCAAACCATTTGAGGGATTCATCTGAAATTTTCAGGAATGTTTCTACATATCAACGTCAAGAACTGATTGGTTTTTGGGCATTCTGGGTAAATTTTAAGGTGGCCATTTTGGATTTTCCGTCCTAAAATCTTCACTTTCAAGACTTGTCTACAGGTTTCCAGCCAAACCATTTGAGGGATTCATCTGAAATTTTCAGGGATGTTTCTACATATCAACGTCAAGAACTGATTAGTTTTTGGGCATTCTGGGTAAATGTTAAGGCTGCCATTTTAGATTTTCCGTCCTAAAATCTTGTCTATCGAGGCTTGTCTACAGGTTTCCAGCCAAACCGTTCAAATTTTTACATATGTGACACAGTGATAAGTTCTAGAGCTGATTAACTTTTCTGCGGCCATCTTGCTATCTTGGTCAACAAGACCACAATGCTGTGTTTTAGGTACGATATTGTTCACGTCTGTGCCTTGTTTTGTATACTTAGTTAATTTGTATACCAAAGTGCAACAAAAACAGTAAGAATGGAAGGAACACTTCATCCATTCAAATTATTTATGCATTACATATATTCAGAAGTCAGTCAGTCAGTCAGAAAGTAAATATTTTTGGGACATGGAATGAATCTATAACTGGATGTCTTCATTGATTATAATTGCTGTTCCTCATATTGGTGTTTCAGGTCGTGCCAAAGCTGCAGGTCAGCGAAAGAGTTCAGGCCCTCTGTCCGGCGAAGCGTGTCTGATACCCAAGGTACAAGTCTCTGATACTACCAACCAACCAGATGGTTCTCATGATTCACTCCTACCCAGAAACATGTAAGTATAGTATCGAAGATAATTGAACTTACATTGACTCTACATCTTACATCTATTGTGAGCATGAATGAGTTCAGTGAATTTTACATTTAAAAAAAGTTTCAAATTTGAAGCAAAATATGAAGAACTTAATGACTTGCAATCTGCCCTTATAATTTTGTTACTGTTAAGGTTTTGATTCGGTACCAGGGATTTCGAAGCCATATTGGTCAAAAAAACGTAAACAATGAACATCCAGGTTGAAAGGACACCGAATAGTATAAACAGTACTAACTGCAAACTTCATAGAGGGGGGGGGGGTGGTGGGCATAGACTTGATCTGTATCTGTAATAGTGTAATAGTGAGATGAGTTTAAGAGTAAATGTCCTATGCTTATTCAACACTCCTTTGGGTAGTGTACATATTTAATGATATGTGTTGTTTTGTTCAGATAAATACTACATAGTACATGTTTTTAGGTCTGACACAAACCTAGGGGGTGTCTGGAAGTACCGACAAGCTGGCGACAACATCAGTATCAATTCAGCTGAGGGAGACCTCCCTGTGGAAGACTCAAACTCTATGCTCCCACAGTCAGATCTATTGAACTTTGACCCAATGACTGGTGGGTGCGACCTTGAAGGGTCAGGGGTCAGCAACACTTGGTTACTGTCAGCAATGAACCAATTAGATAATCCAAATTCGACAGGTGAATACAAATATTCAGTATTTATATATCATTTGCTTTTTGCTTGTATATTTTATGTAATCTTATGTACAGTCAGTTAAGAGATAGAACATGTGTGGTCCCTTGGGAGACTCATTTCCCTTGGGATAAACCATTATATAAAACTTGTGTTTTTGCATCAAATGAAATGTAGTCCTTATTTTAGTAGATAACAAGCTTGAACCATTTAATGCAATAATGAACCCTAAATATATATTATCATCATCCATTTTCAGGTGTGCAAGGAGCTAGCAAAGGAGAACCCCCACCCCCAGAGATCACTATACAATGTAGCACCCCTAGGGACAGACCTCAAACTATCACCTTCAAAAAACCCTCAACAACACCAGAGAATAACTCACCAAATGTTGACCTTAAGCAAGCCTTTGAGGATGCATTTGGACCTATCAAATCCAGAAGTGAGCCAAAAGTTGAATGTGGAAAAGGGGATCTACCATTTGGATTTGTTAAAGGGAAGAATTCATCACCCAATTTATCACCTATGAAACTGTCCCCAAGGTCATCACCAAGGCAGGCCAGAAAGACAGAGTCTGATGATTATTTATTACAGGCAGCCAATCAGATTAGTGCAGCAAAGGACTGCGAGGCTGCTGGGAACTATCAGGTTGCCTTTGGATATTATAAGAATGGTGTGTCAATCCTGTTGAAGGGTGTGCAAGGTAGGTAATATATTTCTAATTGTATTTTCCTCATGTGTTTCTTGTGATTAAAATTAATATTCAAATGTGGTGAGTGGATTGACAGGGTTTATAGATTAACGTTTAAAAGTAACTGCACAAGTAATTAAATTTGTACAAGAATAAAGAGTTGATGAAATATTGAAATCTGGTTCCACTGAATAACAGGCTATTCATCTCTCCACTATTTGTTTCATCCTCTGGCAAATGGATTGGATTGCAAACATACTTAAAATGAATAACTTGGTTGGCAATCTAAGAACTCTTTTTATGTTTCTAGGAGACTCAAATGAGGCCCGACTAGATGCTGTGAGGAAAAAGACTGCTCAGTATCTTCTCAAGGCAGAGTCACTTTATAAAACACATATAGCCAAACAGGAGGAGGACGAGAAAAGATGGGCTGTAAGTTGAAGTATATAATACATGCATTTTAAATTATTTGTCTTAATTGTCTGTATAAATCTTGAGTAATAGGCTCAACTTCGGCATACTACCGCTATATATAAAAGAATGGTCTTCAAAAAGGTACTTCCTTGTCCTCCCATGTACAAAGTACATTTTAAAGCACTGCTAAAACTCTTATTTAGATTCGGAAATTTTAGTACTAACCCTATTATTTCATGATTCCATTGAGGCAATCATGCTTTCGGAAATCTTAGTACTAACCCTTTTATTTCATGATTCCATTGAGGCAATCATGCTTTCGCTAATCTTAGTACTAACCCTTTTATTTCATGATTCCATTGAGGCAATCATGCTTTCGGAAATCTTAGTACTAACCCTTTTATTTCATGATTCCATTGAGGCAATCATACTTTCGGTTCTTTAGAAAATGATATACCCAATTATTGCTCATCTTTTTCAGTCAAACAGTTCCATATCGCCCTCTGTTGAGATTGACCCAGCTGTTGCCCATATACAAGGTCCTGTATCTGAACTGAGGAACTACAGGGTGTTAGGCCTCATTGACAAGTGTATGTTGACATTGGATAGGTCTACACAGGCTACTTTTGTACTAAAGGTGATAAGAACTAAGGATAAAACAGTATGCTCAAAGCAGCTCATTTTTATAATGTGTTATTTTTAGATTTGAAGTTTGCAAAAAATTCCATCCCAACAATAGGCACACTGTACGTGCATTCAATTGTTGTATGAAAATACAAGACCATTGTATATTATTAATAAAAATTGTTAAGATGGTATTCCCATTAAAATGGCACCCTAGTATTTTTACTTTACTGTACTTTTTGGAAATGTACAGGTCTGTAATCCAGGCACTCAGTTGATATACTTTAATAAAAAGGCTAGACCATATCGTAATTGTATTTAGGAATAAAAATGATGAAATTAGGTTCATCGCCAATTTTAACTTACAACTATCTTTCCAGGTGCTGCACAAAACTGCACCAAGTACTGAAACAAAGACGATCGTACCTCGTTCTTGCCCTTATATGGTAGAAATTTATAAATTCTATGAAACAGAGAGTTCCATCTATCTGCTACTTCATCATGCAAGTGGCGGAAAATTGTGGAGTTATGTCAGTGCCTATCTAGGCACCAGAGACAAAGAGGACGCTCTTGAAACTGCTCAAATAGATTCTAATGTCTATCAGGGACAAAAGATGGAGACGATAGAGGAACCACCTTTAGATGTCTCTGCAAAAACTAGTTCCCCATTTCACTCACCAGAGGGCTCACCCAGTCACCCAATGAGTGACACAAGTGAAGGTGGGGATGCTTGTACAAGTTATGTTGATTTATTCACTGATTATTCCCAAACGAATATAGAACCTAATGCTGTAGCTTTCTCTAAGGGACTTGCTGTTAAGTTTGACACTCAAATCAGTCATGATGATGACACTTTCCTGAGTCCGGAAGAAATGAGTGAATTAAATGACACGAGTGGATTCCCTACAACCCCTACTAAATATGACAGTGATAGTGCCTTTAATAATACAAGCACCCCTCATAAATTCTCTGATATTTTAAATGGAGCTGTAACAAAACAAACTGCAAATTTTAGTATTGCTAGTATAGACAGTGGGTCTGATAGACTGTGTAGTGAGAGTTCTGAACAGTATGCGACTATCCCAGAGACAGATGAAACAAATACAATTGAGTCACACATACAAACAATTGAGGATAATGATTCAAATGTAAATGTGAACAATATGATATTGAATGATGGTTTGGAATCTATTGAACCACCTCATAATCTCAATATTGTAGAATCTAAAACAAATGAAACATCAAACACTGAAACACCAAGTGATGTAAATTGTGAAGTAGTGAGTTCTACCAACACATCCAATGCCAACAATTCCAATGTGGAACACAATGCAAATAGTCCTAATATTGTCCCAACAGACCTTGAATCACCATATCATGAAGACACTCTCACATCGAGTGCTAACCAAATACCAAATGTTAGCCCAATACACAAACCTAGCACCATAGAAAGTGTTACACTAAGTGGTCAGAACGAATTAAAAAGTGCAGTAGACAATACAAATACTAAGCCACCAGAGGAATGTAGTTTGCAACTTGATCTGTCATTTACAAAAACTGAGCAGCTTGAAGTCATAGATAAGAACACTGATATACCAGAATCAGATAGATCTACACCTGAAAGGAAATTCATTGATAGACAAATATCTAATGATGAACTGAAAGTTAAAATCACTGATGTTGGCGAGCTTAAGAACCTCAGTCATATCCGTACAACATCTGTTGAGCTAGGTCTTGAACAACCATCTCCAAGGACACGTGCAAGGACTCTCTCAGCAGCTTTTGGGCAGTTAGACCTTGCAGGGTCTGATGGGAATCGTGTTAAGTTGCCAGAGGCGTGTGTTCGTCAGTGGGCAGCTGAAATAATTGTAGCAGTAGATCATCTACATTCCAGAGGCATTATTTGCATGTAAGTATTTAGTTTATATTTAAGTAGGCATCAGGCCTGGTGTTATTGTATATGATACAAAACATATTTTCTGTAAATATTATTTGAGTTTGAAAAAAGAAGGGAGGAGGTAAGAAACCAGTTCATTTTCCATTTTTGTGTTCAGCAGAAACAGCACATTAATGATGATGAGTACTGTTTGTTGTCACCACCAGATGGTGACATTGTTATTACCTTTTTGTGGATGGCAGTTGGAGTTGGCATTTAATGGATAGTATTAGGCATCTGTAACAAAGTAACAAATGGCAGGTTAAGACATTTTGCATGTTAAAAAGGTTGCATTTTCAATACATACAATTTCACACTGATTTCAGGGACTTGCACCCAGATAACATCCTATTGGGCGAGAGAGGACATGTGATGTTAACATATTTTTGTGAGTGGAGAAATGTTGATAGGCATATACCACAGTGGACTATAGATCAACTGTATGTAGCACCAGAGGTCATGACCTTGGGTGCACATACACATGGTGCTGACTGGTGGAGTGTTGGGGCACTATTGTATGAACTCCTAACTGGACAGGTAAGTAAATAGTCCCTGAATATAGTTCAATAACTGCCCTTGTTGCATCTCAAAAATAAAATAAACAATTGAAGATTACTTTTTTATTTGTTCATATCTTTATTTCTTGAGGAAAAGCCAATTGAAAGCGAATTGATTGAATTTGATAATTGCAAAAATGTAAATTATAAAAAAAATAAATGAACATATAATATGCTGTTAACTTAAAGTGTGATGAATTTTAGAGTTGTGTAACCATCAATAAAAGTCGTTCTGATACTCTTCGCATATTTCTGTATCACCATAAATGTGGCTGAGAAGAATTGTCATTGTTTCTCATGACGATAAAAGTTACATATTGTGTATTTATGTTATGTATCTGTTGGTGAGTCCCAAAATTTGATTTTCAGAGTTTGTTAGCATGCCACCCTGGGGGTATAGGACCACACACTGCAGTGTTTATACCTGACTATATATCAACTGAGGCACAAGGGTTGCTAACAGAGGTATGTTTAATACTTGCAAGTTCATTATAAGTAGCATATTGTATGATTTTTGATGAATATCATTTTTATCCATAAGAGGAAATAATCTTCTGTGGGTTTGGGTTTGTGTGAATGGCATGGTCTCAGTGAGGGATATAGACATAGGTAAAACCTTGACTGAATGACTGTCATTGTTACTATATTATAATTGAACAAATAGAATCCAGATTTAATATGACACTGCGTCATATCAGTCATATTAGATTCAATTTAGTACATACCAAAGTTGCCATGTGTTAATCCCAATAGCATAAGTAATATTCAGTGCGACTTCATTCATAGCTCAATTGGGAACAATGACTGCACATGAACAGTAATATCATAGTTGATGAACTCATTCATTTTCTAATTCAGTGTGTATATATCTTTTACAGTTGCTGAGGTACAGTGTCAGTGAAAGACTTGGCTCAGGTATAAATGGAGTTGATGATATCAAAATGCACCCTTTCTTTGCTGACATTCAATGGGAAACTCTCCGAGAATGATTCACATCGGAAACTTTGAGAAGAAGTCGCACCCAAACGGAAACTCAGAAAACAACTTACATCTAATAGAAATCAGAGAACAAATTGCACCCAATGGACAACTCTCAGAGGATGACTTGCACCCATATAGGAAACTGAGTATGACACATCAAATAGGAGCTTTTTGAGAATGACACATCAAATAGGAAACTCCTTGAGAATGACACATCAAATAGGAACTTTTTGAGAATGACACACACAAAAGGGGAACAGACCTTAAGGAGTTTGGATCCAATGTTAACATGTTGAGAATAATTCATATTCAATGGGAACCAACCAAGCAAAGACTCAAATCTGATTGGAAACCCCAGAGTCTGACTCCTCATTGTATAATACTCCCAAGAATGACTCGCACACACAGAGTAGCCCACAATGACTTAAAATGTAATGTTACTTAATAGCCTGGACCATGTAATTGGATTTGAGCTTGGCTGTAATTTTTCAATAGATTTCAATAGCCAACACCATGGAAAGGCCAGTTTTGCAAAAATACTTAATGACAGACTGATAAGACTTAATAACAACGAATAAGTTCCTTTGATATTGTAAGATCTTGAAAGTATGTCAAAACAAGGATCTGAAGATTCTAAATCTCTTCAGGGACTTCTCTATAACTGTCCATGCAAACCAATTGAAATGGGCTTTGATACAAACTTAAACACAAGACACCTCATTTTAAGTTCTACTTCTTTAGAGTTTGTACCATATCAGTTCACCAAAAGTGTAGGTACAAACTAACAAGTTGTTACTGTTTAATGAAGGAAGTATTTAGAAAGGTTGAGCCCCTTTAAGGTTTAATATTAAATATTCAATTTTATGAACAGATCTACTTTCTGTAAAAGTTTATAATGTTAACCAGCACAATTGCACATAAATGCAATATAAAATCATGGATATATTCAGAAATAATTTGAATGAATATCAATTTGTTTCGTCTATGTGTATAATTGCATTCCATTGAAAACCCCACTTCATTGTATTTAGTGTACATGTATATTTTTATTAGTATACATATTGTTTTACTCATTTTCTGTATCAGGAAGGCATCTATGTTTTAATAGAGTACTATTACTACTCTTATATATACCTCTGGTTTCCCCCATGCCAATACCTATTTTATAAGCTTTGCGTTTGATAGAGAATGGGGGACATAAAGGTACAGGAATAAGATAGTAAAGTTTGTTATTTATTATACAGAGTGTCTAGGAAGTAAAGATGCACCTGAGCCCTACCATTACAACTATACAAGATGAGATTTCACAACATCATAGGTTGTGCCTCATTATGTCATGAGATATATTAGTACCGTATAATAATGTCAAGCTTCAATTTTATTATTTGACAAATCCTTTGAAATGAGAGCACTTGTACATTTACTTTCTGGGCACCCTGTAATGTACTATTAACTGTGTATTAAAAAACAGATCTTATTCGTGCTTCTGTAATTATCAGTTGTATGTATAAAATTATCACTTATCTTACTGACTGCTTATAATATTGAGTAAAACTATATTTTTCATATAGGCCCTATACATGTACAGTATTTGATTATTACCCCATTAGAAAAGTGCCATAGTGGTAACTTGAAAAAACATATAAAATTTAAAATATTAGTCACTGGTATTATAAGCATGATTCACTAAGCTTAAATTTTCAAGCATAGCTTATTAACAATCTGTTTAGTCTACTTGTCCAGCAGAAAAGAATTGTAATACATGTATCTAGTCTTTGTTGTTAATCACCATTTAAGTCTTAAGATGAGCAGTGCCTCTTAGGTATGATTCATATTATTGTAGAAAGCAAAGTGGAAGTGGGTGGGACCCATGTAAAGTATATATAATTCAACCAGTCATATTTTGTGCCATACACTTGCTTGTAGTTAATTTTTTTTCGTCATGTGGTGTCTTGACTTGTCTGTTGATGTGGTGTACTTTCAAAGGTGCATTTGATTGTGATACCATATTTTGTTTGATATTTAGGGGTATACCTATGAAACGAAATATTTTAATGTTAGAAAGATTCACTGTAGAATCTTTCTAACATTTTTTCAGTAACCTGCCTCCTATGGTTTTTGATAGGGTGCCAATAGTGCATTTTTAAACAATAGAAAAATAATTCACTGTTCTTTGTTACAACTGTTCATTCTTAAAAATAAAACACAGTTCATTCTATTGTGTTGCTACCTAAGTGTGATTTAATTTCAAGTAATCGGTTTCTAGTAATTACTATTAAAGCAGAAATTACAAAATGATCTGAAAATTGTTGGAACAGTAGTTCAAGTAAATGGTATTATATAATGAAAAGTTGTACACCTGTATTAGTATTATGTTCATATATTTAATGTGATAACATGCTTGTTCGTGTGCAATAAAGTGACTCAATATTATTTATGGACATAATTTGTCATTATTCTTAGATTTACTTATGTAACAGATGGCAAATATGGAAGTCCAAGTGGTGAAAGAAGAAATACCAATCCAATGAAGGTACATCCAAAATATAGAGCATTACATAACACAGCAAGAAAAAAGAAATAAAAAAGAACGACTTCTGTTATTTGAAGACTGAGATCTGACAACTCATCTATAAAGTTGCCTCACCTATTTACATTTGCCTCACCTATTTACATTTGCCTCACCTATTTACATTTGCCTCACCTATTTACATTTGCCTCACCTATTTACATTTGCCTCACCTATTTACATTCGCCTCACCTATTTACATTCGCCTCACCTATTTACATTTGCCTCACCTATTTACATTTGCCTCACCAAATTTTGACTGGCTATGTTACTAGTAAGGTTCCAAAAGTTTACATAAAGTGGTGTACTCTATAATGTAAATACAATGAAACTGTCTGAGAATGAAACGCTTTAATTATGATGGAAATTACTTTTTCAGTCTGACGTAATGTAAGTTTCATAATAGTCGAATGTGTTAATGAAGCAGACAGATCAAAAACAATTCAATGTTTCACAGTGATAGTTTGTCAAATCGTAAATACAAGAATAAAGTGTCGTTACTGCCACCTTTATTGATCAGTGTCAAGTGAAACAAAATCTAATTGTTATGGCCTTAAAACTTTTGTTACATAAAAAACAAGCATATATGCAGGAAATTAATATCTCTTCTACATTCTGTGTTTGGAGTGCTTGGTGAACAACAGGATATCACAGCTTATAAGGAAATCGAAGGATGAAGGTAAAATCTTGAAATATGTTTCATACTTGTTTATAACTAGCCATTATGCTGGTAATCTATTTTATTTAATTAAAATTTTTTGGTCATTTTAATTCTTACAAAAAGCAATAAGTCATATATTGTACAATAAAAACGCAAAACTACTACATGTATCTTGAAAGGTGACATTTGAGAGTTTAAAATCATCGACTTTAAGATACATGTGTTGAACATGTATTTCTACATTTATTATTTTGAAGAATTTACATGTGGAGAGGACAGAAACAATAATTATAAATGTCACTTACAGTTATGTTACCCCTTTTACCTTTGATTTGATATTGAATTTTTTTGTTAGAATAAAGTGGCTGTGGCTTGGTGTATTTTATTTTGTCCCAAAATTGAAATTTCTGAATTAAAAAGGGAATTTATGTAATATGTAAATTTAATGTATATTAATATATAGGCTTTTGTTTACCAAATATATTGCAGGGCTATATCCAGGCTTTGCTGTTTACTGGACTAGTGATGGCTTTATCAGGGACAGATCCCAATGTGACATCACAGAATAGTTCTGTTTTGTCAAACACGGATTCAGAACTATGGACTGAGTCAGCATTTGTCCAATCAGAAGTACAGACTGCTTCAGATGTAGCGACACAAACTGATGCATTGCAGAATGACTCCATTATGATTTCACCTACTGATGCCAATGCTCTCGAACCTGTTACCAGCTCATGTGTTGACAAGATTGGTGGGAATACAACTAAACAAAGAGATGAACAATCAAACAGTCAAGATGCAGCTAGAAATAATGACACAACAGCATGTTCTGGTGATGAAGATTCTGCAGTTGAGAGCGGTTCATATGTTCTCACCAAGAAAATACTTTTGACTGCAATTTTGGGACTAGCATCATTAGCTGGAATTCTGGGTAATGGTGTGATAATAACTGTTCTCAAAATGTTTGTATCAAAGAAGCCTTTATATTTACTAATTTTGAATTTATCCCTTATTGATATAATAACCTCTTCATTTTGCTTGCCTCTGCTCATTTATACTACTTTTATAGAAGGGGTAGGGATGCCACTCTTGATGTGTCAGATAACTGGTATCATCAATTGGGGATTGTTTGTGACAACGTTGTTCACACACTCGGTTGTTGCCTTCTACTGTTTCATGGCTTTGCAAAGCCACAGCACTTTCCATATGTGGATCATGAAGCTACGTGTGGTGAGTTTATTAAATGTGCTCACATGGCTGATGGGCTTTGGTATGGTCTGTATAATGCCTTTGCTTGGTCTTGTTAGCTCAGGATATAATGCAGCGCTAGGCTATTGTGTTGCCATGGTTACGGCTGTATCTCCTGAGATGGAACTCATCTACAAGTCGCTCGTGTTGCTTGTAGCAACTGGCTTGAACACAATCATCTCTCTTGGGTTTTACATTGCCCTGTTCAAAACAAACACGATTCAGAATGAGACCAATGTATCACAGCAGTTTGAGCCTAGTCCATCCCTCGAGCTCAGTACTAATAGTACACAGGTAGACATAAGGTCCACACATACTGTCTCCAGTGCAATCATAGGAGTGCAGAGACGTACATTAAATACATGCAAAGTCATGGTAATTGTATTCATACTGCTTTGTATTTCTTGGATTCCCTTTACCACATGTCAGTATCTCTTGGAGGTATTCCCAGATCTCCCTTTATTAAATGATTTCTCACGCATTGTTTCTTACCTGCCCCTCATAGTGTCTGCCGTGAACCCATTTATATATGTTAAGATCCCAGGCATAAGGAATGGGATAACATTGATGACACATAGATCTAGACGTAGCACTGATATTTACATGGGATAGGGCACACAGTCAGCTAAACTCAAAATTAATATTCTTCCGTTGTAGCAAGTTTGAATATAATTTTTGGTGTATTTTTTGAACTGGTTAAGTTGGCTTTCTTTAGTGTCATGTGGGCTTTTTGTTTTGGAATATTGTTGAAAAGGATTTAAGTTGTATGAGAAAAGCTTCTAAAAGCTGATATGATCCACTTGAATTGTTTTGTACTTCTGTTTTTCCACATTTATGATGGTTTGATCCCTACCATGTAGGCTTTGTATAAAAACCTCCTACCTCATACCCACCTACCCACATACGTGGCACAGTCTTTGAAGGGTTCAATTTTACAGATCTTATTTTAGTTTATGATGAATTATAGATGCATTATAACAACCCTTGATAGCAAGTTGCTACTACATCCCAACTGGGTTCGGTTCCCACACGGGTCATCGAATTTAGCACACTTTCTTTCAATTTCTTTCTGGCTTGTTGGACCTATGCTCGCGGTCGTTAGTTATTTATTCCCCTGGGGCTGCCTTGGGTCATTGCACATTAAAATGCATCCATAGCCTTTATTTATGGATCTGTCATCTGTCTAGTCATAAAATAAAGCCGAAATTGAAATGTTAATTATTTGAGCTATTTTGAGATTTAATAATCTTTAAACTTGAACCCTTCAATGACTGTATCATGTTCCACGTAGGTGGGTAGGCAGGCATCTCATGATGTTACGGCATAATTGTGAAAAGTGAGATTTAATTTGCCTACTGAAAATTGTCAGCATTGTTAGCCTTTTAATTTCTTCCCACACACACACTGGGAGACATCCTACATCACATTAATGTCTATCAAACAATTTACAATCTTATTTAGCAGTAATTCTGTCTGAAAATAAAAATCTATTTCCGGACCTTATTTTCTAATATGCAGGCTGGGAGAGATCATATATTAGCACATCTAAGTACTGACATCATTAATTATCAGCCAGTATATGTAGCAACAGTGGAAAACAAGTAAACATTATGGTAGCAACATAAAGAAAATGACACTCGTCTCATGATGAAAATTCCTAAGACATGATGTCACACTTAGCAAGTTTTCCAAAACGTATTCTTATAAGTGTGTTCCTTCAGCTTGCAACTAAAGAAATTAAGTCTCCAATTATCAACAGCTGTGAAAAATAATTAAATCATGCTATACCTCCCTATGTAATATAAAAATTCAAAAGTGTTATCACTTGAATATTTCAAACATTTATTTGTACCCCTCCCCCTAAGTAACTGAACATTGTTCCTCTACAACATATGTACTGTTTGTAATAAGACAAAATACCCAATGGCAACAAAGTTGGCAAACAGGTATTTACACAAGTTTGAAAATCGATTAGTGTAAAAAAGAAAAATGGTTTTGGTGTAAAAAATGTATGATATGTAAATAGGTTTTGTTTTTGTGAATCTATAATATGTAGTAAAAAATTCAAATACAAGGACTGCTGGCAGTCATTTTGGTAGTAACATAAAGAAAATGACACTGATGATCACACTTTAGCAAGTTTCCAATGCATGAAATTAGGCACTAGAAAAAGATGTGTCCTAATATTGTTGTAATGTAACATGTACACGGGGTTAAAGCAGACCCGATGATGCAATGAGCTTGCTCGGCGGTATCATGACTGTTTAACGGGGCTTAATGTATAAGTGAGCTCGGCGGTAGGTTCAAACAACGCAGATCCTCAAAGCATGTGCTCATCTCATGGTATCATTGTGGCTTAACACCTGTGATGTATTTAAAGAAATAAATGAGCACAATATGATTGCAACAGTTTCAATTTATCTAAAAACACAAAGCAATTTCATTCACCAAGTGTAACACCAGTAAATGAATAGTACTGTGAGTACTGGGGTCACATGGTGTACGGCATAAAGTGAACATTTTTGTGACAAAGAACATTTTTGTGACAAAGATGGTGGCTATTTTGAAAGAATTTGCTTGATGTTTTGCTTCAAAATTATTTTATAAAATATTATTATAAAGCTAGTAAATGGTCCAAAATTTTGCAAGACAAAAATGGTGGCAATTTTGAATGTGACTTTTGAAAAACTAAAATTTCATTTGAAATAAATTCACATTTTTCAAACAAAAAGTCCTTGAAATCTACTTTTTGGGATTAAATTGAAAAGTTTCACACATCACATCTTGATAACATTGGGGCCTGTACGGCCTGTATAATATAAGCCAAATGGGTTCAAACTTTATATTCTATTTATTTATTTTTCTTCATACTACTCAAAAATATAAACTTTACCTGTCTAATTTCTGATGTTTTTCACTTAGATTTAAAAGATTTTCACACTTCGGTGCACTCTCGACTGATAGTTTACCCTTTTCCTTTAATGAATGGAAATCATTCAAATTCTCTTTCAGTCTGGTCAGGAAAAATGAATGAAATTTTGGGGAAAATTCTGGTAAAAAGGGTATGCATGAGATCAATTAGAGTAACCTGAAAAAGCCTTAAATGTACATTTATCTATGCATACTTTCAAACAATTAAAATTTGTGATTGTTAAAGTTGAGAAACTGTACTGATTATTTATGAAACATTACCAATACTCCAGATATGGGCAATGGTGAAGTAGAGAATCCATTTTAAAGTAATCAAGGTCTGTCTAATTACTCAGATGCGAGTAGGTAGTTACCAGTTTTGCCACCAGGTGGCTGATTCGGGGGAAATAACATGACAGGGTATTACAAAATTCCCTTAAACTTGAATATTCATCAGTTTTAGTAGTTCACTTTTCATATTACCCGTATGTATATGATAGTTATACAAATTAGAATATGTCCAGTAAAAGAAAATATTTTCTGCCCAACACAAGAAAAGATATTTCACTTTTTGTGGTTTTACAACATGGGGTCTATAGGGAATCTCCCCGACCTAGAAGTCTCATTTTCAAAGAAAATTAAATTTTCAAAGTTGATAAACTCTTTTCAAAACCACATTTCTAGATGTAATTTTACAAGTAGATTCCAAATATGACATCAGATTGACTGAAATGTGAATCTTTAATGACGTAAATCAAGATTATTTCTACTCGCATCTAGGATATTGTGTTATGTGATGATAATTGCTTCATGTTTCATAATGTTCATAATTTGATCATGTTATTTTGATTAAAGGTATTAACACCACTTATCACTATTCAAACTTGCATTATTTAATATCTTGCATTGGAACAGGCAGAGAATGTAAGATGAGCAATCTGGGCTGAAACCAGAAGAATTCCTAATAATTTAAACTTCAGTCACATTTGGTCTACTGTGTCCATGATGGATGTAGCTTCACAAAATCTATATAAAAAATCTTCATCGTACTGCTTATCCCTATATTTCATGCTGCATATTTCTCTTGGTTTAAGAAAGCTACGACCACTGAACGGTTGCCGTAGATCAAATGTGATCACTTAGGCATAAAAGAAATCATTAAATATTATTCTCTATAGCTTGCTTCAAAAAAGTATTCCTATTTAAACATGTGCAAACATGTGCAACACACCTCTCTTTATATTCTAATGGCTTTCATTTGTCACAATTTCACCCATTTGTCACAATTGCACCCCTTTGTCACAATTGCACCCCTTTGTCACAATTCCACCCCTTCATAATTGCAACTGAAACAAAGAGGCTGTATTATAAATTGTAACAAATCTGTAAATCATAAGTAACTATTTTAAACTTTATTTTCAGATGTTGTATTTAAAACATGATCTACATTACATCATATTTGGTAGTGTTACATTTACAATTCATTACATATTCATGTCTCCTAGACTTCCATCAACATGAACATCAGTTCTGACCTCGTGAACAACGTCCTTGCACTCAAACCACGATCACATCACGAATGTGATGCGCACCACCATTTTCTAGCTCCCGAACATATTTCTCCACTCGTGAACAGAAATCTGTGCAAGATTCTCACACCAGATTGTGCTTCGCGAGCACGGATCTCTGTGCAGAAATGGAGAAGTGGAGAAATATGTTCAGGAGCGAGGAAATGGTGGTGCGTGACTAAAGATTTTACGTTTGTGATGTGAGAATCGTGGTTTGAGTTCTGGGAACATAGCTCGCGAGGTCAAAACTGATGTTCGCATTGATGATAGTCTAAGAGGCCTGATTTTGGTTGAAAAGTAGCATTTCTATTGCAAAAAGTCTCAGAACATGGACTGAATGATATTCTTAAAGATTTTATTAAAATGTAAAGGCAGAATTTGAAATGTAATAAGGAGCAATAAAAGGGTTTCACACAACATTTCAGCCAAATGTATCTAAAATCTGTAACGCATAGGCATATTAAACGAGATGTAGGTGGATATGTTTTAACTATAACGTGTTGTGCGAAACCTTTCTATTGTCTCCCAAAAGACCTTTGGTATATAATCAAAAGGTGGAGTTATTTTAAATTCAATATGAAAAATGTGTAAATTGACACATAAATGTAAAAACCGTTATTTCTTTCTGAATTGATAAAAAGCTGTAAGTTGTGCTGACAATAAATAATTTATTACAATACTGTATTTGGTTTGTAATACCTTACATGTCCTAACATATATCAACTTCTTTTCGCGAGTTTAGAAATCCATCAAGTTTCTTTGGTGTGATGATAATCAGGATTTCTAATCTTTTGGAGAGAAGTATACACTGTTGTACATAATTATTAATTATGCTCAATGTACAGTGAAACATTAATCTACCTAAAAATATATTTTGCCTGATTGGTTACACGACAGACACAGAGTGCCTTTTTATTCACTAACTAAAGCATCCCAAATCCACACAGATGCAAAGTTCAGTCACACTTTAAAGCAATATGTCAGATTGTCCAGTCATACTTTAAGCAATATATCAGATTGTTCAGTCACACTTTAAAGCAATATGTCAGATTGTCCAGTCATACTTTAAAGCAATATTTCAGATTGTCCAGTCACACTTTAAAGCAATATGCCAGATTGTTCAGTCACACTTTAGAGAAATATGTCACATTGTCCAGTCACATTTTAAAGCATGCCAAATTGTTTTTACACATTCAACTCATTATAATATCTCTATTCAGTTCAGCATGGCTTATTTTGTAATATAATGCTGTTTCATACCTTCAGCTTGGTAGGATATCCTCCTAACACTCGAAATGTTTAAATATAAATAAATTCTAATAAATTTAAATAAATATAATATCTAATTATCAATCTAGTATATCAGACAATTCAGTCGGATAAATCAATTACTGCTTTACTACAGGTGGGGTCAAGGTCAATTTAGGCTGATTTAACCCATTGAGCCATTGATGTTGACCTGTGGTAGGAAAGTATGTTGGTTCAATTTGACCCAAGGAGGCAAGAACTACAGAAACCTGAAGTGTCAACTAAAGCCATTTGTAATTAAACATACAAGGTGCTGAACATGGTTCAATCTACCTCTACAATTTACTGGACATGCTATTAGAGATCATTTCAATAAGATTATCACAGTGAGATACAAGAGACCTGCTCTTTGGACTAAATAAAATACTCTGTAATATACTGTTTCTTGTTACTTCTTTTACTATACTTATTTCCCAACTGCCTCCAAAGCTTCTATACGCTTAGCTTGAGTTTCAACCACATTTTTCAGCTGTAGGTTTTCTTCTTCTAGCATCATAATCTTGTTCTTTAGCTCATTTACCAGTGCATTCACCTCAGCAGTATCATTTGCATCAACATCATCTATATCATTTAGAGCTTTTCCCTCTTTCTCAATTGTGTTATTGTTATCATTTTCAAGGATATCCTCACTATTCTCAATTGTGATTCTAGAGATGGCATTGATGTCAATGTTATCTATGTTTCCTGGATCAACCTTCACCTTTCCTTCAACAACATCTTTCTTTTGTTCGATGTCTTTTTGTGCTGAGGTGAGGTGGTCTTCACTATTCTCTTGGTCATCTTTCTTAGTAGAGGAGATTGGGTCATCAGGCCGAGGAGAATTCGCAAGTTCTATTTCTGCTGCTTCATCTAACTCCTGAAACAAAGCATACAGTATATATTATATATTTCTTTTATACAAAGTTTACTGAGAGATGAGCAGTAAAAATGAGTCATTTTCATCATTGGCTATCTTTCCTATTTGATGTAAAAAGTCTGGCGTTAGCCTATGGAAATGAAAAATTAGAAAATGACATGCAACTGAGTAAAATACAAAAACAACTATATCCCCTCCCTTGTCTATACTTAATAATATAATCGCCTGGTGATCGTGAAATTCAACAAATCTTGAAGATTTATTTTTTCAAGAAAAGGTTTACTATTGGATTGCACGGTATGGCAAAATATGTTAGGTCTTCTGAGATTTTTTCTGAACCAATACTCTTCTAAAATACAAGATCTATTAAAAAAGGCGCAAGGCCCCAACGTGCACAAGTCAACGTTTTTGCTATAAATCAAGCAGCAACAGTCTACATGACCTGTAATAAATACTTATAAGTAATGTTATCATAACTAAATTAATGCCATTGTTGACTTTATAAAATAAGTTTCCATACGCTGTATAAAAAAACAATCGAAAAAAATAAAAATGGGACGGAGGGGGTAGCAATATATCTATAAAGAGAAACAACTTTACACAAATGCTTGTATTTGAAAAATGAACTCATTAACTTAGTAAGAAACTGGATGTTGCACCTCGGAAGAATGAAAAATTGGGGATATTTTGAGTTATGGAACTTAAGTCAAGTAACCTCTCATATCATGTCTTACATGCACATTGTTCCCCCTCCGTCCCCTCCTTCCTCCGTCCCAAATTAATTATTTTCGATTAATTTACATATAATGTTTGGATAATTATTTTATTTTAATAAGTCATCAATGGCATTAATTTAGTTATAATAACGTCGCTTACCAGTATTTATTATAGGTCGTATAGATCATTGTTGCTTTATTTATAGTAAAAACTTTGATTTGTGCCCGTTGGTGGCCTTGCACCTTCTTTAATAGATCTCATATCTTAGAAGCGAATGGGTTATAAAAATCGTAGAAGACCTAACATATTTTACCATACCGTGCGCCTATTCATTCAGGAATTCAATTGTAAACGTTTTCTTAAAAAAATAAATCTTCCAGATTTTTTGAACTTTCCAGCAGAAATTGCCGGCTCCCCCCTTCCGTCCCATTTTCATGATCACCAGCAGTGGATTACTTACTGCTTGTAACCACGGTGGTATTTCACTGCGATCAGTTGCCGTGGCAACTCCTGAATCACTGGATTTATTGCGTGGTGACACAATCTCACCGTCACTTTCAAACACTGACATATCATCTTCTGAGAGACTACATACTGAAAAGATATAAACAAATTTGAGAATTTTTATGTGTTGTTATCAAGTTCTTCAATAACATTCTGTACTGTAAAAAGGGTACTATTGCAGAAAATCTGTTGTTTCATTAAATCTGAGCGAAAGAGTGCAATTTAATCAAGCAATACGTATAGTGTACATATATGGGGGTCTATCGGAATGAGCTCTCTCAAGATTGAAGGTAAAAGGCTTTAATTTAAAATAAGGTAACATTAACTCTTGGATATGTCTTATATTATGAAGAATGTTCATATAAAGTTTAGGAATGCCTACAAACTTTACTCATATAATCCCCCATGTTCAGACAAAGGACAATATAAATTTTATATATACATGTACTTACACTTTCCTCCACTCCCACTTGTGTTTGGAGATCTTATGGTTTTCTGATTCAAAACTTGTTCTATAAAAGATTGAGCTTCATATAATACAATGAAATTTGATAAACTGCCATGTGTATTTTGTTCCAGGAAAAAATGGAAAAGTCTATATTATATTAGAATAATTCCTATCCATGTAATAATTACATAACATACAGTACACACACATCTTTCTGAGCCTGCAAAGACTAACCCCTTCTTTAAAATGTGAGATTTGATTCGAAAAATATTGCCAAAGTTAGAGAGCAATTTTGGTGAAAATTCTGTGACTAGTGTAAGTTACTTAGTATTTAAGAGGCCAAGCAAAATTCAGCCAGAAATCGTTGAAAGGGCCTTTCATGGATTCTCATATTTGTCCTTAGGTATATATACCTGCCACTATGAGTGTATTCCAATGTTTACAAGCCAGATCAGGAACAAAGTGCAGAGATCCAAAGATGGGCTTAGGTTTAGCGAAACTCTTTCCATTTGGTCCACGTCCTTGGTCACTTAACGCAAAGCCCAATCTCCCATTTTCATTATTACCAAATGAATAAATCTGATTAGCTGAAATGAATTATAACTTTCATTATTGTTCATATAAATAAAAAGTTTTTTATGATTTTACTCATATTGATGTTTGCTTTTTTGATGCATTACAAATGCTTCAGACTTAATGTACAGTCACCCCAAACTTCGTTATTCAAACCATTAATATTTAGTTTCATGGTGAAAAATAAACCAAGTGTTGACATTAGGGTTCAAAACCTCCAAAGTTGCTGATTAGTACAAGAAATGGTCTGAGGGTATTTCAACCTAAATTGGAACATCTCCTATATTATATACAGTTTATATATCCATTCAGAATGAAAATCATTGATCTAGGGGACTGGCTCTCATTATTAGACAATCAGCCTGTACGGACAAAGGGAAAGGAGGACAAGCTAAGCTGACACCTACCTGATGTAGAAACAACAGTGAAACCATCTCCACAGCTGACTTTTTTCACTCTTTGTCCTGTGAGGAGGCCTAATACCAGGTTAACCCCTGGTCTTGTCTTGAAGTCCCCCACACCTAACTGGCCATACTTGTTACTTCCAAATGTTATCAACTGGCCATACACTGAAAATAATTCAAACCCTAACATTAACTTAACCTATTAACCTTACTTCAGATAGTTTATACCTTTTCAGAATTAGGGTCAAAGAACCTTTAAAATCAAGGTATTTTCAAAAAAACAAAGGCAGAACTTTCTTTTTAGAAAATAGACCTGACAAGGAATAAAATACGCCAAATGTGAAATATAACGTAAAGACAGTTTCTCCAAAGTAACCTCTACTCAAATCATGTCTATCCTTAGCTGAACATTCATAAAGTGAATAGAATAAACATTCACTTACTGTCTATTGCTGCAGAATGTGTATTGCCAGATGCCACTGTTACTATGTTATATCTGCTGAGAGTTTTCACAGTGCTGAACGTCTTCAAATGTGGAATGTCATAGGAGACCTAAAAGGAGATATAAAGATGTAAAATGTATTTCATATTCTGTCTTCAAATCTTCAGGTAGATAATTGAATGATCCATCACTGGTGAAGAAATCTAAGAAATTGGTGAAAAAACTCTTGTGTATAAAAAAATCCATGACTTTTTGAAAATCCCTCGTATCTTTATCTATTCTAAAAAGCAGGAGCTACGTGTAGTATCTCGTGTAGCTAGAGGCAAGTACTGCATTCTGAATCATGAATTCGTTAATTGAAATGACAAACCTTCACTTGTCTTTTATTTCTCAGACCATCAGCTATACTGTTAAAGCCAAGCTTGTTATGTTCATTGCTCCCGCAGGCCATCACTCGTCCTCCTGTGGTCACAACAAAAGTGCCATCTATACCAGCTTCAACAAACCGGATTTTTCTCTTTCCCTTGAAGTCGACTTTAGTTGGTTCCATGCGGTCATCTTCATCTCCATGCCCTAAGCGACCTGATATCAATAATAATTTAAGAAGTTTATAAACAATTCAACATATGAAAAAATCTGTCAAGTCTGTATCATCAATTTTTACTTTTCCCCATATTGCTATTTGATCTTCTTGATTGGCTCTTTAAAGATTCTCGCAATCTTTATCCAATCAGCGTTTGCGAGTGTGTCGGCTCACGTATAAAAGGCGAATCCAACTCAAATCCATGCAGGGGTGTATGAGGTACTCGAATAGGAAAGAGCTCGTGAAATCTGAATTTATATGCACATGGTCAATGTTTACACATGTTTGGAGTTATTGAAGAAAATGTGATATGGGTGTGGTTTCGAATTTGAAGTCATTGCTGGAAAATATGATTTTAATACGTGAAATTATATCTATAAATACAGCACTAAAAATAACAGTACACATGAAGTACATGTATGATTGTGTCCAGAAATGTTTGAAACCCTTACAGAAAATTCTGTCTGCATTTTGTCACCATTGCTCTTTCTTCCCGCATTCTAGTGCTGTTTGAATGAATATATTAATTAATGTTTTTCTAACTAAAATATATCACATTTTTGTGAAACCACAAACATTTAGATCATAAAAAAATTCAATACTTGAGTGAGCACAATATGCAAGGGTTACTAAGTTGACACGGTAAATGACCACTGATATTGTGTTAGCAAATATGTATTAGCAGGATACGCTGTGTGCATGGACTAACACCCCTCACTTTCATAGTGAAGTGACTAATTGGTTTATGTTTACGTTTTAATGTGTTTTGGGTTCCTTGTTACAGCAAGGGGGGCCAGTAAAGTAGACTAACATGTTTGCATGGCAAATTTTGATCGAATATGTGAGTAACTTTAAGCAAGTTCTTCCCCCACTCTCAGTAAATGACTACCTTTTGGTTGGTTTAATATGAATTAAGAAAACACACCTTTTAACAAAGAATCTAGAAAGACAAAACATTAAGAGATTGCAATGAAACACTTCTAGACTACGGTATTCATATTTCCATATTTCAATAAAAAAATCAGTGAACACTATATCAAATCTTACCAAATTCTCCACATCCCCAAGTATAGACTTGATTGTCCCTGGTCAATGCTACAACATGAGACTGGCCACAAGATACCATCTCTACAGGGTTCTCAGCAAAGAAAGGAACCTGAAAACACAAATGTGGAGATCTTAACTAACTCTTTTCAATAATTTAAATATACAAAGACTCTTAGATCTTTCTGAAAGGAGAAATATCAAATGCATCAAGAACACAAACTTTCAATCAAAATCTATTTTAGCAATTTAATGAGGAAAGACAATAAATGTGAATGGTACCACCATATGAACAGCCAGAATGACACTATTTTATGACTCTCAATAAACAGTATTCAACAGATTTATTTGAAATTAAATACTGGACTAATTTTGTATAACTGGAGGCAAAATTAGTTATCTGGTTTCTTAATTGATATATTATTATCAAGTTCCTGTATGTTCCTAATATGTTTAAGAAAGTAGATATAATATGGATGTCCTATTCATTCCTATTTATAGATGTCATAGTTTATATCACAAGTCACTCCACAGTACATGGCGGGAATTTTTCAAAAGTGATAATGGAGAAATGTTTTCTGCATTTATTGGTTTTCTTTTTTTGAAAGAATAATGTATTTTGTAACCTATACCATGTACTGTATATACAGGGTGGGCCAAACATAGACTCTCTTTGATTTATCAAATTATATTGAGTTCATTTACACTATATTTTTGTGCACTATGATGAATATTCATTATTCTATCATGGATCGACAAACAAACAAAAATAACATTTCTTACGATTTGTAAATGTATGAATATTTTTTATTTGAATTTCTTACAATTTGAAACATATACATGTACGTACATACAACATATAACATTAGATAGATGTACAAGAACTAATCTAACTAGTCCATTGTAACACCTTCTTATGATTGCTTGGGGGATATAGACAAAGATTTTAGGAAATCAAGATTTATGACTTCTGCAAAATGATAAAATACATATTAGGCCTATATGAGGCTTTCCAGAATTAAAAACATAACTAATATCATTACATGTATGACATGACTGCTCCATACTGAGACTTGATATCAGATTATGTCATCTCTTATAAAGGCTTCAATTAATATTATGTCAGGCCTTATCCTATACCAGAGACATGTTTTTAATTTGTTTAACAGTCTGCAGCCATCATGATATTAATTTATGTTATAAGAGATTAGGAGAGCAACTATTAGACAATGGCATTATATATTATATATATTTTCCTTGCTTTGGAGTGGTAAACTCCCACACTTTTGTTTAAATTTGAGTTAAATTCCTTTGAGAGGCTAGAGAAGGGTATTTTTTCGAATTCATTTTAAAATATTTTTTTGTAAATTGACAAAAATATCTGTAAATAACCCAGATGCGAGTAGAAATAATCTTGATTGAAAAAATTAATTTTCTTTGAAAATGTGACTTCTAGCTCGGGGAGATTCCCCATAGACCCCATGCTATAAAATCACAAAAAATGAAATATCTTTTCTTTTAGTGGACAGATAATATTTTGCTTTACTGGATATATTTTCATTAGTATAAGTATCAGACACATAAGGGTTATATGAAAATTGAGCCACTTAAATTGATAATATTCAAGTTGAAGGGAACTTTCTTATATACCTGCCATGTTAATTGACCCGAATCAGCCAACTGGTGGTGAAACTGGTAACTACCTACTCGCATTTGGGTAATTGAACAATTGTATTCATACAGTTATACTGGTCTATTCTGAATGATAGTTTCAATTACAGTTACATTCATGTGTAAACGTGTGTTGCATTGCTCACAAAAAGGTGTCATTTATATTTGTTAACTTGCACATTTGCCAAGTTGAATCTGATCATTCGTCAAATATTGTTCCCATATAATTTAGTGGTAATAATGTAAGCTTCATTAATAAATATAATTCTGTTTTTTGTAAGAACTCCAGGATATTTGTTTGTTTACAAATTATTAGCGTACTTAGGAAATAATAAATTGTTGGTTAATAGAAGAGTAATGCCTCAAAAAACCAATGTTTGGACCGATTTTGTATCACTTTATTGATTATACATATATTTGTTGTATGTACATTCTTATTTGAAAATGTTATTATCTGTATAACAGAGATAAACCTACAACCCTCTATATGTGCCATAGCACTTAGCAAGGACAACAATTTATTGCAATATATCATCATATGACGCCCAAACCCAAAATATTTCAAATATTGCTCCCTTATATTCACTAATCAAAGGGTTTGGCTAAGATAATAAAAGGAGGACTTTGTCGAATTGAAATCTCATTTAATTCTTTGAGATTTGATTTCGAAGAACCTCCAAGATTTTTCCACAAAAATCCCAAACTGTTTCACTAAAACAATTTGAAATCCAAAAATATTGTACTGAACATAACAGAAACCTCTAATACTGTAACAAAATTACAAAATTAAAAATATGTGCCAAACATATCCTCTACAGAAAATCCCTGGGAGAGCACTGAGATACCATTATAATAATATTTATTTTCATAAGTATATCATTAAACATGCTAATGAACATTTTCATCACACTTTGTAATTTGCGTTAAAAATGTTTGAGTCTCACTTTCATTGGGGGATTTAACAACACCATTAGTTCCAGGGTTCTCATTGATGGGGCGAATACATTCATGCAAGCATTTTTTCTTTTGAAACAACCTAGCACACTGCTTCCTAAATCCCTGTCTAATAGCACAATAAATGATGAAGTTGACAGCGGAGTTTAACACGACAAGATAATCAGCCACAAGATCATATTTTCTGTACCAATCTGGTGGAGCTGACATGCGCGTGAACACTATCAGACCAAGTACAAAATTAACATTAGTGGGGATCATACAGACCAGGAAGACAATGGAGACTACTAAACACATGTGATTGAAGCTTCGGACTTCAGCATTGAACTGAGACATGGAACTCTTTAGATCTGATCTAGCATGAAGTGAGTGTCTCATGGTATAGATGATTCTAATGTTCAAGCAACACACGGCAATAACTGGTCCTCCATACCGAATCACTGAATTCAAGATAACTCCAACTGTAACATATGCATGTGAGTTCCTCGTAAGTGAACATTCTCTGTATAGACAATATATTGTAGCGGTTTTATTATCATCATGGGTAACACCAGAATCACTTTTGTTGTGGAAACCATTTTCTTTTTCAAATGATGGATATGTTGTTATGTCTCCATGGAATGTTTCAGTTGTGTGTGAGTCACTTGTATTGGAGTAGAGGTTGAGAGTTGATGTGGAGTTGAGAGCAGGCGCATCATTCTTAGCAAATCTAGGGTCTTCTTCCAATGCTGCATAGCACTCAAAAAGTGTCATCCCATTGTATAACAGGGCAAGCACTACAGAAACACCGAGACACACCTTTATGCGGGTTTTGGAGCACCAGGTAACTGCCCGCATTGAATAACATATGCCTATCATTCTCTCTGCTGTTAGTAAGACAGTAACCCAGATTGATAATGTCTGTGATAGCATGGCTAAAAAGTTCCAGACAAGCTCCAGGTATATAACTACACGTGCAGCAAGTCCAACTGGGAAACACTGCACATATTTGCGGTACAGGGTAACGTACATGGGGAAGAATGCTCCCAGTAGGAAAAATGAATCACACACAGCTAGCACCTGAAGTAACATAGTGGCAATGCTGTTCTGTTTTTGTTGTATTTTCCTCAGCACAAGGAATGCCAGTGTATTTCCTACTATGCCAAATAAACATGTCAATGGTGTGAAAATACCATTCACTATAAATTCAATGTCAAAAGTTTGAGTCACACTGTACGGCCACATCTTGAAAGTATCGTAAGTTTTTGTAGTGTATCTGAAGAAAGTCTAAAGACACAAGTTTTGCTTATTGATGCTATAATTAAAGTGGGTCTGAATGAAGCCTGAATGTTGTTAGACAGATTACATTCATTTGACGCCAAATTGAACTATAATTTTCAAACAAAACTTGTATTCTATTTTCAAAGAGATACAATATGGTTAGGAAAATGCACCACTGTATTAGTTCTCCCTTTTATTTTAGTCCAGATAGAGAAGTCTTGAGCCAGTTATCACATATGCACTCATGAGAAACGTTGGGCATTTGGATCCTCTAAAGAATGTTCATCTGCAGAAATATCATGTCTATTGGATCTATTGAATGTGCTCCATACTTTCTAATTACAATCTATATTCCTTTGCTGTAATCATGGAGAAAATCAACATCAATATCATGTTTATAGCTTCCAGCATAGATGTGTCAGGTCTCAACTTGTCAACTTGTCCAAGTATATTATATCATCTTTTCTTTAATTTGTTTGCAGTCATTGATGTCATTTTTGTGTTATCACAGATTGTTTCTAATGTGGCAACTTTCCTAAAAAACAAAAGAAACAAGCATTAGAAAATTATATGGTTAACATAATTATTAAGAATCTTTGTGCAATCTTTGCAATGATGAATACCTGAGATCAACAAACAAAAAAATCATTTACATATCTGTTGTGATATTTACAAGATTCATGCCATTGTAGCAAGGAAATATAACATTTTACACTTTTGTTTGTTCTACTATAAAATTGTTTTATTTTGTTAGATGAAAATGAGCAAAATGTGCTCTAAGATTCAAGAACCATGACTTGAAAATTGTATATTGGAGCAGATGAGGTTATCTTACGCCTGAGGATGCATCAAAATAATTTGGAATTATTAACTTCAAAGAGCTGCAAGATTTATTTTTGCAGTCGTAAATTATACTCTCTAGCTCTATTTCATATGAAGAAAAATAAACCAATTTCTTATTTTGTATTGAGCAATAATAATATATGAGCTCTGTTCATTATAATAATTACTGATTAGGATTGTTGATGGTCCTTTAGAGGGGATCGGTTTCAGTTATACTAAAATACACCAAAATCAGAACAACCTAACCATGTACAACCCTTAGTATTTCAGGAAACAAGATCAAAGTCTGTCAATGCTGGAAATTGAAGGTTTACTTTGTGATTTTTAGAGACAAACCTTATGGTACATCATGTTTCCAAGATAATACATATCAAATTTATTATTCACTACAGTAGAACTTGCAATATCATTGCAGCAACTTTTAATAAGTTTGCTGTTGCCCATAGCTAGAAACAGAAGCACAGTATAAACAGTGAGGGTTTGGATGGGTGGATTGATAGATGGATGGGTAGATGGATGGGATGGATGGATACAATGATAGAGGGCTAAAATATAATGATACTGAACAAAACTAGGCTTATTAGGGATTACTAATTGTCACACAAACATTACATGAAAATTTGTTTCTGAATCAAATGCTTCTTCCCATTTGTCTATATAAGCTCTGAGTTGACACAAATTACTAATAAAAAGCTGTCTCTCTAATCATGATTACTTTCCCACTTTGAAATGTAGTTCTTCAGAGTTGACTTATGGTAGGAGATGGTTCTCTATTGCACTCTTTACATCCATCACAATAAACCATGACATTTTCTTCCTTCTCATGTTAATACATAAAGATGCAATATTAAAAGATTTGATGTTATACGTTTTGGTATTCTCAAAGTTTTTCTTTATAGTTGTTTTGTATATCTTTAGTTGCTCTTTGAGTATTACTTCATTTGATGTTTTCTCAAACTTTTAAACTTTTTTCACTATTGACATGTGAAAAACAAACCCCATAAATCATATGGTCAATATTAACCAGACAAATCACACAATTGCAGTACCAAAATCGGGATAATCATACACTCTTGCAATCTTGAAACTTTCTTGACTTACTTTATCAATCAAAATCTCACTATTTTTTAAGAGTTATTCCCTTTTAAAGCATACTGTTTTATTAATTCAATTGTTTCAATTAGAATCTTGGAATTCATTTTTAGTTTCAGAACACATACTGAATAGTTTTTTTAAAAAATGGTTTACCATTAGTTTTGCTTTTCCACTATATTAAGTGAAAGCAAAGTAACTTTCTCTTCCTCTGCTATACCAAATGCAAATCTTTTCTTAACATTTGCCTTTCACTGGCATTTTGACATTTCACAATATTGCCTTTAAAATGTTTGCAATATGTCATAATGACTTACCATCTTGTAGAAAACTACTTGTACAAAAATAAGGAAGTTTACAATTATGCATTTCATAGAACAAATTAAAAGCAATTCTGTAGGCTCATTGTTTAAGATAATGAGTCACTTTAAAAATTCATTAAATAAAGATTCTTATGGAGCAATGTATTAGTGATATGGTTCAAATGGAATTTAATGACCCTAATTTAATGGTACATGTGAAAAAATGAAAAAAGAAAGAAATCAAACAAAATCACTGGATATTTTGGAATGAAATGCTTTTGTGAACTATGTATTAATGTCAACATTTATTTCCAAATAATTATCCAATCGAGGATGTGATTATCTTTGACTAGTCTGAAATTATCATTTATTTCATTGTAAGCCCTATTCCATTGATATATTATTGCTCCATGAATGAAGTTTATGTACATATTGACAATTGCGGGATTTTATAGGCACTTGTTTTCCTCTTATGGGCTCCAATAATTGAGAAAATAAAATCTGCACTGATTCTCCGAAAAAATTAATTTGTTGAGTAGGTGGAAACGTTTCAAGAAAAATGACTCCATGAAAGCTTTTTTCATTACTAAGGTAGAGTTCTTGCTATTTCAAAGAAAGTATGCTTTTAAGATATAGCTAGATTAGCTATATATAACACAAAGAATAACATTTACAAAAAAAAGAAAATCATGTAAGGGTTAAAAGTCTGATTTCCAGTAGCAATTTTTGTTTTAATGCTTTTAGATGTAACAGTTGTTTCCTTTTCCCATTTCCTGTACTTCCTTAAAAGATAAACCTATCAACTGTAGGGAACTATACTTCATGTAGAAATTCTTTGGGTAAAAATGTAAATGTTTCACACACATTTTGGCAAACATTTTTCCTCTGATAAAATGTCAAAATGAATAGGACTGAACTGGATTCTTTTTATTTTCAAATATTGCCCTTTGAGCTTTCTCAATTCTAAATACATACATGCATAATTACTGGATGTCATTTACTAATATGAATAAGGGGGTGGAGCAGGTCGTGCTTACTAGAAATTGCAATATTTTCACATACTTTTTTAACCGAAAAGCTGCTTTTCACGATTTGTAAAGAAAATGATCAAGCACTTGCGATGACAATGTCAATCGTGCTTCTGCACACGAAGTTACTGAAATGGTGCAAACATCCTACACTCAGAATGGTCGTTTCCGCCCATTAAGACTTTTTACTGTATCTAAATGGAGGCTTCTAATTATTATCCTGGGTAGTCTAAATACTGATTATATGCCTTTTTGATTCTCAGAACATATCACTGTGATTGATAATGATAAATAATAGTCCATTTTTCATCATTTTTAACACCAAAATAACTTTTTATAGTTCAAGATATATCAAGGATATTATTGCCTGGAAACATTGCTGTGGTTTAAATGAAAATAATTCTGTGTCAAAATTTGAATTTTCACAATCATAAAAAGCAAAAACAGAAGCAATATAATAATACAAAATCAAGTCCAAAAAGGTGAACACCAAAATTAAATAACTTAACCAGCGAGAGGAAGTTGTTGCAAAAGTTGTTTCAATGAGTTTATTTAGGTATAATAATCATTTAGGGACAAATCACAGATCAAAATCCGTCACAATGCAATTAATGTCCATTTCATTATTGAGTGCATTTGTCATTATCTGAACAGGTCTTCTGGATAGACCAAATTACATTGAATAGAAGACTGAAATTCTCAGTTGGCAAAAGGGGACTTACCACTACAGATAACATTCTTTGATTCAAAATTAAAAGAATCTTACATGTAACTAGATAAAGGTATAACAAAGGTCATTAAACATGTTACATGTCAAACCTGTCAACTAATTAGATGGATGGATGGATAGATAGATGGAGGGAGTGTTATCATGTTAAAATGAATTCCAAGCCTAGTTCCAGACCAAGAAATCATTTCTACTGCTTCCAAATGCTCAAAGGTACCTTAAACTACTTACTCATTCATGCCTAGTTGTTGAAACAATTGAAAAAACTGACACTTTTCGATGAGGGAAAACTAAAGGCACGAGATGATTGCTCCTGTAAATCCCTGTTTAATCAAGCATGTCTTCCATTCTAGACACAACTGATTTAATTTCCTATAACAATGAGTAATAAATAAGAAATTGTCATAAAACCATCTTACAATTTTATTGATTTTTGTCAAATTGGAAAATACAAATACAATTGATCGTTCTTTTTATTTGGAAACCATTAATCACAATGTCATATAATTTAGAGTTGTATTATTATGTTGTATTACAAATTTGATAAATGGGACTTTAATTACACAATAAAGATTTATTACATAATATTTATTATATGAATAATGAAGATTTATTATATAATATTTATTACATAAATCATAAAAATTTATCTTTGTTTCTCAATTTGGATGAATCTGCATTTTATCAAAGTTAGCTGAAGACACTCCTTCCTTTGACCATAAAATATAATATTTCACTGCATTTTAAGTTTCAGCAAAAATACATTGGATATTTCAACTTAAACAGTACATACACACAGTACTTTACACAGTCTCTTGGGTTGATTTAAATAAGATGACTTTTTGATGGGCATTTTGCATGGCTTAAAGGTCCTGTTTTCAAAACAGAGTGATGAAGATAAATGGTGTAGTGATTAATATCAATATCTGAGAGATCAAAACAAGTGATTGAAGTCTATAGCTTGTTTTCAAATTCTTGCATCCTTGTCAAACCTCCGATCACTCCTGATATATTTGGCAAAATAATAATTGTAATAGACAATGTAGGCTCAGAGGAGACGAAATGGGATTTGTGCCTCTATTCCCTAGGTCCCTCTTGCCCTATGTTTCTTGATATCATAAAGTCATTACTCAATATTACGCTGGCTGTTGGCATGTTACTAAGACACATCAAAAAGCTTAATTGTCATTATATTAGAAACATAAATATTCCCTGTGTCTAATTGTACAAAATTTTAAATAAACGTGTCAATGTTAATATCAAATTTTCCCGAGAGGGCCACATTTGTCATTAATAAACAACAAACCAAATGTCAGTGAGGTACAAGAAATAGATTAAAAATTCCAAATCAAAATACAGTAACAGAAATCAGTGTTTGCACAGTATATTTTAGAGTAATTTTAATGCGATTTTTGCGCCATTTCTGATGACTTACTTAGCCAATCATCATGAAACAGTAATTTAGTGATTAGCACTTGTTTCAGACTGTTATTTTATGGCCTTTCCGGATTGCTTAACAGTTTTTAAGACTCAAGAAAACTTT